AAGCAACCATCATTAACTATTTTTATTGTAAATGCAGATAACAAAAATAAACAGATAAAAAATGTTTTTCGACTATAATAGTCATTTAAGAATTATAAAATATTTGCAAACTGTTTTACGTTTTTAGATGAGAATGATAGTAAACTAAAACTTGAATGCATGTGTGATAAAGAATGTTTGATTGGACATTAAAACTAAAATTTAGGATTTAGGGAAGTAATCAAGAAAGAGAGGTACGCAATTGATATGGGGCAAATCATCATCAAACATCAATACTGAAGTCATTATAAAGAGCAAGAAATACATGCAGAAAAAATGATACATTTCTCGTCTCTTGTTTCTTCGGCTACGATTATTCAATATTGCAAGAATACTTCTGACACATGGCAAATGCCTTTTAATTGTCTGAAGCAAAATATTTGAAGAAGTAAGAATTTTTTAACACTGCAAAGTTGCATTCCTCTATTTAGCTTTTTAGACTTTTTTACTTTAGCAGTTCGGTAAAAATGCCCATAAATTTCATTCAATTCCAAACTTAAATAATTATGAGAGTCAAACTTCTCTCTAATACTGACAGATGTTGTAAAGCAGAGTATCATGTATTGCATAGCGGCATCGGGATTCTGTTAAACACTGCGCAACAGACTATTTTGCCCTCAACTTTGCTGGCTTAGCTGAGCAATACGTCTTTCCCATTAAACTAAGTTCACACGAGCAAGTTTGAAATCAACCCATTTTAAATTGTTTCTAAACTGCTCTTGGTAAATTTCATATTTTGCGTCATTTAATTATAATGGACATTGAAATGTATTATTTCGTTCTATGCTTTCGTTTCCTAGAAACCTTATATCTATTTATGCAAAACAAGTTATACGCGGGTGAACTCGACTTATATGAATTGTTGTAAACATTAGTCATTATAATGAACAATTTGTCTAATCTATTGCAACAATATTCAATCGTCATCAATTTTCTGAAAGTAAACGTGAAAATACTTTTTGGGGAAAGAAGTTAAAATGTTACGTAATTGTAGAAATCAATACCTGATTCATACATCCCAAAAAAGGCTAAGAACAAAATGATTATATCATTGGAGTGTTGATAAGACTTTCATCAATAATGTAAAATTTTATTACGAAAGCTTTAAAGAAATTAATAATCGTTCACCTTCTAACAAATAGAAAATAAAGATGATATCAAGCTCAACAAAAGCGTTTCTTGGGACTCTTATAATCCTGTCCATTACTGGGCAAGTAGTAAATGGTAATGACGACATACCAATCTGCAAGAAAAGCTTAGAGAAACTAAAAGATAACGTGAAAGAGTGGATAAAAACCTGCGTTGATAAAGATGGCAATGACGATAACACAACTGCATGCAAGGAAGTAAAACAATACAACAAAGAAATGATGCAAATGCAAACAGAAATGTGTTTTTACGAAGGTATAATCTTTAGATTTGATAAATTTTCATAGACTCTTGCTCATAGCACTAAAATAAAAATATGCAACAATAATAGATAGAAGTTATGCAGTCAATCTAATTTCAGTTATTAGTAATATTTCTACTGTGAAAAACTCTTTCTAAAAACACTTATTGTGGTCTTTCACCAAATATTATGATTCTAAAGTCTATAAAAATTTGCACTTTTTTAATCCACTCGCGTCGTTGTTATTTATAGTGTTTTTATTGTTTATTTAGATGTTTATCCAAAGCCATATTTGATTATCATGAGCTTTGATAAAGTATACTCTGTTGATTCTATTACTGGAGATATTCATGTCAGCGCTATTATTGGATCCAGTAAGAATAAATTTGACAATGCATCAAGATATAATGACATCGAAATTGATGTAGTTGAGAATGTGCTTTACTACATTGATGACAAAAACATCAAACGGGGAAATTTTGGCTTAACTAGAAACGAAGTTTTTGCGAAAAATGTTTTTGTTCATGATATTACAGTTGACTGGATTGGTCGTCGTATCTTTTACATTGACTCCACGAACATTATCTACCAAATTTGTTTGAAAAATAAAATTACAAGTGTTATGAGGCTTCAACCAGGATTACAATTTTCCAGCATTGCATTTGACTCAAAACATGGGTAAGGCGATATTGAATTTTTTTTTTATTAACTTGTTAACGCAAAATTACGAAACTATGTCAGTCTATTGGAGGCTTTTCTTCAGTAAGGTAAGAGTTTTTATTTTTAGAGACGGTGTTTTAATTTAATAGAAAAGTTGAATTTTAGAAGTCCGTATTATGGTTTGTTATTTAAGGGTTTAATAATAGAAAAAAATATCGATTTTCGAGGGGAAACAAAACTCGCTTTTTCCTGAGGGAGTGAATATTAAGTATTTTGTTGGCTATAAAGAAACAAACCTCATATATTTCGACAGATTTTTATTAAAATCAACGTCTTTTGGAGAGATTTGGCTAGCAAAATTTTATTGCGTGACTATAAGGCATTTCAAACCAACTGCAATGATAAACACATTTCGTGTGATTATACAGCACACATGCAGTAGAAAATAACATGCAGATCCTGAAATTGCAAAAATCGACAGCGATATTTATGTTAAGGAAGCAAAGAGCTTTGAGAAAAAACGTAACAACGGAGAGATCAATGTTTGTATATGATGAAGTCATTAAATGAAATGAAACAGAGCGGTAGAAACTGAAATAAAATATTAAATAATTACTTTGCACATAAAACTTTAGTCAAATACTCACAGAGCTTGGCTTTCCACAACCTAAAAAAAGTAGTACAAATTCACTGTGTAACTTAGTGTTGTACATTTAATTCTTTTACTGGCTTCGCTAGCCACCTAAGAGCTTTTTTCTTTGTCAGAAAAAGCAATTTGCTTGACGCCTCCTTGGTAATCATATGCTTAATAAGATATGTCCTACAAATAAGATTTTAACAAATTGGGAGCATTGTTTGTTGCTATGCTGTGCTCTTTTGTATACTTCTTTGAGGCAGTGTAAGAGATGTGCAACAATCTCAATACGGAATGGCAATAAAGTTTTAAAATATTCACGAATGTGGTGAACGTAAAAAACTTCAACTTTTCGTTTTGTAATGAAGATAAAAAGAACTACACACATTCCAATGTAGTTAGCTTTCAAAAAATGTTGCAATTTAAAAAAACATAATCATTATATCAAGTTTATAGTTTTTTCAAGCCTTCTCTTAAATTGCATTGAATGGCAAAGTATATTGAAAAGTCGAGAGCTGCAAATTAAGTGGCTGCACACTTCCCTTTAATAAATCCAATCACACAACCAAACAAATCACCTGAATGGAAAATCATTCCACTACCTTTAGTTCATGCAGTGTTTCTTTGTGTAGCTTAAGAAAACGTTAGGTATGTAGTTGCTCTACTGATGATGAGTCTGAAGATAATAATCATGTGATTAAAAAGAAATTGGCTGAAAAGCCTTGATGAGCGAGAACTTTCTGAATATGTTATAAATAATTTACGAGTTTAAAATAATTTTCTCTTCTAACGATTCCTATGAACTCTCCATTGATGAGAGCCTTCTAATTAATAAAGACAAGCCTTCACTCTTCGTGCAAGGAGGTTCCATTCCACTTAACCTCTCTTAACTTCACCAAATTTTACTTCCCAACTTCTTTATCATGTAATCCATTTGCCAACGCCTCCTTTAGTCGTAATTTAACACACTTTGTAAATACAATATCTTGTCTTAACATCTCATTATAATTTATTACTTGTCTGAATATGTCTTGAGTAAGGGCGAAACATCAGTATAAATTCAATTTTACAACTTTTGGTGTATTTCTATGGCTCTATTTAAAACTTTATGTTAGGCATTAATTTTTATCATATTACAAGAAAAAATTAATTGTCACGAACACAAAAAGCCAAAAGAACGGTAATATATACGAGAAAGTTTTTAAAGAGTTCGGGGCAAAGTGCAATGAACGACAAGAAGACATGGACTTTGCTGTTACTCAAATGCGTAATATATTTAAGAAATGTATTGGAGAATGCAAATATGCTTCAATGATAATCAAAACTGCCAGTTGCATCAAAAATTTTTGCTAAAGTAAAGGCCAAAGTGTTCATCAGTTTTTGCAGCTTGTCCAATCCAAAGATTGTTAAAGACACGAACATGACATGGCAATAGAATCATCATTTTCAAATGGTACCAATAGCGCTAGCTCCAGTGTCAATCTTTTTCTGATTTTTCAGAAAAACAATGAAAAAATTTGACAATTAAAAAGAGAAGGTTAAGATAGTTTTAAAAAATCGTTTGTCCAAACAAACTGAAAAAAGTATCAACAAAAGACAATGTTTGTGAAGCTATAGCTCTTTTAAAGACATTTATAGACGATGATCCATCCAAAGAGCTGCTACTTTTCATGCAAGATGAAACTGAAAAATTAGGAAAGCTAAAATTGAAATGACAATGCTTTCTTTATTAAATATCTACATTAAATAGTACATATTATTTACCAACACCAAATTTTCGATTCGAACAAAATTTCCACGCATCAGCTAATTTTCATTATTATAAATTACCAACACAATTGATTCAGCAGCCACTCCGAACTACAGCATTACTCGTTCCTACAATAATCTTAAACAATACCAATCATTTTAGAAGTTATGTGAATAAAAATAACATATTACATTTCTTATGCTCTGAATCCCATGCAATATTTAATTACTTCATATATTTTAGTTCGGTTTTTAAAAGAGAGATTCAAAATGATAAAGATGAGCTTTTCCTGTTAGTTACAATAGCTTTATGTTGTTATCTTATCAAATTTCATGAATATATTCCATTAAATCGTCTATATATGAAGGTAGTTCTGAATACTTTGACAACATCTTTTTCTAAATTAAAAAAATTTCTATATTTCTTTTCTTGCATATATTAGTCTGTTTATTGCTTATGTATTTCAGTACGTATAGCGAAAACTAATGTACAAAACAAATATTTTTATTAAGGTATCTATTCTTGGCAGAAAGTACAGAAGTTTTCTTATGGCTATGGAGCATGACTGCAAATAAACATCATATTTTTTCAGTTTCACTTCAGTCAATAGCACAAGATCTAACGCTTGACATGGCAAAAGAGAAGATTTATTGGCGAGTTTCAAACGGAAATGTTTTTTCTTGTGATTACTACTCCCATAATGTAATTGATTTTGGAACTTCAGGAGATCCCATGGCAGTATTTGGGGATTTCATTTATATCATGATTAGTGTCGGACAAAGTGTCGTTAGTGTTCATAACACAACAGATGAACGTACGAGGCGTAAATTTTTTCTTCCTGTAAACAACGATTATCTTGATTTGGCTGTAGCTATACACAGTATCACTCCTGACTCAAACGGTAGTTAAATATTTACTTATTTGACATGATAATGTAAGACTTGCCAAACTCCCACGCTAATGTACATAAAATAGGAAGACGTTAAAAAGTTCAAAGTTACATTGCCTTAGTAAACGGTTGTTCTTCCTTCCAAAATTATAGAAAATTTGATAAACATTAAGTTCAAAGTGCAAAGTGTCTAATTTAGACGTTTTTGCCGTTTGTCTATTCTTGCCAAACATCTTGTGTGTTAAATTTAACTCTTTATTGTTTCTTACATGATTTCAACAATCACACTGGCTTGTAATCAGTCCTAAATAAGAAAAAATTCATGAAAATAGATTGAAAGACAAAAACGTCCAATTTGAGCATGTTGTGCAGTAAGCTTAATAATTATCGAATTTTCTAAAATTTTAGTACATTGCAAAACAGAGTTCAAACTTTTACATCTTTGGATTAAAGAAGATTTGAAACTTTTCATTTTCTTTGTGCATGCAGTTCAAATTAAGGCAATTACGAAGTACTCTCATGGTTTTCGAGATTAATTTTTAATTCATTTTACTTTTAAATAAACAAGACAAGGCAATGCCAAAATACACGAGCTTTGACACACTTTGCGAGAACTATTGATGAATTGATAATTTTCTAAACATTTTTCAATTATCTAACTTCTTTAGATACATCCTTTATAGTGCCCCAAACAGCCAGCAAATTTGTTCATACTCTGTAAATTTTCAACATATATTTAATTGTTTTGTTTTTACTACATTCGTGAACACCAATGATACCACCACTACATAGCAAACTTGCTAGCTGGGTACGTCATAGTGGATACTGAGTGACAAATTGTGTTCTTTGAGGAAGAATATGTTTCGTTTAAAATCTCTGGTTGATTTTATTTTTAATTTTATTAATATTTATAGCGACAAACACTTTTCGCTTTCCTTTATGTGGACCCTACACATACTATCGTAAAACTAATGGAACATTGAACTGCACGTGTATGGAAGGATTTTCAGGAGAATGTAACTCGTGCCAAGGTATGAATTAATTAGTGTCTTTATCAAGATCTTTTAATCACGGATCATGAATAAAGAGCATCTCTGTGCAATTTTAAAACTTTGTTCTCAGTTGAGAAATCTGAAGAGTTCTCTGTGCAGTTCTATTTTGCAAGGAATTTGCCACATGTACATTTTGCATGTAACCACAAAAATAAGGCTCACAGCCAAACATGCAAGCTCATCATTATCAATACAATCAAGCAAGAAATCAGTACTAAATATATGAAAAGCTTCAATACACTTAAAACTCCATCAGCACACTAAATTGGAAGTATATGGTTCTCTAAATGATAATAGCATATGTTAAATATTTGTAAATGTAGAACGTCTAGGTTGGTATAGTCCTGAGAAGGACTGTTTTTGTTGTTGTTGACTGACGTTTCGACAACCTTAGCGGTAGTCATCTTCAGAGTGATTTTGACTGGACGATCAACATTTACAAATTTGTAACGATAATCCTGGGTTCAAAACATTTACTTTCGCTTATGTTAACATCAGCACATTTTGATTTTCTCTACATAAAGGAAGGGGTAGGTTTAGTTTTTGGGTTAGGGCTAACACTTCTCCTGCAGTTAGCAACTTAGATATGGCCCTGCTAACCTAGATACGCTATATTAAATATTTTTGACTCTATTATAAGTTGGTTTCTTGAACTTGGAATTCTGTAAATACAAACTATAAAAAGCATTTTGACCGACAAGTTTCCAGACGTCCTAGAATGTGCGCACCCGAAATATATTACATAAAATTTCTTAAACCAATGAGATTGTACTTTATGAACTTATTCGAAGAATTGACAAGTATGGGTAGTGTCCAATTATTTCATTAGGCTATGTAGGCTGAAGCTAATAGGCCCGCATTTTAAAGAATCCTGTTCTATTTAAACATAGTTTTTACTCTTTACCTTTCTGGATTAGCTAAATGTTCAAAATTTCAATCATATATGATTTGTTAGACTTGCTCTTATTGCTCAAAACCAATTCAAAGCTACTTATGCACATAATCGCATAATACATGATTATTTTTTACCTCCATTCTGTATGCAACCAATGAGTATTGTCAAAAAATAATGTTTCTTCAAGAATTTTATTTTTAGTCACAATAAAAACTTCTTTAAGGAATTATTGCTCTGTCGTTTTCGAATACTTGCATGCCTTTTTTGTAAAAAAAATCACGATATATGGTGTTTTTTCAATATATTGCTGTCAATTAAAATTACAAAAAATAAAGCTTTTAATTTTAACATAATCAGTGTTACCCGAAATTATATTCGCCGTTCCATTGCATATTGTCGTTTATTCAGTTTTTATAGAAAATTTTGAAAATCAGGTTATGGCTTTTATTACGTTTTTTACAACAATCATGTCTCCTAAAATAAAATAAGCAATAAAACGAAATAAAAATGAGTTTTTTGATGTACTTGTCTTTTAAATATATCGGCATATAACGATGTTTCCACTCTGCAATTTAATATTCAACCCCCTCCCCCAGTTGTGATCACTTGGCAACGGGTCATAGTTTAATAACGTTCAAAACCAATTAAAAGCTACTTATGCACATAATCGCATAATATATGATTATTTTTTACCTCCAGTCTGTCATTCCGTATGCAACCAAAGAATATTGTCAAATAATAATGTTGCTTCAAAGATTCTATTTTTAGTAACAATAAAACCTTCCCTAGTGAATTATTGCTCTGTCCTTTCATTTTTAAATATAAATTACGTTATTTATTTTAGTCAATGTTAAGCCAGTCTGTGTAAAAGCAAATTGGTGGAGGTCTTTCAACAAACAAGGATGGTCAACTTGTGACACCACAAACCAGTTTATCACTGGCTTATATCGCAGCACATTAAGTGCCAACTATGACGGACTTTACCGTCTTGAAGAAGTCAAATGCTGCAAATCTAGTCCATTATATATTGGGCAGAAAAGTATTTGCCGAGGAGCTAACTGGTGGGTCTCTTTCAACAAGTTAGTATTTTTCCCCAGAATCAATCTTTTAACTGGTATTAGTTGTCTGTTGGTTCGTTTTCTCAGTTCTTTCTACTGTGAAAATGAAGGAAACATAAGAAGTTTGGATACATTACTTGGACTATGATTTAAAATGATGATTTTTTGTGATTGTTTAGTTTAACCTAAAAAATGCGTACGAATATTTACAGGTTTTTTTTCAGATGTTGATCCAGGATAGTGCTTACTATTTTCACTTTCAATTTTGATTTTTATCAAGTTTTGTACTTTATTGTTTTTGTTACCTAATTGTGAACACTGATCGTATTAGTAGCAACCGATAGCCGAATAGTAGCGAGAGACTTGCCGAGTGGAAATCGAATTCGTGTAATAAAAATTATTGCCCAACTTAGGGCTCTAATCAAAACTTTATGTTGGGCATTAATTTTTATTACACGAATTGAATCATTCTTAGTCTCTAAACGTGGCAACTTAAATAGCTTTTCAATTAAAATCAAGGAGCAATGTCTTGAAAGTTGTCCTTTAATTTAGTGAGATAGTAGCGAGAGACTTGCCGAGTGGAAATCGAATTCGTGTAATAAAAATTATTGCCCAACTTAGGGCTCTAATCAAAACTTTATGTTGGGCATTAATTTTTATTACACGAATTGAATCATTCTTAGTCTCTAAACGTGGCAACTTAAATAGCTTTTCAATTAAAATCAAGGAGCAATGTCTTGAAAGTTGTCCTTTAATTTAGTGAAAAATTCTTTTCTTACGATCTTTTGTCTGTTGGTTTTCCATGTGCTCGTAGCTAGCTACATTTTAACTTGTATAGCAACACTTTTCTAATGAAGATTTACGTAATTAAACTGACTTATTTAAGACTGTATACATAAATGAATAAATAATATGGAAAAATAAGCAGGATAAGCTGTTTAACTCTAAATGCTGAACAACAACAAAAAACGACAAAAAAATAGTAAATGCAGTCCTCTTTGTGTCATTCAATCCTCAAAAAAAATAAAGATACAAACTTATTTCCTTAAAAATGTATTTCAGAAAAGGATGGAGTGTTTGTTCGAATGGATATTTTTTAAATGCTCTCTATCGCACAAACGGACAACACTTACACAACCTCCAAGGGGGAAAATGTTGCAAACCAGTCAATCATCCCGACAAGTATGGTGATTGTTACCATGAAAATATCAAAAATGATTTCAAAAAAAAAGGATGGACAATGTGTAAAAAAGATGGCTACTATGTCACTGGGTTAAGACGAGATTCTGGTGATTGGCTAAAGGACATTGACAGTTTTAAATGCTGTAAAATGTGGAGTGGTAAGAATCACAAAAACTAATTCTTTATTAATAAGGTTAAGACAAAGTCCTTTCGCCTTTATAGCTACTTATCATATTTTAGAACGAAAATATATCAAAAAACTGCAAATATACAAATAGTTATTCAGAGTTTTATGATTAAGCATAAAAAATTTCTGTCGTATAAGGAACTTTACAATTAAGAAACAACACATATGTTTTAGAAAATCAACCGTTATTGGCTTCAAAAGTTCAGTACGATGAATAATAAATTAAAAGAGAAATATTTAATAAAGGGAACTGTCGTTTCATTTAAGCCTAATTTTGGTGAGCAAGTCCATTATACACAGCCACATACTTAAAATTTACAATTAATGAAAATCACTTTATTATTTCCATGTTCAGTGACTTATGCAACAATTGAAAATAATAATTTCCTTGTCTTTGTTTTATTAAAATATTTAGTGTGATTTTAATATAAACGTGTTCGAATACTTGCATGCATTTTTTGTAAAAAAAATCACGATATATGGTGTGGTTTTCAATATTTTCTGTCAATTAAAATTACAAAAAATCAAGGTTTTTAATTTTAACATAATCAGTGTTACCCGAAATTATATTCGCCGTTCCATTGCATATAACTAATAATACTTATAGCTCAAAATTTGTCAGATGAATTTTTTTCTAAAATATATTTTTGATATAGTTGGAGTTTGTGATCATAGTCCTTGTAAGAATGGTGGTTCGTGTGTTGCTGATGGTAGTTCTTACAATTGTACTTGCCCTCCAGACTTTATTGGTATTCGCTGTGAAACAAGTAATTGGAAATCTTAAATTCATTGTAACACTACGTAACACGAAAAAATGCGTGATTATATATGAGGATTATATATAACACAGTAAAACGTTTAATGATATAAAGTTTTTTATTGAACAAGCTTTCGTATGTCTGTCTACAGACTTTGACGTGTTAGCCTCCGTAGAAGACTATAGACAGACAGCCAAAGCTTGTTCAATAAAAACTGTTATATCGGTGTACGTTTGACTGCACCACGTATCTAGCACGCATTATGTATGGCTTAAAATATTAAAGCTGTAGTTTTCTACTATAGTATGATGTTTTACAAAAAACTAGTAAATTTGACTGGTTTCACCTTTATACAATATCGTGTCGAATTATTATAAACTTGGTATTTTTCAACAATAACCAATTTTTCGTAACTGCACTTTGAGCAAATAGATTTGCGTACTCTAACACAAAAAAATCATTTTTTAAAAATTATCTTGAGAATAGTATTTGGGCTTTATTTTAGAAGTTCCAAATCCTTGCGAGCCAAATCCATGTAAAAATGGTGGACAATGCAACATTTTGGGTAACAGCTACACATGTAAATGCAAGCCTGCTTTTGGCGGCAACAACTGCGAACATTCACAATGTAAGTAAAAACAGCAGAAATTTCATTTTTAGCTACGCAATTCAAAAAAATCACCAACGATTCCAAATTCAATTTGTTGTCAAAATTGCATTTAACAAATTCAATGTCAAAGCATGATAATATTATCTTCCCTCTGCAGGCTTCCTTGTTGTTGTTTTTAAAGCTTTTATTGTCTTTATAATAATGCTTAACTGGCATAGTGGAAAAGGTGCAGGGCAAATAGTGTGGAATGCAAAATGCAGAAAACAGTGTGTTCGTTTGAAATTCACATATGAATTTGAAATAGAATGTTCAATCCGTAATTTTTTTTTAACTTCTAACTGAGAAAAAACCCTGCTTTCTTCAAAAAATTGAAAAGGAAAAATCTGTTATTCATACGATTATACAAAGTAAATGAAACACTTCATATTGCAAACTCCAACATCGCACTCTGTTTTTTTTTACCATGCTGAATTATCTAACTATAGGAATTGAAAATACTGCACACTACTCACTTTTGTATGCTCTTTAGCAACATGCATTGCATCTGGTGATCCTCATTACACTTCATTTGATGGCAAAAGATTTGATTTTATGGGAGATTGTGAATACGACTTTGCAAAAGATTGCAGCAAAAACAAACTTTTTACAGTTCGCACTAAAAATACGCGTTGTGGAGGGCTTGTCACTTGTACAGCGGCTGTTAAGATCTATATAGCTGGTTACTTCATTCAGTTCACACGTCAGAGTCGTTCCGCAGTTGTAAACGGAGTTAGGCTTTCACAATTTCCAATAGTTCGTCATGGTATGTGTTTCTATTTTAATTTGTTTAAATTGATTTAAATTAGTCTTCTTAATGATAAACAGAAAACTCATACAAAAAATTTTGAAAGTTAAGACAATCAGTAAGCAGCTATTGTGATGTCATTTATTTGCGATCATTAAAATAAATAGATGTTGTTACCTTTACTATACAACCATGTTTTCTTTGAGGATTTAAAATCACCAATCCCAGTGGGAGTTGGCTGGTTTTTACTGCTGATATCGGAATGTCAACGAGTTGGAACAGTAGGACATACGTCAAAGTCACCGTTTCTGCAAAATACAAGGGAAAGATTTGCAGTACATCTCTATGTGGCAACAACAATGGTCGTCCTGATGATGACAATCAATACAGTACAAAATGTTCCCTGCCACCTCAATCATGTTTCCCTGATTCCAAGAAGAAAGCTGCAATAGATATATGCCACTTGATGTCCAATGCTTCATCTCCATTCACTAAAGCGTGCAACCGTTATGTTGTTCCAGCCGCCTTGATCAGTAACTGTAAATATGACGCAGGTCGCTGCACCGATCCAATAAAATGTGTTTGTAACGCATTTGCTGCTTACAGTAAACTTTGTGTTGAATATGGCGGTGTAATTGACTGGAGATTCAAAGGAACTTACTTATATCCAAAACTCAAAGAATGTGGTAAGCATTTAAGTGGAAAAATTTGGCATAAAAATAATTGTTGGTATATTAATAAAATATTCACTAAACGTTTATTGTTTTTTATGTAGAAAAAACATGCAGTAACAAAGGAGAAATTTTCACAGAATGCGGATCTGCTTGTGCAAAAACATGTCGTGATATATCACGTGGTTTAAAATGCAGTGAAAGATGCATTCCTGGATGTCAGTGTCCTAAAGGATCTTACTTGGACGATAAGAATCATTGTGTACCTATGAAGAAATGTCCATGTTTCTTTGAAGGAATTTATTACAAGGCGGGTGAAAGTGTGAAAGTTGGACGTTGTAAAACCTGGTAATTTTCTTTTCGTAGGAACATTATGTTACTATACTTTACATGTTTGTCAGTGTATGAAGATGACTTCTGCTAAGGTTGTCGAGACGTCAGTAAACATTAACACCAGCAGTCCTTCTCAGGACTCTACTAACCTGGATGATCTTCATCAACAAATGAAGAGCGATACTCCCGGACTCAAACCATTTATTTTATTACTATACTTATGATCAACATAATTTTTTTTCCTTTTCATTTTTTTTAGTACGTGTAATAGGGGTGCTATGACTTGTGTCGACGACCGAAAATGCTCATCAAAAAGTAAGAATTGTACTTATTAGATTAATGTAAAAAGGCGCAAAAAAGAGATTTTATGTTAAAAATTCAAGATATGTAAATGTTGTCAAAAAAAACTTTTTACGATTAGCCGTAGAAACATCCTCTTCTAACACGTGGAGATTTTGTTGTTTCTTTAACTTAGATCAACCCTTTTCCATATTAAGTTCTTATATGAAACCTGTTAAAACAAACGCCATGTATAGTAACTAAATATGTTTATAGGTCCTTGTGAATCTTTCCCCTGCAAAAATGACGGTGGTTGTCGTGAGGAAGGAGATACGTTTACTTGTTTTTGTATTAACGGATATGAAGGAAAAACTTGTGAAGGTTTGTTATGATACACTTATATTTATAAAAAGCAGTTGTCATCCAGGTTTTAACTGAATTTTGAAAAAAACGGTTAAATTAGATTTTAAACTACATCACATTATTTTTTACTTATGTGCGTGGTTTTGTAGATAACTTTTTTGCAGGCTTACCACTATGTTTTTCTGAAAAATATCCGTACATTTTGTCTGTTTGTTTGTGCACATTACACGCTATGTCACAATTATAATAAAATGCATTTAAAAGGAGGAAACTAGGAAAAAAATGCCACCATGCCGCACTCACTGATCTGGCTGTATTACAATTGCGTTTGCGCTAAAGTTTCGCTCGCTATTTCACAGATAACAATTAAAACTAAGTAACTCAGTATATTTTACAGGTATAAGCTTCCTATCCTGGTGATTACAAACATCTATTAGTTATGATTTGCCAAATAACACTAGTAAATCGATACACCATACTGCTTTTATTACGATGAGTAGTAAATACTAAATCGTTTTGAACAAAGAGAAGCCATTCGTACTAGAGCAATACTTAGACAGGCCACTCATTTTGTTTTTATTCGTAAGCATTGCCAAGCATTTTCTATTCTTTGGCGCTTCTTGTGCAAAATGCTTGACACATTTACGTACGCAATGCACTCACCAAAGTATGATCATATTGTTGAACTTTCCGCTTATCGTGTGTGAACATTTCTTTTGCAATCAGTAAGCAGAAAAGTATTTTTGGAGCAGCTGCAGTTCTTAATTTTTTTTTTACTCCTAATGCTGAACTTTTCATTTGTTGTCGTTTCTTTTGCAACAAAGTAAACGTTAAATTTGGTGTCTTCAATTCGATGGATTTATTTTTCTTTGCAGTTTGTAAGGATTTACATAACATTTATTTTAAAGATGACCACATAGAATGAAACACGTTATACTATGCGTTTAAAACAAATCATAAGATGATATTATTAATATAATCGCCCTTCCTTGCCGTGTTTAAAATTTTCAGAAATTAGTACTTTTAAAATGATATTAGAAAAGAATTATAAAAGAAAAAGACGGCCCATTTCTCAGAAATATAAAATACCAATGTCCTTTTTCACATATTTTCAATGTGTATTATTTGTATTATGTTCATCCAACTGCTTCATTTGTAGAAATATATTTACCAGGATGTCCACATGTAAGCATTGCTCATCTATTTTTAATAAATACTCCAATCATCCTCCATCTATCATTAAACAACTACTACTCACTCTATTATTAAACAACTACCAGTATTTTAAAACCACAGGATTTCGTCGATATCTTCTGTCAAAAATATCATCGAGTAGGTCAAATTTGCAGCAACGCTATAGAAACAAGCAAATTCAATACAACATCATTTTCAACCGAGGTAGAGAAACACACCTAGTCCAACAAATAAAAATGCACTAGAAATATTATTTGCTTCAATCCACCTTTTAATAAAAACGTTGGAACTAACATTGCAGAAGATTTTTTGAAATTGATTGACAAACACTCTCCTATCTTCAATTAACGCACAATAAAATTTTCAAACGCAATACTGCCAAAGTTAATTACTTTTTTTTTGTTTACTTTTACTTTTATACAGCTTTTTACCGCCATCAAAATATCTCCCTTTTAAATTTTAGTTGTCCCCAACTTAAAAAGAAATAAATATAAATAGGTTTACCACATTAAAGTGGGATTCTCTGAAACTAGTACAGTCGTAAATAAAAATACTAGTTTTTACATTAAGGTGGGATTTTTCACAGCTTTTGAAGAAAATAATTCTAAAAAACACTTGAGAAAAACGACGATTTTTTTGAGAGCAAACATGTTTCGACATTATCAGAATGCCATCTTCAGTGCAGAATGGTTAGTGTGAAGTAATATGATACGTAATATGACATGAATAAATTAATTACAATGAGTATTAATTATTAAGAACTTATAACATAAGTTCTAAAAATAAGTATTAAGAATTTATAACAAAAAATATTATTATAAAGTAAATATAGTGTTGTAGTGGTGAACTTGGATATTTAAATCGGGATTAGTTTTATTAATGTGTAGAGCTTCCTTGATTTTGAGTGAGAAAGTGGATTGATCAATGTCGATGATTTTAAAACAGGAAGGTGAGAATTTGTTTTTACATGAAGGAGAGGCTTTAAGATGTTTGTAGATAGTGGAGTTTTTGTCTGTGTGAGTATGTTCCTTTATCCTGGTAGATAATTGGCGAGAAGTTTCACCAATATAGCGGGAATTACATCCCGCACATGAAAATTGATAAACTACCATAGATTTGGAAAGTTCGGGAAGTGGGTCTTTGAACGAAAATAAAGATTTTATTTAAAAGGTGTGAAAATAAGTTTAACGTCAATGTCAGTGCAGTAGCGTTTAATGATTTGTGTGAGTTTGCGTTGTGTGTGTCGTGAGTAATCACCTATGTAAGGTAGTTTGAAATAACGCTTATTGTCAGGTTGTTGTATATCGTTAGTGTTAGTCGTGGAGTTAGATAAGTCAGAGCTTTTCTTGTTGTCCAAATAGTGTTGTATAGTGTTGTTGATGAAATGAAAAGGAAAAGAATTACGTTGGAGAGTGAATATTAGTTTCTTTAAATCACGTTGAAAGCCGATGTCTGTGTTGTTAAGTTTCCGTGCTCTGTCGGTCAGTGTTCGTATCAGTCCAATTTTGTAATGTAATGGTGTGAAACTAAAAAAGTTAGTCAGTAGTCCTGTATATGTTGGTTTGTGGTACGTAGAGGTCATACAGTTTTCATGTGATTTAGTTAGTAAGATGTCAAGAAAGGGTAACTGATTGTCTTGTTCGGTTTCGTATGTAAAGTTTATGCTTTAATTTGGTCGTAGTACTTACCGTTAAATAAAAAATGAGTCTCGGCCGTAGTGATTTTAAATAATAGTTTTAGTTCTGTTCTGCTCATTTTGAATGTAGGGTTGTTGGTAAAAATTAAATCAATAGCAATGTCTATGGTCTCGGTCAGTGGTATGTTGGTAAAAAGGCTTTCAAGAAATGTACCCTAGAGGTTCACAACCAGCTCGATTATATGGTTTACCTAAACTTTATAAATTAAACAATATCAATGACATACCTCCTATCAGACCTATAAATTCTTCAATCAATTCGTATAACTACAAATTATCCAAATATCTCAGCTCTTTACTCCAACCCCTAATACCTAATGACCATTTTGCTAAAGATTCTTTTAGTTTTGTCGATGATTTTTTATCTTTTAACACTAACGCTCCACATGACAAATTCTTTATTTCTTTTGACGTTGAAAGCCTTTTTACCAGCATACCACTGACCGAAACCATAGACATTGCTATTGATTTAATTTTTAATAAAACAACCCTACATTCAAAATGAGCAGAACAGAACTAAAATTATTGTTTAACATCACTACGGCCGAGACTCATTTTTTATTTAACGGTAAGTACTACGACCAAATTGACGGGGTAAGTATGGGCTCACCCTTGGCACCCATTCTAGCTAACATTTTTATGGGTTTTCACGAACGAAACTGGTTAAATAACTACAGCAATAACAAACCTTTATTTTACCGCAGATACGTTGACGACATTTTTTGTATTTTTCATAACAAAGACGAAGCATTACTCTTTTACGAATACATCAACAAACAACATCAAAGCATAAACTTTACATACGAAACTGAACAAGACAATCAGTTACCCTTTCTTGACATCTTACTAACTAAATCACATGAAAACTGTATGACCTTAACGTACCACAAACCAACATATAAAGGACTACTGACTAACTTTTTTAGTTTCACACCATTAAATTACAAAATTGGACTGATACGAACACTGACCGACAGAGCACGGAAACTCAACAACACAGACATCGGCTTTCAACGTGATTCAAAGAAACTAATTTTCACTCTCCAACGTAATTCTTTTCCTTTTCATTTCATCAACAACACTATACAACACTATTTGGACAACAAGAAAAGCTCTGACTCATCTAACTCCACGACTAACACTAACGATATACAACAACCTGACAATAAACGTTATTTTAAACTACCTTACATAGGTGCTTACTCACGACACACACAACGCAAACTCACACAAATCATTAAACGCTACTGCACTGACATTGACGTTAAACTTATTTTCACACCTTTTAAAATAAAATCTTTATTTTCGTTTAAAGACCCACTTCCCGAACTTTCCAAATCTATGGTAGTTTATCAATTTTCATGTGCGGGATGTAATTCCCGCTATATTGGTGAAACTTCTCGCCAATTATCTACCAGGATAAAGGAACATACTCACATAGACAAAAACTCCACTATCTACAAACATCTTAAAGCCTCTCCTTCATGTAAAAACAAATTTTCACCTTCCTGTTTTAAAATCATCGACACTGATCAATCCACTTTCTCACTCAAAATCAAGGAAGCTCTACACATTAATAAAACTAATCCCGATTTAAATATCCAAGTTCACCACTACAACACTATATTTACTTTATAATAATATTTTTTGTTATAAATTTTTAATACTTATTTTTAGAACTTATGTTATAAGTTCTTAATACTTAATACTCATTGTAATTAATTTATTCATATCATATTACGTATGATATTACTTAACACTAACCATTCTGCACTGAAGATGGCATTATGATAATGTCGAAACATGTTTGCTCTCAAAAAAATCGTCGTTTTTCTCAAGTGTTTTTTAAAATTGCTGCTAATTAGAAATTATGGTAATATTATCTACGACTTAGCATAAAATTATCATGGAAAGGTTTCCTTGTCGGATTTTCGAAATTATGAAAAGCTTACAACTAAGAAACGCAAGGCTGAACTTGATGTCGCCTTCCTTAAAGATTGCAATTCACTTGGATTTTTTCCAAAGTTCCTGTGTTTTCCACTGCCTAATGTTGACAATCGAGATGCATACCACATTCGAAAGCGTTTACTACGAACTACGATAACGAAGAGATCTAAAGAACTACGGACACTGGATAGGGACCTGACGAACAAAACAGAAGAAATCAAAAGCTTTCTTAACCCAATTGACTGGCATATCTTGAATAAAGCCCTCAAAAAGAATGTCGACAAACAACTAAACAAAATATTTTCGATACACTGTAAGAAACTAAATAATTTGACCAAAAACAAGGCTATACCATTCACTCATAAAGACACTGTCACTAACCTATCATCTGTAAAGCTAAGTGAAGATGAACTTAACGCTCTAAAAAACGGTCTCAACTTCAGCATCAAACCTCCAAAAATCCACTCCTCCGACATTCTGGCAACATTCGAACGAATCCACTATTCATTAAGAAATAAACTTATCAAAGAAGAGGACTATTCAATACTAAAAACGGAACTTGGTCACTTGGCACACACGTACGTAACTTCCTACCATCCAACTCCTAAAGACCTGAAGAAACATAAAATTCTAAGGAACAATCGTAATAATGACAAAATCATTGTTCTTAAACCTGACAAAGGCAATGGTGTAGTCATTATGGATCGTCAGGTATACATTAACTCTTGCCTCACTATAATTAACAATTTATCTAAGTTCAAACCACTCGATCATGATCCTACAATTTCCCGTGAAGCAAAGTTACAACGACTGATACGTAACTTAAAGAAAAAGAACTCTATTAACGAAAAATCATTTCAAGAAATGTACCCTAGAGGTTCACAGCCAGCTCGATTATATGGTTTGCCTAAACTTCATAAATTAAACAATATCAATGACATACCTCCTATCAGACCTATAAATTCTTCAATCAATTCGTATAACTACAAATTAGCCAAATACCTCAGCTCTTTACTCCAACCCCTTATACCTAATGACCATTCTGCTAAAGATTCTTTTAGTTTTGTCGATGATTTTTTATCTTTTAACACTAACGCTCCAAATGACAAATTCTTTATTTCTTTTGACGTTGAAAGCCTTTTTACCAACATACCACTGACCGAAACCATTGACATTGCTATAGATTTAATTTTTACCAACAACCCTACATTCAAAATGAGCAGAACAGAACTAAAACTATTGTTTAACATCACTACGCCTGAGACTCATTTTTTATTTAACGGTAAGTACTACGACCAAATTGACGGGGTAAGTATGGCCTCACCCTTGGCACCCATTCTAGCTAACATTTTTATGGGTTTTCACGAACGAAACTGGTTAAATAACTACAGCAACAACAAACCTTTATTTTACCGCAGATACGTTGACGACATTTTTTGTATTTTTCATAACAAAGACGAAGCATTACTCTTTTACGAATACATCAACAAACAACAACAAAGCATAAACTTTACATACGAAACCGAACAAGACAATCAGTTACCCTTTCTTGACATCTTACTAACTAAATCACATGAAAACTGTATGACCTCTACGTACCACAAACCAACATATACAGGACTACTGACTAACTTTTTTAGTTTCACACCATTAAATTACAAAATTGGACTGATACGAACACTGACCGACAGAGCACGGAAACTCAACAACACAGACATCGGCTTTCAACGTGATTTAAAGAAACTAATTTTCACTCTCCAACGTAATTCTTTTCCTTTTCATTTCATCAACAACACTATACAACACTATTTGGACAACAAGAAAAGCTCTGACTCATCTAACTCCACAAATAACACTAACGATATACAACAACCTGACAATAAACGTTATTTCAAACTACCTTACATAGGTGATTACTCACGACACACACAACGCAAACTCACACAAATCATTAAACGCTACTGCACTGACATTGACGTTAAACTTATTTTCACACCTTTTAAAATAAAATCTTTATTTTCGTTTAAAGACCCACTTCCCGAACTTTCCAAATCTATGGTAGTTTATCAATTTTCATGTGCGGGATGTAATTCCCGCTATATTGGTGAAACTTCTCGCCAATTATCTACCAGGATAAAGGAACATACTCACACAGACAAAAACTCCACTATCTACAAACATCTTCAAGCCTCTCCTTCATGTAAAAACAAATTCTCACCTTCCTGTTTTAAAAATCATCGACACTGATCAATCAACTTTCTCACTCAAAATCAAGGAAGCTCTACACATTAATAAAACTAATCCCGATTTAAATATCCAAGTTCACCACTACAACACTATATTTACTTTATTATAATATTTTGTTATAAATTCTCAATACTTATTTTTAGAACTTATGTTATAAGTTCTTAATACTTAATACTCATTGTAATTAAATTATTCATATCATATTACGTATCATATTACTTAACACTAACCATTCTGCACTGAAGATGGCATTCTGATAATGTCGAAACATGTTTGCTCTCAAAAATATCGTCGTTTTTCTCAAGTGTTTTTTAAAATTGCTGCTAATTAGAAATTATAAATAATTCTAAATTTGGTCTCCAAGCAACTTTAACAAACTTCTAGCTATATCATTGTTACTTTAAGTAGAAGTTAGTTTTTTGTGCAATTATTTTAAATTTTGTATTGTGTTCAAATATCAAGGCAAAAATATTATCTACAATAATACGATAATCTTTCTGTTCATAGAGTTACCACCATCATCTTGCGACTCACGTCCTTGTAAAAACAATGGTATTTGTACAAGTAACGGAGATGCATTCTCGTGTGAATGTGCTGTTGGCTTTGAAGGCCACACTTGCGAAGGTTAGCAAGGCTTGAGTTTTCCTTGAAGTTATTGTTGAAAATACAATTTGATTTCCATGTATAAAAGACTTAAATATGGGTCATTAAAAGCTTTATAATCTTTCAAATATCAAATACAACTTGGTTTTAAGCTCACTGCAAATCACTCCGAACCTCAAAAACGTAATTCCAAGAACGTAATTGGAGTATCTGTGACATAAACACAATTATCAAATATACATTAGCTACATGTGATATAATCATCAATTACAATACAAACAACACTTTTGTAGTGCATTTTCATCACAATGTTTAGGGTTGATGGTTTTTTTTCATTTTAGTTCTTAACGCTTGTGCCAGAGAACCTTGTAAAAATGAAGGTGTTTGTACAACTGTTGGATCTTCTTATAACTGTAAATGTAAATATGGTTTCGCTGGAAAGAATTGCCAGAGTAAGTGTACTCATACGTTTTCTTAATTGAAATACAGTCAACATGTAATTAAAACTGGACCGATCCAGAAATTTTTATACAAAGCAAATTTTGCAAATTTATGATGTCAAACTTCAAATGATGCCAAATGACCTAAAACTTGAAATTATTGATAATTTTAGTTTTTTATATCAATGACACAAATAGACGCGGCTTTTCCATATCCTCGTTTATAAGTATTTGGCACATGTCTTTGATAAAAAATTATCAAAATTTATCATTATATTAGACAAAAAGTGCTTAATCATTTTTAGCAAAGTGTAATACAAATGAAATAATCTTTTCAAAGCAGTTCAAATTATGAAGATATGCCATTTACTTCCATTAAAAAAAAGATGCCCTAAATGAAAAGCTAGCAACTTCGATGGTTGTTTACTAAATAACTTTAGGTTATAGCAAATAGGAAGGGAAAAAATGGATTTAGTGTTGGGTTGTGGAATGCTTAGTTCGCAATTACATTTATTTACTAATGTTTTAATTTTTATCTTCACGCTTGCAGAGTTAATACCAACACCGTGCGACACACGTCCTTGTAAAAACAACGGTGTTTATACAAACAATGGAGATAAATTCTCTTGTAAATGTGCTTCTGGTTTTAAAGGTGAAACTTGTGAAGATTCGTTCAATTTTTTCGCTAAACCAAATGTCTAAGATGTTAAGCCAATTTACAGGATTTATAATTACTAGTTAACAATTAAAACAGAGCAAGATTTCTTTAACTTACAAGACACACCATTTGTCACAAGCCTACTAAGACAAAGAAATTATTATGACTTTGAACAGTCAACATTGTAAAAAGTACTATCTTCAAGTCAAAATCAGTTTGCTGAGAAAAATATCAAGTAAATAAATCTTTAACATCTAAACATTGCCTTGCAGAGGATGAATTAAATACTTTTTAATAAAAAATAGATTAACTCAAATTTTATAATCGTATTCAAATTTGAAAAGTTTTCTTTCTGAAAATTGTAGTCTGTCGATTAACTTATTTCACCGGATCTGCCTCGAATCTATTCTTTTGTGTATTTGTATTTTTTAAAAGAATTGGAAACATAAAAACGTTACCTTTTTGTTCATTGTGCACATGCGTCATCAAAGTGATTAGAGATGCTTTTCTCAACAGAACTAATTTAATACACTATATTTAAATTTTTCAAAATTGGATGATATTTCGTTGTAAATGTTAGAACACGACTTCAGTGATTGTTTTTATACGATAGGCACTCTTGCAAATATTTCTTAAATATTATGAATAAATAAACTTACTTAGTTTATAATCTCTTTTTGTGTAGGTTGAAGCTCTATGGCAACCACTTGACACGTTATAATGGGTTATGGTTTCAGAAAAAAATATTTGTTGTAGTCAGAAAGTGTATTTTACTTAATTACTTAGCTTACTGTTCAATAAAACTTTGCATTAAAAAGATAAAGCGTGTACTTTCAAATTTCCATGGCACAAACTGCGTACCTAAGTTATAATGCATGAAAGTCTTCAATGATTTTTCTGCACTTGTGATTCCATGACAAAAAAATTACACTAAATTTCTCTATTCTTCACAAGTATACAAATTTTCAAACACTTTTACACTTGTTATATGAAATATTATGTTTTAAGTGTACACCTAACAAGAAGAGTAACTGGATTACAAGTTGCTTTACCTTGCAAAAACCATTTGAGACCTTATTTGAATGGTAAGTCATACTGTTGTGGCCTTTATAGATTTGTTTTAGTCTATTCATAAAATCATTTTTCAGATTTTAAATGGATACATTTCTTAAAATAGTTTATTTCTTTAAATTGTTTAAACAAAGTAAATAAAGTTACATAAATCGTTTAAATAGACGGTAATTTGGTCATGTGAAGGAAATTTTGTACGCGATTTGGAAATGCTTTATATACGCAAAAGGTACGTAATAAATTGGACAGCTGCCTCCATGCGATCAAAAGAATTCCTTTGAATCCGAAAAGTGTGCTTTTTTAATCGCAAAATTACTTGAGTAAAGAAGTTCTTTGAACATTGAGTCATGAAAATATTGCAATGTAAAAAAAATTTACTGTCCAAAGTGAATCAAAATTTTATAACATAAGGTTTGAAAGCAAGATCAAACTTAGACGATACAAGTTGCTTGGCTTATTAAATGTTATCTTTGCAGAAACTATTATAAAAAAGTAGATATTCCCTTTCTTCCATGAAGCCCATGGATGCTTTCGTTGATGGTGAGAGAGTTATATGTTATAAGGAGGCTCTCGTTCATCACAAGAGAGGTATGAAAAAGTTACATTGTAAAAAGTGAAGGGTAAAAGCACGTATAAACATGCTTAAATTATAAGTGAAGTAGGCAGAACTAGTTTAAACTTTTGTAGTAACCTTGGATGTTTTAGCTTCTTTTATGCGAAGAATTCTTGTAAAGGAAAAAGACAAATTTTGAAAACAAAAAATCCCGTTTTCGGTTTATGCCTCGCGAAACCCCAACTTATTTGAGAACCAGACGCCGCATGTTGATTAAGGGAAATAGATAATCGTTTTCCTTGAAGCCCATGGATGGTTTGCTCTTAATAGACGAGAAACAGTAATTGCAAGTGTTAAATCAGAAAGATATAAACCAATAAAAATTGTATGAAACATTTTTAAGGTTGTCTTAAGTTATAAGTGCCTGAAAAAGGCACAGTGTTAGAAGAAGTTAATCGAAATGGTGCTTGGTTTACTTCGTGAGAAGAACTCGTTTAAACAAAAAAATAAAATTCAAAAGCAAAAAGCCCCGTTTTCGTCCATGTTTCCGGATATTGTATATTCTATAATATGTTTGCTTTCGTCTGATGCCAAGGAGCTTCTTAGCTTTCTTATTGAAAAAGTAGATAAAAAGCCGCAATACTGCTTGTGTTATAAAAAAAAGAAACTTGTGTCAATCTGAAACTCGGATATTGTATTCTGTCAATAAGGAAATATTGCCAAGTTGTGAAAGTTTTTATTTATGTATTGTATGCACAAATTCTCAACGACCATTGCATGTAAAATTTTCATTTAAAACTAAATTAAATTGTTAAATTAGATATTTAAAGGATTTTTACTGGCGTCGTAAATATAGGAAATGTCAATTGTGATTTGTGTCACATAGCAAAAAAAGTAATTTCCTTGATTTTAACGAACGACAGTCATGTGCGCGCAGATACTTTTTCACATAATTTATATTACGTACCTTGTACAGATGATCTTTTCAGCTTTCTATTTTTTAAATTTTAGTCAACATCAGTTCAAGATGTATCACAGTATAGGGAATATATAGTTGGTCCACTTTGTTCCGCAATTTACTGCTGTATGTTCATTCATAATAAAAGCAGCCATCAACCATTTCCTCATTTCTAATTGTAGATTATGCAATTTACTGCTTCCACTACGGCAATCAAATGAGCAGTAAGCTATGCGTGATACAACAAAAAACTCAATGGGGAGGCCTCACTGTATGTTTCTCAAGTACAGATCTATAGAACTTTATATAATATTTGAAGATACAAATATTAAGGATATTAGTGTTATTTGTGTTCACCATATATGAACCAAAAGAGTTGAATGAACTACTGACTGAGTATTCAGCTCTTCAGCTTGTTTCCGAGGTAAGAATAAATATTTTTTGAACAGAACTATTGCATAGAACTATCCTCAAAATCATGGGGGCAGCTAATTTTACCAGTTGTAGTTGACATCTTTTGCAGTAAACTTGCTTTTTTTGTAACTTGTATTTTTGCAACTGGAATAGGTAAAAGCAGAACTTGGTCGAATTTCGGCAGACCAAAATGCAGCCAGCAACATGGTTATCCATTACAATAATATGGTTCAAAATGTCATGAAATGGGCAGGCAATAGTGACAACAAGCACATAAAAATATTGATGTCAGAGATGGAGGCCATGCTGTTGCAAAAACCTAATAAGGAAGCTGGTATGTGTATTCAATTAAGTCTGACCATTTACAGAGTTCCAGCGGTGGATTTATGGGAGGGTTGCACATGGGTGCTCACTTTTCTAAGCTCTCGTCAACAACGTGGTGCATAGAGGGATAAAAATGGCATTTTTCATGACTTTTAAGTTTTAATTAACGCTGAACATTTATTATTATTATATATAAAATATTTAGCAAATTTATTTGTTTCTAACATTCGGATTTTAGTTGCTCACAAAACCAAGCCCCCCCCTAAAAACTCTATGCTCGATCCACCACTGTAGAGTTTCATCTTAAAGCACGAGCACTTAAATCTACAATGGCAAAATGCGTATACTGTAAATATTAATCAGTTGGTTGTATATTTTGCAGATATAAGGAGTGAAGTTACAGCATTGATTATTCAGGTTGTGTTGAATGAAAAACCTACGGCAAATTGCTTAGTTTTCAAGATCTGCTGCGTAAGTAATAGATACCAAAACTATATAAAAACTGCATGGATAAAATTTGATGTATGCTTTAATAAAAATACAATTATATTACTGTCATGACATGACAATATTGTGTCTCACTTTCAATGACCTAATAATTCTAATTGTGTTTATGTTTATGCTGCTGTTTGGGAAGATGACTCTTTTGATGATGAAATAGCAAACACCACATACCCGCGACTAATTTGATCGGGAGAATTATGGAGTCTGGACCCCCTTGTAATTACCACCGAAGGGCAAATTTTTTTAAATCTGTCAAAAAAAATATAGAAATTTCATTGTCTATAGTACTACTTCTAGGTACATTTTATGTACTTAATATGGAGTATACACCAAAGGCCTGTAACATTTATGCCCTTTTGGAAGTAGTTTTGATGGGTAAGCCCGCAAATGCAAAGAAAAGGATTTCAGTTCAGAAGTTTCTGAAAAGTTTGGGGCTTTAGAGATTATAATATAGTAGTATTTCTAAGATGTTATACATATTTAATTATATATATGCATTTAACTTTACTTGTTTCATATATTGACTTGTTTATAATATGTTTTATGTTTTGTATATATTTATATGTGTGAATACAGGCATATAAATCATTTAATTTTTTTAAATATATTTATTGCTCAGCAATTTTGTGTCGCGTGTTTAACTGGCCTTACATAAAACAATAAGAAAAGGGGTTGCAAAATAACACTGAATTTAAGTGTCATTTTGACACCGGACGTTAAGGGCTAAATTAGCACTTTAACAAGTGCTATAATAACACCAAGAATAGGCGCTATTTTAGCACCAAACTCGGTGTTAATTTAACACCAGTAAGAAAATAACATCCGAAATGGTGTTATTCTGTACCATTTAATTTAACACGACTTTTTAGTGTTAAATTAACACCTTAAAATTTACAGTGTGCCTATCGTTCGAAAAGTCTTGATTGACTTTCTTTTGTGACTTCATGCAAGGCACTTGTCAATAGAAGATATATATACCCAATACCTTCGATAATATGATAATTCTGCTAGAATCTAAATTTGTGCAAAGACAGACATGGTCCATTTAAAAGCAACTTACAACCGACATAGCAAAAAGATGATTTGAACAAATTAAAAAAAGATTTCTTCACGGATACGTTAAACATTACACCTAGTACTAATATTTCAGAAAAAAGTTTTTGCTGATAGGTGGATTTTAACAAATGAATGAAAGGGAGGAAACAATTTATTAGTTTGCATTTAACGTTGAAAAATAAAAAACATTTCTTATCCAATGGACATCATAAACTAGGAAATTTAAATTGTCATAACAGCACGCTGTTTACATATACAAGGCGTCGATATATGTTAAATATTAAAGTGAAATAACTCTCATTACTAAAATGACGACAAAAGCTAATGAGTCAACAAAATTATAATAAAATTATGTCTAAATGCAACACATCTGTTTCTCTTAAGTAGCTAACTTATTGCGTATGTCACTTTTTCATTCATAAATAAAACTAGAAAAGGCATTTAGGTTCATCTTATTTATGCCACTTAGAGACAACAATTTTTATGAACAAATTTTGCGGGCTTGAAATAAATTTGAAAAAGTATACTCAAGTGAAATTATTTTAATAGAAAATTATAATTCTAAAGAATAATTCACCTTTACTAAACGGTTTGTGTTTTTGGACTGCTTTATCCAAACACACGGGAGCTAAGCGAGAGTTAAGTGAAGTGCTCAAAACATGAGCCGAAGGCGAGTACTTTTGTACCGCTTTTCTAAACTCGAGCAACATTCCCAAGTGTTTGGAAAAGGCATTTTAATCAATGAAAACCATTTAGTGAATGTTTTATACAATAACAGCAAGAGAAGAGTGTTAACAACAAGATAATTCTCCTAAAAATTTATCACTTTTTTTAAATGTTTTTCCATATAATAAAGTAAATTTCAACCAAATTTTATGTTTAATTTTAAGAACTAGGAGGAATCCACTACTCTTCATATCGCAGTACAGGATTGAAATGTCCAAGTCGTTAAATTATTGCTAGAACATGATTATTCCATGATAAACTGGGAGACTAAAGGTAAACGACAGCACTGCTGGAAGCTGCCTTACATGGCAAGAAAGACGTTTTGGAATGTTTACAGGACAACAAGGCAGCCATTACAAACGATTATGAATTCATTAACTGCTAGAATTTGGCCATTTAAAGGGGTGATGAGGATAGTGCTATGATGTTAATGTGTCATAATAGATGGCGATAGGTTTGAGTAATTTTAGTTACCATTTGTTTTCTTTAAAGCAAAAGATATTTCATACCTAAGTTAACATTGTAAAAAAGTGGTACTTTATCAGTATATCAATTGAACAAGAATAGCTCTTGCTTATAACGCAATTCTTTTAATAAACTTTAGTAAAGTACAATTTAAGAACTTTGATTTTTGTTTTCAGGTTTTGGAAAAATCTTTTCACTATCCTGAAGTAAGGATTTTAAATTTGGTTTCAGAAAACATATCAGATGTGGCTTACCAAGCTCTTTCCAACAGCATGATTTCCACAGGTGACCCAGAATGTGGTGATTATAAAGTTGAATACGACTTCATATGTTTACAAGTTAGTGACAAAGGTATGTTCACTCTGTTTTTATTCTCTTCTTCACATCGTTCTTAACTGTGCCATTCTTTAAAAAAGAATGATATCTTCAAATAAATATGTTTTATAACTTTTATTGTACCTGCAGAGTGCAATATGAAGTCTACTAAACGTAAACCTAGCACACATGGCTGTCAAAGCGATGGTGGATAATAAAAGCTACAAATGTCTTTCTCATCCTGTTTGCTTGAAATATCTTACAGAAAAGTGAAGAAATAACACATGGAAGTATTACACACTTGAATTGTTTATGTATCTTGAGTTTTTACAATTTTATTAACTTCTATGCATTTAGCATTCCCAGCTATAAGACAACGCTTTTAAACAAAGATGATAGTTCAACATATAGCATTCCTAACACGACACAAGGTATTTTTAACTAAACAAATGGCATTCCTATTAATGGGAAAACATCCCAAGACAACGGTAATCCAGCGCATATACATGTAATCAACAATAAAGTTTCTTACGATGTGTTTGTTATTTCTAACAATAGATAGTGCCTCCTTGACAATGGCAATGGCAGTTCGTTTGTTTTTTTTCTGGCTATGGTTGAATTAAAGAACTTTGTCAAGTGGGATTAAAAACATTGATTATTTTCTTCTTTATTCTTTCTATAAATTATCATCAGTAATTAAAAAGATACGTAAAGTCTTTTCTTGAGTGACTATTAGCTAAGCTAAGTTGACTTTTTTGCCTTTCCCACGTAAGTTTTAGTTCGGTTTTTGGACAAAAACAATTTAATAGTTTTTTCAAAAATGTCAGTTGACATACGTATTAGTGATCTCAGATTTATTACAACTTAATTTTGTTTTTCTATAGTTAGTTCTTTACAAATCGCACTTCTTTATCGACGACATGAACTTTTAGAATATGTTCTCTACATATTCACAGTCATCTTTCCTCGACGATTTCTCAGTGAAAAGCCTGTTCCATAGCATTGTTTTCTGCACGGCTTTATCTGGTTATATATTTCACCCAATTTCCATACTTTAGTTTGCTGATTTATACAATAAGAAAAATGGAATTCACATTATGCAAGGTTTACATATCACTTAAACATCAAAATAATTTTTGGTAACACTGCGGGAAATGTTGGATTGAGTTGTATAAGCTTTACAATTAAATGATATGACGATTAAAATTTTGTGTTCTGTAAAACCATATTATCTTGATACATGTTGATATAATAAGTTTTTTGTTTCTGTTCACATCTGTTTAGAAAAAAATTTAAGTAAATTTGCTCTATTCTACAGGTAATTATCCTACTGTTTTTGTTCTTGGTGGCGTTTGCAAAAGCATTTACGGTGATCATGAATGATAGAGAAAGATTCAAAATCTTCGGGCACGCTATTTTAACTGCCATTTTCATGATGATGGGTGACTTTGATTTTGAAGAAATTTTTGTGGAAAATGATATCTCTGAGTTCAATACATTGAAAACGTTGCGAATAGTTTTATTTTGTTTTGTTTCTTCTGTTTGTGTCAATCATCATGATGAATCTTTTGGTTGCTCTTGCAGTTCAAGACATAAGTGACGAGTTCAAGAAAAAAAATAAGCAAATCAAACCCTTTTATACTGTGAGTAATTGGAATTTTTTGAGAAAGCAAATATTTCTTATAAATGAGAAGCCTATATAGGAGAATCTTCTTTAACTTTAATTTCAGAAATATCACTTTGATTGAAAATATAGTCTATATGCACACTGCCTTATAATGATTGAAGAAAAGAGAACAAGAGCAGTCTTCTAAGGTGAATAAACAACAGGAAAGAAAAACAGTCTTTACATTTCCCTTAGATATCAACTTAGATAGCGAAAGCTAGTGTAGGTAGTTTTAAGAAAAATTAGAATGCAAAAAGGATATAAACGCTACTTAAAAAAGCTAATACGCACAAAAATAATTTAACGGAAAGCTTAATCAATCGTGCAAGCTTTTTTAACTCTAGGTTTATTTTACCAAATCAGCGGTCACTGTTTTTCACTACTAAAATAATAGGATGACAAGTCTAATGATGGTAGGTGAATGAAAAGATTTTATTTTGGAGGCTTGAGAATAAGAGAAACACTATATTAATAGCCTCCAATATCAACGCCAAATACGTCGGTACAACGTATTTGTGAAAAAAAGGATAAAAGCTTCGATATAAATCTCAACCTTTAGTAACTATTTTTTTCTGTGAATATAAGATAACTTAGCTCAATATATTTTTTAAGGAGTTATTAAAAGAGAACAAAAACAGCCTAGATTTACAACCCTATTATATAAACTAAAAGATAACGTGTATCAGTGTTAGCATAAGTAATGATCTTATGTAGAGCGTTGTCTCTTCTCTAGGCAAAAATGATGAGTGATTTAGATAGAAAGATGCACAGCTTTAACAAGTGGTCTTCTTGGAATAGAAAAAGCTTTTTAAAACCAGCTGCAAGTTGGCTGAAACGTCGAGACAAAATTTTGGTTACATGATTTAGAAATATATTTATGGGTCAGTCGTCATTTCAACAGTTATAGAAAAAACATGAGGACAACGACGTATTGCAAATGGAACTTACAATGGTGAAGCAGGAACTTATAAGGATGAAAGAGGAAGTTAAATAAAAGATGAAATTATAAAAAAATTGAAGAATGACAAAGACTTGAGTAAAAAGATAGTGATAAACTTAAATTGATGAAAGCCAAATTGATAATGACAATGATGGGCATTGAGAAAGACAGTTCTCTAAAAATCCAAGGCCATTACTACACTTCAATTTACAAAAGGGGGGTGTATTAATACATTAAAATATACCTAGCTGATTTCTTTGGGAAATGAAATTCTTTTAAAAACCAAATAGATCACTCGCAATAAATAAAGTACTATAAGTCCCCTGTAACTGAGTTAATGATGATATGGGAAATACAATGGCGTAGCCAACTTGTAAATTTGCGACAAAAATTTCAAATTAACGTTATATATGTCGAAATTATATATTGACATTATATTTGAATTGTCATCAATGTTAATTTGAATTATTTTTTAACACATATCAACTTTTTTATCTGTTGGCAAGTTTTTGGCAGTTATTTTCTCGCTTTTAAAACATGATTCTTTACTTTAATCTTCTTTCTGCATCAAATTATTTGAAGACATAGTGCAAGTGTCTTTCAAAATAAATGTTAATTTCGCTTAGAACAGCGAAATTAACATTTATTTCAACAATGGTGAAACAGGAACTTAAAAGGATTAAAGAGAAAGTTAAAGTAAAAAATAAAGAATGACAAAGACTTTAGCAAAAAGATAAGAGATAAACTTAAAATGATGAACGACAAATTGATGAAGACAATGATGGGCATTGAGAAAGACAGGTCTCAAGAAATCCAAGCCATTACTAGACTTCACTTTAGAAAAGGGGTGTGTATTAATACATTAAAATGTACCTGGCTGATTTCTTTAGGAAATGAAATTCTTTTAAAAACCACATCGATCGCTCGCAATAAATAAAGTACTCTAAGTCACCTGTGACTGAGTTAATGATGATATAGGAAATACAATGGCGTAAACAACTTCTAAATTTGTGACAAAAATTTTAAATTGACGTTATATATGTCGACATTATATATTGAGGGTATATTTGAATTTTCATCAATGTAATTACTTTTTACCAGATATCAACTTTTTTATCTGTTGGCAATAAGTTGGCAGTTATTTTCTCGCTTTTAAAACATGATTCTTTACTTTAATTATCTTAAAGTAAATGGTTTAAACACGGGAGTATCGTTACATGTTTGTAAATGTAGATCGTCCAGGTTGGTATAGTCCTGAGAAGGACTGTTTTTGTTGTTGTTGACTGAGGTTTCGACAACCTTAGCGGTAGTCATCTTCAAAGTCAAAAGAATCTGAATATGACTACGTGTAAGGTTGTCGAAACGTCAGTCAACAACAACAAAAAAAGTCCTTCTCAGGACTATACCAACCAGGACGATCTACATTTACAAACATTTAATCTTCTTGCCACATCAATTTACTTAAGGACATAGTGCAAGTGTCTTTCAAAATAAATGTTAATTTCGTTTAGAATATGCACTTAACAATATCTACTTTAAAAAACAATAATGAAATGAATGTGACTAGTTAGTTTTCATAATGTGACGTAGGACAACATCTGCCATATCTCTTGTGAACGACAACTCATGATGCATGTTGTTTTGTTGCGTTGGATTCGTTCTTGCGAGATTGCTATTAATAAAACTCTATAAGTACTATATTGAAGACGAAGAAAACGTTTTACTACGACTAAAGGAATTTCAAACCCAGTTAGGCGACCACACTGGCCGACAAATTAAAACGGATTAGATTTAATATGACGACTTTTTGTGAAAATCAAAGAATTTAATGGCAATAATAAAGAATAGCGACATTTTGTCGATTTTAAGAATCACTTTTTCAGGGCAAAGATATGGAAGACGAAACCAAACACCGATCGATTTTTTTGGTTAGCGTAGGGACGAAAACGTTTAAGTTGATTCAAAGTTTAGTAGCTATCATTTTCTTCAAAACTAAGAGTTACGAAGAGCTGACGCAACTGGTACAGGATATAACTACCAACCGAAACCATCTGAACCATTCACAGACAATAGTACAGCGTTTAAAATTAAACACTCGATGCCAAAACCAAAGTGAGATCTTTTCAATGTTAATGGCAGAATTAAAGCGTCTAATCAAAGGATCGCGAATTTGGTTGAAATTTGAACGAAATGTTGCAAGATTGATTTGCTTATGGGAAAAATTACCATAAGATTCAATATCGATTATTAGCTGAAGCAAAACTAAACTTAAAATGAGAGCTTGACCTTTCTTTTGCAATTGCAGCATCCGAGAATTTCACTTCAAAGAATCATTGACGTAATGGAGGCGGTTGTCTTGCTTTTTTCTTGTGTACTTAGGTAAGCCATAAAAACGGAGCGGTTGAGAGCCTTTTAAGAAAAAGGTATTGTATACTTGGTTGTCAATTGAGCCCTTTCTTTTTAATTTTCTGAGAAGTCGTTGTAGTTTAGGTTCTCGCAATAGCGTCGGATTTTCATCAAACAGTGTGAATTTTGTTGTGTTTAATACTTATATTTTATGCTCATTATAGAATAACCAAATGAAAGCTTTGAAAAAGTGATTTTCTAATACATTTTGAAGGAGTCTGCTGAACATTACTCAAACAAACATGGTTGAATATAGTTCGCAAAGCTTACTTTAAAGAGAAAGTAAATCTACAGCTAGTTCTACATAAATCGAATTACAAATATGTATAGCCTGAAACAAGAACAAATGAGGCTCCTATTACCACTATTGTACTTAAGAAAGAAAAATGTATCCCATTGATTTTACTTCTCTATATGCCTTTCCTCTTAAGCAATAGGCATAGTTCCCACAACTGTTAATTTGAGGTTTACGCTTGCAATAAGAAAACTTAGATGAGCCGCCAAACCCAATGAAAGAATCGGGTGTATGACAATTATTTTCATTATTTCCTATGATACCAAGCCTTACAGGAGAGTTTAACTTTTTTGGTGCAATGAAGTTAAAACCTTCTTTATTGCAGTTTTGTTGAAGAACGCTGTCGTTGATTAATGACATCCATTGGCTTCGGCTCACACTTGTTTTGTGGTATTTTCCATCTGCGATGACATCATACAACGATTTAGCTTTCATCTTGAAGCTGATTAAGTTTGTACCGTTGAGTTTCATTCCAACACATATCTTGTTAATTTTGGTGCTCCAATAGATAGGAAGTTTTATTTCCAAATCATCCATTCCTGTTTTACCACTTTTAATATTGTAACTACTTTTATTTGTCCAAAACGAAGAGTCAAAATCGAATGTTTTCTAAACAAAATTTGTAAAAATTAAATAATGAATTAAAAATTCTGTTCAAATTTAAACATTTCTAACATTTATTTCAATTAAAATATATTTCCTGTCTCCAAAAAATAAGTTAATTGCATTAGACATGAACTGATCTGAGGTATTATAACTTCTACCACACAAAGACAAATCGACCTTCTGTAACTGTTTCAATGTTAACACAGGCAAAAATCACATTGTGGCAATGGCGACACTTACTGTCTCTCCTTCCACAATAAACTCTTTACTCATTGTAATTTTAAGTTTATGTCGAGAATGTAAAATGAACTAAATATACAAAAATTCAAAAAAGATATGATTCTTTTACAGAAAACTTTGCTGTAGCCAAGTGAAGTGTTTGCCTTTATCAAATACACACCATCTTCTGAACTTTTACATTTGTTTAGAATAAATAAACAAAACCATTTTGGAGTCTGGATTTTGTTTCTAGAATTTATTAATATAATATTTTATGACAAGAAACGTTGGCAAACATCAAGTTTTATCAAGCATTTTTGTTTAAGAATAAAAAAATCCCGATTGAATATAATGATGGAGAGTTATGTATTATCTATTTAATAAAATATGGAAAACATTAAGAATGTATTATATTGCTAAAGCATCATAAACTGTACGTTTTAGATAAGGTGTTTTCATAAAAGAAATACTTCAAAAAATGCAACTGCATTACGAAAATGTTTATTTTTTTAAAAATTAACATGAAATGAGAATTAATTAAGAACAGGTGGAGCGGATCTGTCGGAAACTGAAAAGGACATCATTCATCATAAGTTAGTAGCATGCACAAAATATCAGTAAGAATGTCAAGAATTGGAAGTTATTAAATGAGATATGATCTTCGCACTTAGCTGGACAATTTAAGCAGTCGTCTCAGGACCTGAAAAAATCAGGTGACTCAACGGGATTCGAACCCATGACCTCTGCGGTGCCGGTGCAGTGCTCTGACCACTGAGCTATGAAGTCACACAGTGGTGAGCAGGTCAATATTGTTGGGCTGATGTTTTCTCGTGAAATGAATTTCATATGAATGTTTTATGCAGTGCAGTGTTTGAAATTAAATGAGATATGATCTTCGCACTTAGCTGGACGAGAAAACATCAGCCCAACAATATTGACCTGCTCACCACTGTGTGACTTCATAGCTCAGTGGTCAGAGCACTGCACCGGCACCGCAGAGGTCATGGGTTCGAATCCCGTTGAGTCACCTGATTTTTTCAGGTCCTGAGACGATTGCTTAAATTGTCCAGCAAAGTGCGAAGATCATATCTCATTTAATTTCAAACACCGCACTGCATAAAACATTCAATTGGAAGTTATAGTGGAGATAGAGTGAGAGAAGCGAGTTAGTTGTGAAACGTATGTGAACAAGACGAAATCCATTGTACAATACAGTAACGAACGTACATTTTATTAGTTAATATACCTTTGTAAACCATATTGTCGCGTGCTTACTTTGATCGATTGTGACTTATCGAGGAATACGAATTTGTAAGCACAATTCTTGACAGATCTATGATTTTTCATACATCTATCATGGATCATCTAAGGTGTAAAATTTTGAATTCCAAAGCCTCAGAAATGCCATTTTAATCGTTTTAGAGCAATACAAATTTTATTGTGGGCATCGTTTTTGCGTAAAAAGAACACATATTGCTAAGTTTTTTTTAAAAAAAAACTTTGAAGTTTACCATACTGTTAGTTTACAAAACAAGAAGTTTACCATACTGTTAGTTTGCAAAACAAGAAGTTTACAATTGGCTATCAGTTGAAGTTGGTAAAGCCAGTCACAACAACAACAAAAATTTAAATGAACTAATTACACAACAGCAATTGCAGTCCTTTATTGGTTGGGCTACCCTTTTTATCCGCCGAGATTATTCCAGATCGCCCAATCATCAGGCAATTGACCAATAAAAAGGCTTCCTTAGCTTTCTTGAACTTCATTATTGGTCAAACCAGTCATTAGCATTATTGGTCAAACCAGGATTAGTATTATTGTAAATTAAATTTTATGTTGCTAATTTTATGTTGCTTTAACATTAAGCATAACATCCGAGTATTATAAACTCCATAGTTTTTTTAAGAAAAAGGTTAGCAAAATGTGTTGTTTTTACGCAAATTTGATGCCCATAAAAAATTTGTATAACTCTAAAACGAATATAACTCCATACTCTTGACGTCATTACTGATATTTTGTGCATGCTATTAACTTGTGATGAAAACATATTATCTAAAACGTACAGTTCATGATATTTTAGTAACATAATACATCCTAAATTTTTTTTTATATTTTATTAAACTAAGCTAATTTTCCATCGTTCCTTACTCAATCAGAACTTTTTTATTCTTAAACGATAGTGTTTGAAATAAGTTGATGTTTGCTAACATTTTTTGTCATAAAATATTATATTAATAAATTCTAGCTACAAAATCCAGATTCCAAAATTGTTTTGTTTATTTATTCTAAACAAATGTAAAAGTTCAAAAGATAGTGTATACTTGATAAAAACAGATACTTCACTTCACATATATATAAAAGTAATATGATACAGTAACATATATATATAGATATGGAAAAATTATAAGAATAATAAGGAAGTAAGATAAATTAATAGGGAGCGTAATATAAACTAAATGTGTTGAATTGAGAAACTTGAAAATTTAGGTCAAAGTTATTTTTTTTGATGTGGAGTGCTTCTTTGACTTATCTCATTCTTGAATCTGCCCTAACTCGAAGCACAATGTTTAAGTTTTTCGATTCAACACAATATTTTTTTGCAACATGCTCCTCATTAATTTATCTTATCTCCTTATTATTGTTAAATTTTAGCCATATCTATATATTTTGGTCGGTGTATCATGTTTAATATTCATCATTTATTTTTTGATGACAGGAAATGTTAACTGGTAAACAGGATTCTTAATTTATGACTGAATTTTTTAAAAATTTCTTAGAAAACATTTGACTTTGACTCATCGCTTTGGAAAAATAAAAATAGTTACAAGGTTGAAAATGGAAAAACAGGAATGGATGATTTGGAGACAAAACTTCCTATCTACTGGAGCACAAAAATAAACATGATATGTGTTGGAATGAAATTCAAATGCGAGATAAATTTTATCAGCTTTGATTTTCAAGCTAATTCGTTGTACGATATCATTGCCGATGGACAATACCGCCAAACCAATGTGAACCGAAACAAATGGATGTCATTGATTAAAGACAGCGTTCTTCAAGAAAACTGCAATAAAGAAGGTATCAACGCAAAGGCAGAAAGAGAATTATTTGCTCGTGTAAGGATTGGTATCCTGGGAAATAATGAAAACGGTTGTGGGACAAGTGACTCTTTCATTGGTTTTAGTGGTCCATACAAAGGTATTTTCTGCAGGCGAGTACCTCAAATCAACAGCTGCAGGAACTCAGCTCATTGCACAGTAAAGCCGAAAATAGAACTTAAATCAATGGGATATATTTTCATTTCTTAATTACAATAGTGGTAATAGGAACCATATTTGTTCTTGTGTCAGGCTATATATATTTTTAATTCGATTTATGTAGAACTAGCTGTAGATGTACTTACTTTTTAAAGTAAGCTTTGCGAATTATATTCAACCATGTTTGTTTGAGTAATGTTTAGCAGACTTCTTCAAAACGTAATAGAAAATCTTTTTTTCAAAGGTTCCATATGATTTTTCTATAATGAGCATAAAATATACGTAATCAATACAAGAAAATTCACACCACTTGATAAAAATCCTACTTTAGCCCGGGAAGCTAAACAACAAAGACTCCTCAGAAAATTAAAAAGGAAGGTTTCAATTAACAACAAAGCATACAATAACATCTTTCCAAAAGGCTCTCAACCACTCCGTTTTTATGGCTTACGCAAGTTACACTAGAAACGTGAAGCAAGACAACCGCTTCCATTACGTCAATGATCCTTTGAAGCGACCTTCTCGGATGTTTCAATGGCAAAAGCAAGGCCAAGTTTTCACTTTAAGGTTAGTTTTACTTCTGCTAACAATTGCTATTGAGTTTTATGGTAATTTGTCCCATAAGCAAATCAATCTCGCAAGATTTCGTCCAAATTTCAAACAAATTCGCGATCCTCTAATTAAACGCTTTAGTTCTGCCACTAACATTGAAAAGATATCACTTTGGTTTTGGAAACGAGTATTGAATTTTAAACGCTGTACTATTGTCTGTGAATGGTTTGGATGGTTTCGGTTGGTAGTTATATCCTGTGCCAGTTGCGTCAGCTCTTCGTATCTCTTAGTTTTGAGGACTTAGATGGCTACCAAACTTTGAATGAACTTATACGTTTTCGTCCCTACGCTACCAAAAAAAAACGATCGGTGTTTTGTTTCGTCTTTCATATTTTTGCTATGAAAAAGTGATTCTTACGTTCGACAAAATTTCACCCTTCTTCATTATTGCCATTAAATTATTTGATTTTCCAAAAAAGTCGTTATCTTAAATTTAATTCGTTTTAATTTTGTCGGCCCGTGTGGTCGCCTAACTTGGTTTGAAATTCCTCTATCGTAGTAAAACGTTTTCTTCGTATTCGATTTAGTGCTTATAGAGTTTTATTAATAGCAATCTCACAAGAACAAATCCAACGCAACAAAACAACATGCATCATCAGTTGTCGTTCACAAGAGATCTGGCAGATGTCGTCATACATCACATTATGAAAAATAACTAATTAAATTCAATTCATTATTGTTTTTTAAAGTAGATTTTGTTGATTGCATATTCTAATCGAAATTAACATTTACTTTGAAAGACACTTGCACCATGTCCTTAAGTAATTTGATGCGACAAGAAGATTAAATGTCTGTAAATGTTGATCGTCGTGGTTGGTATAGTCCTGAGAAGGACAGTTTTTTTGTTGTTGACTAACGTTTCGGCAACCTTACACGTAGTCATATTCAGATTCTTTTGACTTTGAAGATGACCACCGCTAAGGTTGTCAAAACGTCAGTCAACAACAACAAAAACTGTCCTTCTCAAGACTATACCATCCTGGATGATCTACATTTACCAACATGTAACGATACTCCCGTGTTTAAACCATTTACTTTAAGAAGATTAAAGTAAAGAATCATGTTTTAAAAGCGAGAAAATAACTGCCAACTACTTGCCAATAGATAAAAAAGTTGATATCTGTTAAAAAGTAATTACATTGATGACAATTCAACATATATAACGTCAAATTAAGATTTTGGTCAAAAATTTACCAGTTGGCTACGCCATGGTATTTTCCATATCATCATTAACTCAGTTACAGGTGACTTAAAGTACTTTATTTATTGCGAGTGATCTATTTGGTTTTTAAAAGAATTTCATTTCCGAAAGAAATCAGCCATGTACATTTAAATGTATTAATACACACCCCTTTTCTAAATTGAAATCTAGTAATGGCCTTGGATTTTTTAAAACCTGTCTTTCTCAATGCTTATCATTATTTTTATCAATTTGTCTTTCATCATTTTAAGTTTATCTCTTATATTTTTACTAAAGTCGTTTTCATTCTTCATTTTTTACTTCAACTTTCTCTTTCATTCTTTTAACTTCCTGTTTCACCACTGTAATTTCCATTTCCAATAGGTCATTGTTTTCATGTTCTTTCTAAAACTGTTGAAATGAGGTCAGACCCATAAATATATTTCAAAATCATGTAACCAAAGTTTTGTGTCGATGTTTCAGCCAATCTGCAGCTGGTTTTAAAAAGCTGTTGCTATTCAAACAAGACCATTTTTAAAGCTGTGCATCTTTGTTTCTAAATCAATTATCACTTTTGCCTAGAGAAGAGACTTTGCTCTACATAAGATCATTACTGATGCTAACAGTGATACACGTTATCTTTTAGTTTATACAATAGGGTTGCAAATTTAGACTTTTTTTGTTCTCTTTGAATAACTGCTTAAAAAATATATTGAGTTAAGTTATCTTATATTCACAGAAAAAAAAGTTCCTAAAGGTCGACATTTATATCGAAGCTTTTATCCTTTTGTTCACAAATAAGTTGTGCCGACGTATTAGGCGTTGATATTGGAGGCTATTATTACACTGTTTCTACTAATCTCAAACCCCTAAAAATAAAATGTTCTCATTCAACTACCATCGTTAGACTTGACATCCTATTACTTTAGTAGTTGAAGAACAGTGACCTCTGACTTGGTAAAATAAACCTATAGTTAAAAAAGCTTGCGCGATTGATTAATCTTTCTTTTAAATTTTTTTTGCGTGTTAGCTTTTTTAAGTAGCGTTAATGTCCTTTTTGCATTCTAATCTTTTTTATAAAACTACATACACTAACATTCGCTATCTAAGTTGATATCTTATTGAAATGTAAAGACTGTTTTTTCCCTGTTGTTTATTCACCTCTACCTATATTTACACACATTCATCTTACCTTCAGTTTTAATAAGTGAGAAGACTGCTCTTGTTCTCTTTTCTTCAATCATTATAAGGCAGTGTGCATGTAGACTGTTCTATATTTTCAATCCAAGTGATATTTCTGAAATTAAAGTTAAAGAAGATTCTCCTATATAGGCTTATCATTTATAAGAACAACTTTCTTTCATAAAAAATTCCAATTACTCGCAGTATAAAACGGTTTTGATTTGCTTACTTTTTTTTCACTTATGTCTTGAACTGCAAGAGCAACCAAAAGATTCATAATGATGATTGACTTAAACAGAATAAGTACAACAAAATAAAACTCTTCCAGCGTTTTGAATGTATTGAACTCAGAGATATCATTTTCTAAAAAACTTTCTTCAAAATCAAAGTCACCCATCATCATGACAATGGCAGTCAAAACAGCGTGCCAAAAATTTTAAATCTTTTTCTATCATTCATGATCACCATGAATGCTGTAGCAAACGCTACCAAGAAGAATAACAGTAGGATGATTACCTGTCGAGTAGAGCAAAATTACTTAATTTTTCTTTCTAAACTGAGGTGAACAGAAACAAAAAACTTTTTATATCAACATGTATCAAGACAGTATGATTTTACAGACAACAAAATTTTAATCGTCGTAGCATTTAATTGTAAAGCTTATGCAAGTCAATCCAACACTTCACTCGAACCATTTCAATATTTAAGTGATATGAAAACCTTGCATAATGTGAATGCTATTCTTCTTATTACACAAATAAGCACACTAAAGTATGGAAATTGGGTGAAATGTGTAACCAGATAAAGCCAAGCAGACAACAATGCTATGGAACAGGCTTTCCACGGAGAAATTGTCCAGGAAAGATAACTGTGGGTATATAGAGAACACATTCCAAAAAGTTCATGTCGTTGATAAAGAAGTGTGATTTGTGAAGAACTAGCTAAGGAAAAACAAAATTAAATTATATTAAATCAGAGATCACTAATATGTATACCAACTGACAATTTTGAAAAAACTATTAAATTGATTTTGTCCAAAAACCAAACTAAAAACTTACGTGGGGAAGGCAAAACAATTAACTTAGCTCAGCTAATATTCACTCAAGAAAAGAATTTACGTATCTTTTTAATTACTTAAGATAATTTATAGAAAGAATAAAGAAGAAAATAATCAATGTTTTTTAATCCCACTTGAGAAAATTCTTTAATGCAACCATAGCCAGAAAAAACAAACAAACTGCCATTGCCATTGTCAAGGAGGCATTATCTAGTGTTAGAAATAAAAAACACATCGTAAGAAACTTTATTGTTGATTAGATGTATATGCGCTAGATTACTGTTGTCTTGGGATGTTTTCTCATAAACCGGAAGGCCATTTGTTTTGTTAAAAATACCTTGTGTTGTATTAAGAATGCTATATGTTGAACTATCATGTTTGTTTAAAAGTGTTGTCTTATATTTGAGAATGCTAAATGCATAGAAGTTAAAAAACTGTAAAAACACCAGATACATAAACAATTCAAGTGTGTGATATTTCCATGTGTTATTTCTCCATTTTCTTTAAAGATATTTTAAGCAGACAGGATGAAAAAGACATTAGTAGATTTTATTATCCACCATCACTTTAACTGCAATGTGAGCTGGGTTTACGATTAGTGGACTTCATATTGCACTCTGCAGGTACAATAAAAGTTATAAAACATATTTATATGAATATATTATTCTTTTTAATGAATGGCACAGTAAAGAACGATGTGAAGAAGAGAATAAAAACAGAGTGAACATACCTTTGGCACTACCTTCAGTGGTGTAGCTAGCGAAAAACATTTGGTCGGGCTCACGAGGCGCCACCATGGTTGGCGCGGAGCGAGAAAATTTTCCGAATTTAGACTCCCTAGAACATCGGAAACGGCTATCTTAGAAAGCAAATGCGTGATATTTATGCAGGAAATAGAACCATTTTGGTTAATTTAAATTGCCGAAGGGTCTTATAGTAAAGCAGAGAAATAGTTCAAAAATAGTTGCAGATATGTGATTTATTTTCTCAACACCACATACATAAATACATACCTACGTACATCTTGTAAAGAAACTTTGACAAAAGAACCGAAAAAGGCTCAGATTTGTCATCAACAACTATCAAAAGTTGTGATGCTGTTGATTGTCGTGCTGAAATGACAATAATCATTGCTTGCATTAAAAAGTTCCCGGAAAAATTCTCACATGGCATGGACGTAAGACATCATCAGGTTGCTATCAGCCATATATGAATACCTATTTGTATAAGAAAGCAAGTCTTCGTAGTTTTTCAATGAACTTCTTTACTACCTCATCATGCAAAGTGTTGGCGTCTTCTTTCTCTGAAAGTATGTCTTTGTGAATGGAAATTCTGCAAAGAGAACTAAAACGTCCTTGGCTCATAGTATTTCTAAGATAAATTTTTACCCTCTTCGAACAAGAAAATGACCTCTCAACTGAAGCACTTGTAATTGACAAAACCCCATTTATCTTTAACAGTTTTACAACTTCTGGAATACTAGATTGAAGATGGAACTGATAAATATATTTCAATAGTTCATCGCATGAATCACGGTGAAAGTCTTTATCTCTGTAAATAAAACAAAGTTGGCTAACTAGCATTGGTATGTCAAACATATGACCATAAACCTCCTTTAGAAGATTTATCTTTTCTGAGGGCACTTCACCTTTCCACATTTTAAACACCCTAGGGTTAACAAGGTCAAAATGCTCCATATCCTGAAATCTCTCAGTCAGCATAGTCACAATTGTGTCAAGAATTTCAAAATACATTTGTTTGTAATTATGCCGTTGGTCATACCTGGTTACTGGTGGTCCCACTTTCTCAACAGCCAGGTCGTACACCTGACAATATTCTGTATCATTTCTCAGAGAAGCAACAAAGGCCTTGAATCTCTCAATCCTACTCACTAGATAATGAAAGTCAGTGTCCTTGTCTTGCAAGATAGAATAAAGTATGGATGACTGCTCAAGAATTCTATGGAAAACAAGTACCAAGAAACAAAACAAGAAGCCATTAAGGTAGCCAAGTAAACCAGTAACCTTACTTAACGTTTCATCATCCCAACCTATTGGATTATCAGTAAGATTTTCAAATATGTCTATCATTTTCTCATAGTTAGAATGCAAGACATTGATGAAATGAGCTCTATAATACCATCTTGTGTCACCAGGACTAGGAAACTCAAGCCTATGGGATGATAGTAAATCTTTTCTTTTGGGGGAATTGCTAGTACAGGTGCAGCAAGCACTAATATTAACAAAGAAAATCTTAACAGGTGAAATGGAGGATGCAGCTTGACATAATACTAGATTTAGTCTATGGGCAGCACAGTGAATAAATTGAGCATAAGGATAATCCTGCTGAACTTGAGCTTGAACACCATTGAGATGACCAGACATAACAGATGCACCATCATAAGTCTGTCCAATAAATTTCTGTTTGACATTATTATATTGACTTAACTTACCCTTAACCACTGATGATATAGCAGTTGCAGTCCTATCACAACTAACATCAATAAACCCAAGCTGTCTTTCAATGACACTTTCCCCTATGTCCATTCGAAAAATTACACTCAATTGTTCTTTGGTAGAAACATCAGTTGCCTCATCAACCTGTATACTTAAGAAAGTGCAGCGATCTATTTCTTTTAAAATCTCATCCTCTATTATCTTATCAAGACAATCAATCAAATCATTCTGAATATCAGGAGAGACTCCAGTAAACCGCCCTTCCCCAGCAAGGTGGGTTTCAGCAAGCCTGCCATGTAATCGCCTTTCAAAAACAGAATCCATCTTGGCAAAACTTTCAAGTAGCTCTCTATAATTTCCTCTATTCATGCTGTCAATAGATTCATCATGCCCCCTAAATGCTAGCTCTTGCCTAGACAAGTATAAAACAGCTTCTGTTATGGTTTTCAACATTTCCCTGTTTTGCCTTACCTCCTCGTTATGACGCTGAATCTCTTCACGTCTGGCTTGTGACATGAGACAGTCGACACGAGGCTGAAAACCGTAGGTCCTCCAGGTCTTGTAAGCACCCATGTGCGATTTTGCCTTCTCATGCTTCATACAATCGTATAGGAAATTCTTCATGTTTTTGAATCCCGTCTGCGTCCATGAAGATGACGATCCAGGGCAAAACAAAAGACAAGGCCAACAGAACAATGCATTCTTTTCTGAGCTACCACAAAGCCAATCTTTCTTCGAGTACCAACTTTCCTGAAAGCTTCTATTGCCTGTAGTCGCTTGTAAATTTGGAATTGGCCGCTGCTTTACGAGTATATTTTGATCGCCTGATTGTCGAAAAAAAAATGGTTTCTTTTTTAGTAAACTTATTATATCGATTTCATTAGCCGAAGCCATTGTAATGTAAGTTATCACGATTTCCTAATGTATATTTCGAAAGCTCAAAATTCAAGTCACGCCTTTGAAAATGAGCCTGACTAGATTTTGTTAAACATTTGAGTGTGTTCACAGCTACTCTCAACCAATCAGATTACAGATATTCCCACTATAGATTTTACTACTTGGTCGGGCTGAATTTTCAGAGCCCGACTAGATGTTGCAAAACAGCGCATTTGAGTTTTCTTAGTTGCTGTCAACCAATCAGATTGCAGATAATCCCACTATAGATTTTACTACTTTGTCGGGCTGAATTTTCAGAGCCCGACTAAACTGCGTAATGACTGGCACTAGAAATGCACTAGTCATTGTTGCTAAGTAACGTTTAAAAATATGATAATTTTGCTAATAACGACGCAATTTGACAAATATTACACTAATAGACTGTGGATTATTCCAAAAAGAGTCGCAGAATTTAAAATTTTCGCAAATCCAATTTTGAAGAAAACAAATTTTTCATTTTTGGGAAAATATTTGGTCGGGCTAAACCCGACCAGCCAGACCGCAAGCTACGCCACTGACTACTTTGTAAACATATGAAGTCGTATTCAACTTTATACTCATCACATTCTGTGTCACCTGTGGAAATCAAGCTGTTACAAAGAGCTGGTAAGCCACATCTAACATGTTTTCTGAAACCAACTTTGTAATCTGTACTTCAGGATCGTGAAACGATTTTTGCAAAATCTGAAAACAAAAATCAAAGTTCTTAAATTGTAGTTTACTAAAGTTTATTAAAAGGAATGCGTTATAAGCAAGAGCTATTCTTGTTCAACGAATATACTGATAAAGTAACACTTTTTTTACAATGTGAACTTACGTATGCAATATCTTTTACTTTGAAGAAAACACATGGTAAGTGAGATTACTCAAACCTCTCGCCATCTATTATAACACAATGGCATCATAGCACTCTCTTGATCACCACTTTAAATGGCCAAATTGAAGCAGTTAATGAATTCATAATCGTTTGTAATGGCTGCCTTGTTGTCCTGTAAACATTTCAAAACGTCTTTCTTGCCATCTAAGGCAGCTTCCAGCAGTGCTGTCCGTTTATCTTTAGTCTCCCAGTTTATCATGGAATAATCATGTTCTAGCAATAATTTAACGACTTCGACATTTCAATCCTGTGCTGTGATATGAAGAGTAGTGGATTCCTCATGGTTCTTAAAATTAAACACAAAATTTGGTTGACATTTACTTTTTTACATGTAAAAACGTTTAAAAAAAGTGATGTAATTTTAGGAACAATCTCTTGTTCTTAACACTATTCTCTTCTTGTTATTGTATAAAACAGTCACTAAATGGTTTCCATTGCTTAAAATGCCTTTTCCAAACTATTGGGAATGTTGCTCGAGGTTATAAAAGCGGTATTAAAGCACTCGCCTTCGGCTCATGTTTTGTGCACTTCACTTAACTCTCGCTTAGCTCCCGTGTGTTTGGATAAAGCAGTCCAAAAACACAAACCGTTTAGTAAAGGTGAATTATTCTTTAGAATTATAATTTTCTATTAAAATAATTTCACTTCAGTATACTTTTTCAAATTTGTTTCAAGCACGCAAAATTTGTTCGTAAAAATTGTTGTCTCTAAGTGGCATAAATAAGATGAACCTAAATGCCTTTTCTAGTTTTATTTATGAATGAAAAAGTGACATACGCAATAAGTTAGCTACTTAAGAGAAACAGATGTGTTGCATTTAGACATAATTTTATTATAATTTTGTTGACTCATTAGCTTTTGTCGTCATTTTAGTAATGAGAGTTATTTCACTTTAATATTTAACATAATTCGACGCCTTGTATATGTAAACAGCGTGCTGTTATGACAATTTAAATTTACTAGTTAATGATGTCCATTGGATAAGAAATGTGTTTTATTTTGCAACGTTAAATGCAAACTAAAAAATGTTTCCTCCGTTTGATTCATTATTTAAAATCTACTTATTAGCAAAAACTTTTCTCTGAAATATTAGAACAAGGTGTAATGTTTAACGTATCCGTGAAGAAATCGTGTTAATTTGCTCAAATCATCTTTTTGCTTTGTCGGTTGTAAATTGCCTTTAAATGGACCCTGTCTGTCTTTGCAAACATTCGGATTCTAGCAGAATTATCATGTCATCCAAGGTATTTGGTATATATATCGTCTATTGACAAGTGCCTTGCATGACGTCACAAAAGTAACTCAATCAAGACTTTTCGAACGATAGGCAACTTCCATTATAAGAAGCAATTTTGCCATATATTTTGCAATTTTCAAACCTTTCAATGCTGCATTTACTGAGATATAGCCTTTGAAATTAAGGCAATTATTTTGAGTAAAGCAGAAAATTGTTTATTTCCATACTAATTTCAAATTATTCTTTGCAAAGCAGTCTAATGCTATTTTTACGGCATAAAGAAGAGTTCTCCGACAGTGTCATTTTAATGCAAATGAATGAAACATTAGCTATTAAGAGAAAACAAACAATATTTATTCGGTTGTTAATAGCATTGAGTGTTTTACTTATAAATGTTGAATTATTGATGTCCTTTTTTTACATTTTTTGCTTAATGTGAGCACACTATTTTAACTTAGGTAAATTCACAAAAATTATTTAACAGCATTTTTGAATGACAAGCTGCAATTCAAGTTTAAAATTACGGGTTTAATAAACGTTTTGACAGCATAACTTTTTAAATTAGGAGTAGAGCAGATTACTAAGGGAATATATTTTGCAGTAGACTGTATGATCGAGTAAACAATATCTAACATAAGATAATTATTTCATTACAAAAAAGCACTTAAAGAAAAGATCGTATCAAAAACTAATTTGTTTTTAGTGATTCATTTAGCTAAGCTGTTTTTTTGACTACAATGTTTATGTGAGGCAACATGTTTTTTAAAAACTGTATAAAGATGCTCTTGACAATTTTTTGGTGTTTTGAATCTTTTAGCCAAATCATGTGTTTTAATTTTTGCTTCGATTCTTCACACAAAGGTAAGGCACGTTATGTAGAAAATACTAGCTATAAATAGGGTTTGTCGTAAAATATTGAAAATTTGCATTTAGCAAGACCTAATTCCTTTTTTATCAAAATTATGTTAGAAATATTATTGTGCATTTCTAGATCAGAGACTGCAAGGCAATATATTCAAAAAAATTGATGTGACAAATGAGATGGAATGCATTGTTTCTTGCGCTAAGGAACCATGTTGTCGATCTATAAACCACAGGAGAAAGTTCAGTCAGGGACGTTGGAGTCTTTGTGAAATGTTACATACTGACCTCAATAATAGCAAAGAAAACGATTTGAAACATAATCGATTTTATGATTACATTTTTCTCAATTCCCCTTTCAAGGTAAAAAGAAAACTTAAGTCAATCCAAGAATAAATGTTTTGATAAAACTTTTTTGTCTAGTTATATCAAATACGTATTTGTATACTTAAATTTAAAATATTCAACGATGTTTATTATTTAAACACAAATTCCCTTCTCTTCATTTCAAATGCTAATTTCGTTTGTTTAGGAGTACAACAAAACATGCGAACTTCAATCGTGTAAGTTTAGATGGTTTTTACATAGCTACACAATGTTTTTTTTCATATTTATATAAATATAAAAAAGTTCAATTCATTCTTAGCTTTTAACAAAAGTTATGATTTGCTCTTTCCCAACGCACATGCTGAGAACATGATTCTAATGGATAATATGATGCCTAATATGTCAGAGATAACGTTGGTGTTTTGGATAAAAATGAACTCAAGTCAACGAATGGCCCTGTTTTCTTACGCTATAGAAGATAGTCCTGATGAATTTTTTGTTGGCTTTCAAAAGAATTGGCTTATTATCAGAATGCAGTCCAAGGATATTTTGTAAGGGGGAGTTGTAATAATTTACTTTTTTCTTAGTGAATCCAAAATCTGCTTGAATTGCGTTAGTAAGACTAACTGCAAATATCATATTTCAGGACAACCAAACACAGTTACACCGTTATTGCGAAAGAACTTACTCATTTATTTGCATCATTTATCAATCAACATTCATTTTTATAGTAATAGACATTAGTTTTTAAACAAGCAGGACATTTTTGTTGGTTTAATTATCAAGTAGTTTACAAAGGAGATTTTTGATGCACTTTATTTTGGGAACTTAGTATTTAATGTTAAGTTTAGTTTCGTTTTTCTTATTTTTATTGAATTCTCGGTTTAAAAGAGAGGGTTTTGTTCTAGAAGAACGAATTGACAAATGTAAATTATAAAATTTTTTTTGCTCATCGCTTGAAAAAATTCCAGTTTCTTGATTTATAATCTATCAATATTACGAATTTAGAAAAAATAGCTTGTTTTGATTAAGATGTCTATAACTTGGGAGTTCCATAACATCCAGCTTTTTTATTAATGAAAATCATACTACTTCCCTAACTTACTTCTTTTCGTTACGTTACAGAAAACTCAACATTCCACAAATCAACAACGGTTTTTGGCATCACCTGGCCATCATCATTGGTCACATGGATAAAAAAATTATTCTTGATGGATTTAAAATTTATAACACAACTAAGTTAAATAATTCATTACCATTATTACATGGTGGTGGTGTTGTTGCTATTGGTCAAAAACTTGAATGTGTGAATGGTGTTTTCGATCCAAAAATGTCATTTGTTGGTAAAATAAGTTATTTGAACTTGTGGAACAATGACGTTACACGTGATAAATCCTGTCATAAGATGCTGATCATTGATGAATGTACCAGTGGTCTAAATGAAAATACTTTTGTAATTAAGTGGAATCTTATGTATCAATTTGCAAGTGGAAATGTTATAAAAGTTCCTTCTTTAGCTAAGTTTGGTAAGTTAAAGTTGCATTTTTACTCTAATCGTTTAATAATTATGTTTATTATAATAATTAAAAGTCAAAACATTTCTCGTGAATTTTACTGAAAATGGCAAATAGTAAATAAAAAAAACGCAAATTCATTTCCTATAAAGCTAAATATTTAAATCGATCTAGGTATTTTAACTGTATTTTCTTTAGACGTTTAATTAAGATGTACCCAACCAAAGTGGAAATAAGATATTATCTCGCACTTTTTTATCAATTTTTTCTAGTAAAAAACAGAATTTTTCTTCAAATTTGTAATACGTGGCATTAACTCGCCTAACAAACATGTTCTTAAACCGAACCCAGTCAACTATAGTTTTTTTAAATGGCAAAATTCACAATTTGGACGGTTTTGCTTAAGTTGCTCCCACACCCTTTTTAACTTCTAGCTACTGTCTTTTCAGTAAGGTATTTTTTAAATTCCTTGCTGTTGTAGCAATTTTATATCTCTGTCTTTTTGATAAGTTTTGCTTCTCGTTCTTTATTCTTTTCTACTCTATTAGTTTTCTCTTGTGTCTAGCTAGAAATGTAGATAATTGTTTCATGTTACTTAACAATGGCAATTACTTCTATGTTTCATTTTTCTTTCATTTTCAGATTGACCACAGCGTTTTTTAATTTTCTTTTCTCAATATTGACTCCATGCAATTAAGTTCATTTTGCTAGATTGCTTTAGTTCGTTTGTTTACCGTCTCTATTTTCCTCATATCAAAGTTTGCAATCAGCTCTGCTGTTTTCTCTTATTAGCACTTTAATTGTCTGATTTTTTTGTCAGCTAATTTTGACATGAATTTGTAGCTCACTAGTATTGAAGATTGGTCGACTTTTTAATTCAAAGCGCTCTTTAGTATATTCAATAACGCTTTAATAGAAAAAGAATTTAGGAACACGAATTCAAGAATTTCTACATTTCCTATTACGTGTTGTTTGTGGTCGTCCCAAATTTGACTGATGCTTATCTAACGCTTCTTAACATTTATTTTTTAGGTTTTTCATCATGCAAAGAAGCATTAAAGGATGACAGGTATAGTATGCCTAGTACATAATTTATTAGGAATTCGTGTTCATTATTTTTGTTAAAAAAGTTATGTCCACCTTGTTATTTTTTCCACGCTCATTGAACTCAATTCCACGCCCACGCTTCTTTTTGTCGCGGTTGGTAAACATGAGAGAAAAAACATAGTTGAGCTTTGTCCAACTGCCTTTAGATAAATGACTCGAAGACATTGATTTTATTACTTTTCATTTTTCATTAGATCACATAATTCTTTAACTTAAAAACATAATGAATTATTTCAATAGTCTTTATCTGTGACGGATCTAGAATAAATCAAATAACTCACGCAACTGATGTCTACAATTCAAAAATTAGTCATCAAATTTAATGCTTACAATTCTATTTTGTCATTTGACTAAGTCACTAAAGAGTTACGTGAGATATGCTTGTGCAAACCTAGTGTTTAGTTTCCCACGTTAGTCGTTAGTGTTGATCGCAATATTTTGTAAATGGCGAGAACTTGGCGATAAGGATCAAATTTTACACTATGATCTCAAAGAAACTGACATATTGGACAATAATGAAAGAGATCCAATCAACGAGAAACAAATGCCAAATTTTTTTCAAAACTTAAATTAAGTTTTTTTGAGCATCGCAGAATCCATGAAATAAATGAAGAAATCAATAAACTGTGGTGGTTTATGCAAACAGATGGAAACGGATGAACCAATGAAGAAACGACCGAAAAGCTTAAAACAAACTAAGTTTTAGGACGAAATCGATGTTTATGAGGGAGAAGTCTTGTTGCAAATGACGTACACCCTGGCCAATACGGTCATAGAGGGTGAAAGAAGCGTCGAAATTGCTCGAAACGAATAGGACGCTATGCTAACTGAAATCTCGAACGACTTCCATCAGGATAAGGACATAGGTCCGAGCATTAAAACAAGATGTCAAACGTTGAAAGCATTTACAACTGGTTGGTGATGAGTGCATTTTTAATTCACAAAATTACTCAAAACATCATAACCTGGCAATAATCAGTGCCATTTGGTGATAAAATCTTTCACCGACAACGTTAAACTTTGTCCCTTCAAGATATTGAAAAATATTTGGAAAGAGCAAGAGACGTACGAGATGGTAAAAATAAACAATTATTGATTATATTAGTTTCTAAAAGCCTCATAAAGTCATAACATCTGATACTTTATCAAGGTGGCTTGAAAAAATTTTGAAAATGGCTAGTATTACTGACTTCACGGGACACAGCACCAGAGCTGCCTCATCATCTTCAGCAAAATGGAGTAATGCTGATATTACTAGAATCTTGCAAGAGGCTGGATGGATAAATGCATTTCATTTCAACAGATTTTATAGTAATTCCCTGCACAGAAAAGACAATTTTGTGCAAGCGTTATTACAGTCTTGTGCACAGGACCATAATATAGCAAAATATCGTGTTATTGTTATTCATTAAGAGCGGTTTTTCCAAAATAATTGATTTTTTATGGGTTTTAACTACTACGTACGCTCAAGATCTCAATATTTTTAATATCTAATGTGACTGCTTAGTGATGTAGTAGTTAAAAACTAAACAAGGCTTACCTGAAAGTTGGAGTTTTATTGTAATTCTTTGAGCTATTTGACAGGGAAACTATAAGGAGTCACCCACCCCCATTAATGCCTGAGAGACTAATTAGGTTTATTTTCTCAACCTATGGGTTTTTCTTATATTGGCATCACTTGCAGCGTTAAAGACTGAACACACGATCTGCGTGCGCATATCTCACGTGACTCCTTACTGTCCTTCTCCAATAACTCATAGAATTAAAATAAACAATTAAATTAAAAGAACTGCTGGTAAGTTTACCTTTAATATTCAATTTTTTGCAATCATTAAATTCCCAACTTATACTAATTCAAATTTTAATGACGAAATTCTGTTATATCTGAAATCGTACATAAAAATCACCTTGGCAAACAGATCAGTTGATTTTAACATATCTGGAATTATAATTAATGACTGAATGATAAGCGTGTTGGCTCGATTGGTTTGATTGATAATGGGGTTTAAGAACGCTATGTAAGCCTTTTCATTGATAAAGTGCCTGATAGTTGGTGATCTGGAATAATCTCGGCCGATAAACAAGGTGGCTGAACCGATAAGGGAGTGCAATTGCTACTGTGTAATTAGTTAGATTAAATTTTTGTGTTATTATGATTGGCTTTACCAAGTTCAACTGATAGCCAATTGAGATAAAATCTGATCTCTACTAAGCAATTTTTTTGACGATTGTCAAAAAATATGAACTGTCCCTTGTGTTACATCATTTCTAACTTAACACATTCCATAGAGGTGTGTCTGGAGTCTTAGCAAAAAAACTTAAATGTTTTGGAAAAAATTGTATCGCTTTAAAACGATAAAAATTGCTTTTTTAAGGCTTTAAAATTCAAAATTTTACACCTTAGGTGATCTTTGACTGATGTTTGAAAAATCATAGATATGTCGAGAATTGTGCCTCCAAATTTGTAGTCCTCGATAAGTCACAATCGATTAAAGTAAGCATGCGAAAATAAGGTTTGCAAAGGTATATGAACTAGAAAAACTATCTAATAAACAAGTACGTTCGTGACTGTATTGTACTATGGACTCCGTCTCGGTCACATACGTTTCACAACTAACTCCCTTCTCTCACTCTTATTCCACTATAACTTCCAATTCTTGACATTCTTACTGATATTTCGTGCATGCTATTTACTTATGATGAATAATTTCCTTATCAGTTTCTGACAGATCTGCCCCAACTGTTCTTAATCAGTTCCCATTTTATGTTACGTTTTGATAAAATAAACATTTTCTTAAAGCAGTTGCATTTTTGCAAATATTTCTTTTAGGAAAACACATTATCTAAAACGTAAACTTCATGATATTTTAGTAACATAATACATTCTAAAATGTTTTTCATATTTTATTAAACAGATAATAGCTAATTCTCCATCGTTATACTCAATCGAGACTTTTTTATTCTTAAAAGATAATGTTTGAAATAACTTGATGTTTGCTCACGTTTCTTGTCATAAAATATTATATTAATAAATTCTAGCAACAAAATCCAGATTCCAAATTGTTTTGTTTATTTTTTTTTAAACAAATGTAAAAGTGCAAAAGATGGTGTTTACTTGGTAAAGACAAAAACTTCACTTGGCTACAGCAAAGTTTTCTGTAAAAAAACTATATCTGGTTGTTCTGGAGAAGGTTGGACGCTAGTGATGAAAATTGATGGGAATAAGGTGCAACTAAAATTGTTTAAAGTTTTTCTTCAAAAAATTTAGTAATATAACAACATAAATTTTTGTGTTTAATGAAAAATGAAGGCATTAACAGAATTATAAAAATCTATTTACTTTGCATTAACGAGCATCATTTTTTTTAAAATATTACTTTTTTATCCTTAAATTCAATGTTTTTACCTAAGCTTCATTTCCATTAAATCGTAGAAGTCATTAATATTGGATGACGTTCGTCGTCACCACTCATGCACGGGGATTAATGGAAACTTGATTCGAGGCAATAAATACAACAACTGCACTGCAATAAATATAGACGAAGAGTTTTTTAAAAATAGACATGTTTTGGCGTCTCATGATGCCATCTTCAGTAGAAGTGAATAATTATATAAATAATGCAAAGTTTATGAAAGAGTAATGTGATACAGTGACATAAATATATAGATATGGATAATCTATAACAGTAATAAGGAAATAAGATAAATTAATAGGGAACGTAATATAGACTAAATGTGTTGAATCTAAAAACTTGAACATTGAGGTCAGGGTTAGTTTTGTTGATGTGGAGATCTTCTTTGATTTTACTTATTCTTGAATCTTCCCTAACCCTAAGCACAATGTTCAAGTTTTTAGATCCAACACAATATTTGTTTTGCAACATGCTCCCAAGTTATTTGTCTTATTTCCTTCATATTGTTAAATTTTATCCATATCTATGTATTTTGTCGGTGTATCATATTTAATATTTATCATTTATTTTTTGATGACAAGAAATATTAATGGTTTTAAAATAAATGTTAGAAATGTTAACTAGTAAACAGGATTCTTAATTTACGGCTTAATTTTTTTAAAAATTTTTTAGAAAACATTTGACTTTGACTCATCGCTTTGGAAGAATAAAAATAGTTACAATATTGAAAATGGTAAAACAGGAGTTGATAATTTGGAAACAAAAATTCCTACCTACTGGAGCACAAATATAAACAAGATATGTGTTGGAATGAGATTCAAGGGTGAAACAAATTTTATCAGCATCGATTTTCATGCAAATTCGTTGTACGATGTCATTGCCGATGGAAAATACCATCAAACCAATGTGAGCCGAAACAAATGGATGTCATTGATTACAGACAGTGCTCTTCAACCAAACTGCAATAAAGAGGGTTTCAACGTCTTTGACAAAATAAATTCACACCCCCGTGTAAGGATTGGCATCATAGGAAATAATGAAAAAAATTGTAGGTCAAGCGACTCTTTCATTGGATTTGGCTGTACGTACGAGCGATGCACGCAAAACGCTCAAATAAATAGCTGTGGAAACACGGTTTTCCGCCACAATAAGGAACAATTGAAATCAATGGGATACATTTTTGTTCTCTAATTTAAATAAATGCTTATTTAGACTACGTTGCTTTTGTTTAAGTTATAAATATGTGTAATTTGTTTAATGTATTGTTATGCCAACAAGCTTTAGCATTGCTAAATGTACTTTCTTCTTTGTTATCTGCTATATGTATAATTCAATAAACTTTTCTTTGAGTATGTTATACCAGACTTTTACAGACCTTATCATAGAAAGCAGTATTTAAAGACACTCATTTGATATTTCTATTGTAAGCATACAATATATGTATTAATTACGACTTGTGGGTTAAATATTGGTAGTAAAATTCAGGTTAGTTTGTGACTGTAGAAGTTACCCGTTAAATTATAAAAAAGTCTCACAAAAGAGTATCCTTTGTAAATACCTAAAATGAAACATTCAGCAGCAGAATTTGAATTTTAATTAGAGTAATTTGGCAAGCCGGACTTTTCGTATAAGACATCGCCGAAATTTTTGAGAAGGATTTGTGATTTGGCAGAACTCTTGCAGGACATCGTCAACATAAAGAATAACACTACTTTTATCCATTTCAGCATTTTCTAGCCTGCCCGTTTTTTTCTATCCATTCAAACTAACTTTTTAACATAAAAAATAGATTGCTGGAAATTTCTCGATCTTCGTTTCGCAGGTCCTTGGGGATCTACACGATGGTGCAGCGCTGTAGAAGTAGGGGGCACTTGGGAGAGAAGCCCCCACCCTTATACCTTTGAAATGTGTAACATTTCATTATTTCATAGCTTCAGCTTCGTCAAAAGAGCCCCCCCCATCTGATAAATTTAGTTCTAAAGCAATGGATTTTGTTCTTTTTTGCGCATCTTATATTTTTTTTGTAATGAACATCCACACGAACGTTTAACAAAATTTACCAAAGAAAAAACGAAAATACCTTCATTAGAGTCAGCGCAGCTAGAACTTTATGTGAAAAAATCCAATTGACATAAGCAAAATTTAGGCATACAAATTTTTGCAAGTTCCCTGCTAAGTAGCTAACTGTAGTGAGCCTTGTTAAATTGATTGATTATTTTAGCTGGAAGAAAATCATTCATTAAGCATGAGTCACGTTTTTGTTTACTTCATCGTCACAAGATATTTATAGCATACTGCTGTTATAACTAAAATTTTTCTGGCATTTAAAGATACGTATTTAGATTATCTTTCAAGAAAATCATCCAATATTGCCACATATTGCTGAACAAATTGTACAACTGAGTCAAACAAACTTTAAAATACTTTGAAATTTTTGAAATTTTAGCCATAAATATTTGACGTAATGTCATAACAAACAAATAGTTTATAACATGTAGAGGAAGGTGATTGCCATATATTTTAGAATAGGCAAAAGTTAAATAACTTAGTTGGGAACTTTTTAAAAGTTTGCAAAAGATTGAAACGATAAAAATCTCGTGCACTGGAATGCTAAAGAACATGAGATCACAACGTTAATTGATCTGAAAATTAGTCAAAAACTTGGCCGTATTCTTGAATAGATACATCCATATTTTAGAAATAAGGTAAAAACATTTTTTCAGTTGTTCAAACAAATTTAATTATTTACAAAAAACTCTTTAAAAGGATACAAGTATATGCATGCATAGACTATGCATCATTGTCATTGAAGCCCAATTTTAATTTACAAAAACAAAGTTGAGCTTTATTATTTATCTTTAAAGATTTTTTCTTCCCTGTCACTGCATATTCAGGTTACTACATATATAATCACAATTGCTTTTAAAATATACTGTGGTATTACTGAAAAATCCATGCTGCGTTTGCTGAAAGAAAGTTAGTTTGTGTAATGTTTAATATTGTATTTGAAGTTTTAATTTTAAATTTTATCTTCAAATTTTAAAATTCGCATGTCTTTTTCTTATATTTTAATGCATCTTTCATGTACATCGTTGCAGTTGAAAGCAAGAAAAATATCATCAATCCTGTAAACATCACAAGTCTCGATAAATCTACCGAAGTGCATCTTATCATCTAATTTATAACTATCTTAAATTTTGTTTTCAAAAGTTTTTTTAGTTCACAATTAACTGTAGAGACATGTCCATTAAAGGAAAATGTTTTGTTTGAAAATGTTTTGATTCGAAGATTGAAAACAACAAATGCAATAGGATTGTAATTGTGTTTTATAGCAAAATATCGCTTTGCACACTGCTCACTGTAACGTTTCCAATAATAAATGCAAACGATAGACTTTTTTGAGAATCTAAAACTCTCAATTCTTTATTTTTCAAAAATTGATTGAAATGACTTTTAACTTTAAGCGTTTAAAACATTTCCAAGGTCAGATGATGCCATGAGGAAATTTGTCATTTGACACATTTTGTGTTCGATATTTTATCGCAATTTTCTTTCACATCATGACACAGCCAAGTCAAAAAACTGTTTTTATGAACGAGTTTACGAGAATTAAAACAGCATTCATTCATATTAAAAGGAAAGTGAGTTAAAACATAAATAGTATCTTGTGCTAGTTTTATTTTTATTTTATGCTTATATAAAAGTAGCCAAAATTCATGTCTAGAAGTAAGGAGTGGTGTTTGCAAAAGCTTCTCATAATTTCGAACATTTTTTGTATTCTTTAATTGAATAGAACATATTATTCAGAAAATTTTGTCTGTTTTCAAAGATTGAGTCACTAAAAACGAGGACCGATATAGTCTGGGCTAGGGTATTTATCACATCGGCAAGCACGTTATAATACCTCAGATCAGTTCATGTCTAATTAACTTATTTTTTTGTAGACAGGACATACTATTTCAGTTAAAATAAATATTAAAATGTTTAACTTTGAACAGAAATTTTAAATCGTTATTTAATTTTTACAAATTTTTTTTGGAAACTTTCGACTTTGACTTATTGCTTTGGAAGAATAAAAGTAGTTACCAGGTTGAAAATGGTAAAACAGGAATGGATAATTTGAATACAATACTTCCTACCTACTGGAGCACAAAAATAAACAAGATATGTGCTGGAATGAGACAAATTGTGAGACAAATGGTGAGACAAATTTTATCAGCTTTGATTTTCAAGCTAAATCGTTGTACGATGTCATTGCCGATGGAAAATACCGTCAAACCAATGTGAGCCGAAACAAATGGATGTCATTGATTAAAGACAGTGTTCTTCAACAAAACTGCTATAAAGAAGGTTTTAACGCAAAGGATGAAATAGGGTTACATGCTCGTGTAAGGATTGGTATCCTGGGAAATAATCAAAACGATTGTGGGAGAAGTGACTCTTTCATTGGTTTTGGTTGTCCATTCAATGGTATTTACTGCGGGCGAATACCTCAAATCAACAGCTGCGGGAACTCAGCTTATTGCAATGGAAAGCTGATAAGAGAACTTAAATCAATGGGATACATTTTTATTTCTTAATTACAATAGTGGTAATAGGAAAAACACTTGTTCTTGTTTCGGGCTATATATATTTGTAATTTGATTAATGTAGAACTGGCTGTAGATGTACTTTCTTTTTAAAGTAAGCTTTACGAACTATATTCAACTATGTTTGTTTGAGTAATGTTTAGCAAATTTTTTCAAAACATATTAGAAAAGAATTTTTTCAAAGGTTTCATTTGATTTTTCTATAATGAGCATAAATAAATATGTATTAAAAACAACAAAATTCACACTGCTTGATGAAAATCCTACACTGTGCCGAGAAGCTAAACTACAACAACTTATAAGAAAATTAAGACGGAAGGGTTCAATTGACATTAACCCAAAGGGCTCTCAACCATTCCGTTTTTTTGGCTTACCTAAATTATACATGAAACGTGAAGCAGGACAACTGCGTCTACTACGTCAATGATCCTTTGAAGCGACTTTCTCGGATGTTTCAATAGCAAAAGCAAGGTCAAGTTCTCACTTTAAGGTCAGTTTTGCTTCAGCTAATAATCGCTATTGAATCTTATGGTAATTTGTCCAACAAACAAGTCAATCTCGCATTCGCGATCCTCTGATTAAAAACTTTAATTCTGCCATTAACATTGAAAAGGTCACACTCAGGTTTTGGCAACGTATGTTGAAATTTAAACGCTGTCTGTTAATGGTTGGCATGGTTTCGGTTGGTAGTTATATCCTGTACCAGTTGCGTCAGCTCTTCGTAACTCTTAGTTTTGAGGACATCGATGGCGACCAAACATTGAATCAACTTATACGTTTTTATCCCTACGCTAACCAAAAAAATCGATAGGTGTTTGGTTTCGTCTTCCATATCTTTACCCTGAAAAAGTGATTCTAAAGTTCGACAAAATGTCACTATTCTTTATTATTGCCGTTAAATTCTTCGATTTTCCCAAAAAGTCGTCATACTAAATTTAATCCGTTTTAATTTTGTCGGCCCGTGTGGTCGCCTATTTGGGTTTGAAATTCATCTGGTCGAAGTAAAACGTTTTCTTCGTCTTCAATATAGTGCTTATAGAGTTTTATTGATGGCAATCTCGCAAGATCAAATCCAACGCAACAAAACAACATGCATCATGAGTCGTTGTTCACAAGAGATCCGGCAGATGCCATCATACATCACATTATGAAAAATAACTAATCACATTCATTTCATTATTGTTTTTTAAAGTAGATATTGTTAAGTGCATGTTCTAAACGAAATTAACATAAATTTTGAAAGACACTTGCACTATGTCCTTAAGTAATTTGATGCAGAAAGAAGATTAAAGTAAAGAATCCTATTTTAAAAGCGAGAAAATAACTGCCAACTACTTGCCAACAGACAAAAAAGTTGATATCTGCTAACAAGTAAATTAAAAATACATTGATAACAATTCAAATATGATGTCAATATATATAACGTATATACAATGTCGACATATATAACGTCAATTTAAAATTTTTGTCACAAATTTACAAGTTGGCTACGCCATTGTATTTCCCATATCATCATAAACTCAGTTACAGGTGACTTAAAGTACTTTATTTATTGCGAGTGATCTATTTGGTTTTTAAATGAATTTCATTCCGTAAAGAAATCAACCAGGTACATTTTAATGTACTAATACACACCCCATTTCTAAATTGAAGTCTAGTAATGGCTTTGGATTTTTTAAAACCTGTCTTTCTCAATGCCACTCATTGTCTTTATCAATTTGTAATTCATCATTTTAAGTTTATCTCTTATCTTTTTACTTAAGTCTTTGTCATTCTTCCTTTTTTTCATAATTGCCTTATTTACTTTAACTTCCTCTTTCATCCTTTCAAGTTCCTGTTTTAGCATTGTAAGTTCCATTTGCAAGACGTCCTTGCAGAAGCGTGTTGGTGCAATTATGGCTGCGGAGGCCAAAGCAAAATTTCGCGCCGCCTTCACCTTTGAACTAATGATTTTTGCTGTGCATATCGCAGTATTATTGAGTCTCGATACTTTATGTTAGTTTTTGCATTTTGATTACACTCTAACGATGACTGCTCTACCACTAGAAAATTAAAAATAGGTACGCGAATAGGTTAAATGACTAATATTTAATTAACTACATGAGAAATCACTAGAGAAGTCCGACGGTCATTTTTTGTAATGATAACCAAAATATTATAGATCATTTATCAACAAAAATGATAATTTTGTCGCCAAATACAACAAACTAAAAGTCCGTCTCATTAGTTTATTAGCTTGCGCTCTATGGACGACTGATTTAAACGACTGAAACAAGTCGGGCGTCTGTTTGAGAGACAGGCTTCAGTCAATGGCTCAATAGACCTGCTAAGTAGGCTGGCCACTATAACGAGCCACTATAACCTGTATGATATTTTGAAAGGTTTATTCCCACTATTTCCAGTAAAATTTTACGAATTTCCTTTATTTTATACTTTCGAATATTTTCCATAACGCATCATCATCATGTGGTCGTGTCAATTTGTGAATTGCCGTCCTAGCACCCGGACATCTGGACATTTTTTAGTATAACATTGTGGTTAGCCTGTTAGCAGGCTACTACAAAAAGTATTATTAGGTTTGGATTAATGATAAAATGGAATACCAGTAACGATTCCTGTCTGTGGTAGAAAGCCAAGAAAATTGATTGAAATAGGCAAAAAACTATACATTTTTAGGCCTTGTCACGCCACCTAAGAAGACATTAATTTGGCCAAGTATGTTGTCCACTGTCATTGTAACAATTGACAAGTCAGGTGTTGTGGCCACATAAGAAACATCAACAATGCTCCTCAATTACTTTATTCCTTAATCGATTGTAAAACGACCCCCCTTACAAGGTTTAATTTTGATCTGTCTTCCTTTTCTTTACAGTTAACTTCATTTACTTTATATTATAACTGTGGAAATAGCTGTTTGCTTCAATTCATTTTTCTAGGCTGAATTTAAAACTTCGTGACTCATAATTATTTCTGCGCCCCAATAAAATAAACAGCTGGGGGGACTTGCCTCCCCTACCCCCCTGCCCCCCTGCCCCTCTGCCCCCTGCTACCACGCCAGTGCGTCATTGTTCTTATGCTTTTTCTAAAACTGTCGAAATGAGGTTAAACCCATAAACATATTTTCAAATCATGTAACAAAAGTTTTGTCTCGACGTTTCAGCCAATCTGCAGCTGGTTTTAAAAAGCAGTTGCTATTCAAATAAGACCACTTTTTAAAGCTGTGCATCTTTCTTTCTAAATCAATCATAATTGTTGCCTAGTGAAGAGACAAAGCTTCACATAAGATCATTACTTATGCCAACACTGTTCACGTTGTCTTTTAGTTTATATAATAGGGTTGTAAATTTAGACTGTTTTTGTTCTCTTTTAATAACTCCTTAAAAAATATATTGAGTTAAGTTATCTTATATTCACAGAGCTACTAAAGGGTCAGGTTTGTATCGGAGCTTTTATCCTTTTTTCACAAATACGTTGTGTTGACGTATTTGGCGTCGATATTGAAGGCTATTAATATACTATTTTTACTAACCTCAAACCACCAAATCAAAATGTTTTCATTCAACTACCATCGTTAGACTTGACATCCTATCACTTTAGTAGTTGAATAACAGTGACCACTGACTTGGTAAAATTAACCTATAGTTAAAAAGCTTGCACGATTGATTAAGCTATTTTTAAATTATTTTTGTGCGTATTAGCTTTTTTAAGTAGCGTTAATATCCTTTTTTGCTTTCAATTTTTTTATCACTACCTACACTAACAATGCTGTAGAAGTGTTGGGCGCTTGGGAGAGGAGCCCCCCTTCTTCCAGTTCTGGGGGGTGAGCCTCCCGTCTACTATTGAAATGGTAATTTAAAAGGACACTAATGACAAAAACCTGACTCTATTTTCATTAAGTACAATCAAAATTATTAAAATTACGTTCTTGATTAGTCGATAATTTTTCTTGTCTTATTATTTCACATGATAATGCCCCCAATCATCCATTTACGCTGTGTAGGTTTCAAACAGAATAACTTAGATTAAAACTTACACGAAGGACTAATTATGGCTGCTTAATATTATTGAGTTGCTTGGGCGCAAGTAACCAATTAATATTTACTGCAAAAATAATGACTGCTTAAATAACCTCTTTGAATATGTCTAAAAAAGTGAAGCATGCATCTCTGTTGGACTTTTTCGTGCCAAAGGCGAAGAAAAGCAAAGAAAAGCAAATAAAACCCTTTTGAAGATTTAAATGAAGACATAGATATGGAAGCTGAAACTTGTATCTCGCAAAAACCTAACAGTTCCAACAAGCCCATTGAAATAAATTACGATGTTTTCCACGCTTTAAAACCTGAAGCCGGAGGAAGAGGCGAGCATAAGGCAATGGTTGAAATCAACGACAGCAACAGCTCCGAAAAAGAAACTGAGCTGAGAAGTTTGATAAAAACACACAGGAATTTACGGTAAACAATGCCTTCAATGAATTTCCAAACTCTAGTGAGCATTTAGTTGTCGGGATTTTAGAAACGTTAACAATCTTGGACTGCATGCTAAACTATGAAATTACATGAGTAAAGAATGGATAGAATATACTGTTTTTCTATGCAAAACGAAGAGTCTTGAAACCACAGCAGCGCAAAATTACCTAAGAAAAAAATTTGCCAAGCATGCAAAAAGCAGTGCACAAGTAACTGCAACCAAAATTCTCAATGAAAAAGAAAAGAGAATTATCCAGATCTCAACTGGCTTATCTGTTGCACAATATCAATCAACAACTGCGAATGCCTAAGAACTGCCTTCTATGTTGCTAAAGAAAACAGACCATACTCATACTATGAGAATCTGATAAAGCTTTAGCAGAAAAATGGAATAAATCTTGGGGTTACTCTACATTCAAGGTGGTCTTGCAAAGAAATGATTGATACAACTGCCTCAATTATGCGTAAGAATCTTATTAAAGAAATTACCAAAATAACAAAAAGATTTCCATTATAATTGACGAAGTTACCTCAAATGCAAAAGAATCCTGCCTGGTCGTGTATGTGAAGTCCATAAAAAACGGTTTTGCTGTTAACATTTTTCTAAGTATTGTTGCCAAAGAAGAGCCAGGCGGGAAACGGATTCTTAAAATAAATATTAGAGCCCAAAAAATAATTTTAAAATATTCATAAACAATTTGGTTTTATGAAATTTATTAAAAGAGTGACGTTTTGTCTTTACTCAAGACATCTTCAGACTAGTTAACAAGAATATAGATACATGTTTGTAAATGTAGATTGTCCAGGTTGTTATAGTCCTGAGAAGGACTGTTTTTCATGTTGTTGACTGACGTTTCGACAACCTTGACGGTAGTCATCATACGAGTCAAAATTTTTGACTAATCGCTGCCGACAAAACAACAAATTTCTACAAGTTAGACAAGCCAGCATATTACGACCTCCTTGAACAAAACATCACAATATCATGCAAGAAATCAAATGCCGACACAATAAAAGCCATCCACGCCGAAGACAAAAATGTCACATCACAACTGGGTATATCTGACACTGGATTTTTCCTCAACCTACGACAACATCACAAACGCCAAAAGCAAACATCATTATACACGCCATAAATTAATTTCTCATACACAACCAACAACTCTGGAAAAACCAACAACTTTGCATTCGACGTCGCAATGGGCAGCATCAACGCTGCTGAAAAATGCCAACTCGTAGGAAGCTCCCTCCTTTCTCAACTACAACACATCACAACAGACATAGGACTTTATCGAGACAACGCATTACACAAAACCCAACACTTCTCAGCAATACGTCAACAACGAAAGCAACCATACACCAACCCTAAGGAAGAACATACCCGCCACCATTACAATAAAATTTAATATAACTACATGAATAATTAATCTTCCTTAATATTTTGACTAAATGTAACTGTTATTTAAAAATGGTAATCATTTAGAGTTATGTACTTTTATTTTAAATCATTTTCACTTTAATATAACTTTTTCAAATTTGATTTTTGTACATTGATTTGGTTTCATTTCGAAGTTCTAAATTTCAATTTAGCTAGATACAGTTTTAAATGTAAAAGTCACATACATGCGGAAAGAGTAAGCATATTTACTGAAACAGATGGGCTCCAGCGAAACAAAATTTATTAAATTTATGATAATTTCGTATTTCATTAACCTTTGACAGCGTTTTAGCAATTAGAACTTTTTACTAAGCTTTGACGTTTACTGCATAAAGAGCATGTTCTCATCAAATTTCTTAACTAATGCTTCCTCAGTTAAAGCGAAACTATTACTATCAGAAAACTTTACTGACAATACGAATTTCATTTATGATGTACACATGACAAAAAATCGTTTTAAGGCCTGTTCACATCGGCGATCCTATTGGTCAGAATCAAGTTTGTCAAATCCTAAGAAACGGACTATGTGAACACGTCTAAAGTTAGCCTCCTACAATCGGACCATCAATCGAAAATATCGGATGGAAATAGAACTTTCTCTATGCTTCATTCAATAAGATAAAAGGAAGCCGACCAGCTAACTTACATAGATTTAAAAAGACTTGAAAACAAGAACAAAAATACAAAATATTCATCGACAAATGTACTGCATAACACAAATGGCTGTTTACAAGACTATAAATATTTAAACGAATATTAATATCAACAAAACTATTGGATCGGATGAACAAGCAACCAAAACTTGGAACCCAACAAACGGGATCTAACAAATGTGTTCTCGTGAACGGGCATTTATACTTTGCAACAATGAAATACCGGATGTGGCAAAAAATGTTCTTTCTCATGCTACAATGCTTAGCACAGGTTTCCGTATTTAGATTGGGAAGGCTATTCCTTATTTAAAGCACTAATAATTAAAAACTACTACGATTTGTCAAATAGCCAGCAACAAAACTAAGAAAATATCATATTGCCTTTTAAAGAAAGACAAAATACCAACTTTAGAGCGGAGCAACTTAATTTTTGAATTTACTTCGGTGTCCAGGCTTTTTTCAATCATACTTAGCTAAGAACAATCAATATCTTCCATAAAAGAATTAACGTAGCTACAGACAAAATCCAACCCCATGCAACCAAAGCGCTATTCATGATCACCTAACTATCTGGCATAACGCACAACATATAGCTAACTGACATTTTGATATTGACACATTAAATGACATAAATTCATCACATGACTTTTCTAAATAACAATAAAACTAACTTTATACTGTCTTCATTATAACAGCAGCCTAATGTTCTAAGGTTTTGCTTTTTTGAATTGAGGCGTTTTGTATATAGGTTCAGCTGAACACTACTTTGAAGTCTTCTAAATCCCTTGTATGTTTCCTTCCCAACTCCTTACTCTAAATTTAAATAATAAACACCTTTCCAATTTATTTCTTTTCATTGCTTAGATCATTTCTAATTATTCGAGACCGCGCTTGCTTGTAAACAATCAATTAACCGGATAATGACTTTGAAATGAAGTCAAAATTATGCTTTTAGGCCTTGTCTCTTGCAAATATATCTCTTATCGTGAGTTTACAAGATACTATTTTTTCGGAGTATGTTTCATGTTATCCTTTATTCTACGGATTCATTCTGTAATAAAATGTAAAGAATTTGGGTTGTTTAAAATACTTATTTTGCATGCAGTAAAGTTAAATTTAATCTGATGTAATTTTCTAACAATATTGCAATATTTGTGCAATATTTACTGAGATAAGGCTGTTTTAATTAAGGCAGAGTTTTTTGAAAGAAGCAGAAAGTTAGTTACATACCTACTCAAATAATATTATTTTTAAAGTAGTACTGCATTTGAACTGCAAAAGTAAGATGTCCTTTTCATTATCATTTTTAAATGACCGAAACCATATATAGAAAAAAAGGACAATTTTTGTTCGTGTGTATGGCTGCGTGCTTCACTTGTACATATTTAATTATTAATGCCCCTATTTACATTTTTGTTTCTTCGAAACCAGCTTGCTTACATTGACAAAGTCACATAAATTGTCATATTGTGCGGTTTTTCTGTAAAAATATTTCAGCATAATTCAAGTGTAATGTCCCCCTCTTTAAATTTTTGTTATTAGCATAGCTTTTTCAGTTTTTGAGTAGAACGGAACACAAGGAGGAGAACAATTTTTATGCACTACCCTGAATAAATAGAGTAAACATCATTAAACATAAGGAAATCATCATTTCATTACAGAAAACTACTTAAAGAAACAAACGCTATAAAAGCTAATATGCTTATGGTGATTAACTTATAGCTAAGCTGCTTTTACTTTGAGGAGGATGTTTATGTAAGACAAATTGTTTTTAAAAAAATCTATAAAGGTGCAGTTGGCAATATTTTTGTGTTTTAAATATTTTGTTGAAATCAGTTGTTTCAACTTTTGCTATGACTCTTCAAACAAAGGTAAGGCATGTTGTGTAGAAAATCGTATAAATAAATTTGGTCGTGAAATATAAAAATTTACATTTACACCCAGAATCTTTTCTTTAATCAAAATTATTTCTGACTTATTTCGTTTTCATTTTAGGTCAGAGACTGTGGACCGATATATATAAAAATTAACTCAAGTCAACGAATGGCGGTGTTTTCTTACGCTATAGGAGATAGTCCCGATGAATTTTTTGTTGGCGTTGAAAGAAATTGCCTTGTTGTCATAATGCAGTCCCAGCATAATTTGTAAGAGGAAAATTTTATAGTTTACTTTCTTTCTTAGTAACAACAACTGATTAAAATTGCACATTTAAATTTGTATGAGTTGCGTTAGCTTTAAAATACCTTATAAAACGAAATATTTTTTATTTTCAGAAGACTTAAACACAATACATTAAACTATTTGCTGTTATTGCGAATAAACATACTCATTTATTTGCATCGCTCATTAATCAAAAGTTTGTTGAAGTGCACAAAAAAATGCCATTTTGAACATAACACACACACATTTTTAAAGCAAGACATTTGCATTAGGTTGATTTGCATTAGTTTCATAGGTAGCACAAAAGTCTGTTTGAGTTTTTTATTCAATCGATATGTGTATATAATAAATACATTATTTAATTTATGTACATTGTTTGTCACGCAAGCGATCTCGCGTGACTTCCACGTTTGTATGCTTTAAAAGGTTTTATATTTTAAAAAGGTTGGCAACTCTCAACACAAAATTACCGACCGTTAACACAAACACTTTTACAAAACTGCAATTATCACATAAGTACATGTCAAAACACGTAAGACAAATACATATTATTAATAAGGAAAAGTTTTACAATATTTTTGCAGTTTTCTAACATTCAAATGTATTTCTAATCATACATTAAATGTTTTAAGGGTTTGGGGCAAATATTTAGTAAAACCTATGCTGGGGACACTTATCTAAACATTCGTTATATATTTTAAGCTTTAACACATTGCAGATAGTCTACAATTGTTTTCAGTTGTTTTCACAGAAATTACGCTAATCTGCATAGCGTTTGAGCATTCAAAAATATGGCAAATGTATAGACAGGTGGCCAAAGCATATGTTTTCCCAATTACTTGCCACCAACCATTAAAACATTCGCATTTTTGGTAAACTTAGAAATACAGTTGAGTATTAAAAAAGTACAAAAATATTGTAAAATTATTTGTGATTAATGAAATGTATTTGTTTTTCATGTTTTACCATGTACTTATAAGATATTTACAGTTTTGTGAAAGTGTTTGTGTTATCAGTCCGTAGTATCAAGTTAAGAGTTGCTAACCTAGTTAAAATATACGACGTTTAAAATCATACAATCGCGGAATTCGCGCAAGATCGTGAGCATGTCAAATATTGCATATAAATGAAATTATGTATTTACTATTTACATAAATCGATTGATTAAAAAAACTTAAACAGATTTCTGTGCCGCATATGGTAGTTTACATAAAAAACTTTCGATTTTCACTGTTTTCAAACTTAGCTATTCATGCTAAGTTGCATGTTTTTTCTTATTGAAATTTGGTCCAAAGTTAGTATAAAAGAGGGAATTTGGTGACAACAGAACACACTAAAATTGTGAAGTGAAATTTTTCGTTCATCGAAAAAATTTTACAGTTTCTTTATTTGTATTCTATTAAAATATCGTTTAAGAATTCTCAAAAACAACTTGTTTTAGATAAAGAAGTCTAGAAGTATGCAGTTACGATATAAAGCTTTTTATTTAATAAAAATCACACTAGTTGACTTAAACTTACTTCTATTCGTTATATAATAGAAAACTCAACCTTTCGGCAATCAACGACGGCATCTGGCATCACCTGTCCATCATAATTGGTCGCACTCGTAAAAAAATATTTCTTAATGGAAGTACAATTTATAGCGAACCTATGGTCAATCATTCATTACCTTTATTACGTGGTGGTGGTGTTGTTGCTATTGGTCAAAAACTTGAATGTGAGAATGGAGTTTTTAATCCAAATATGTCATTTGTTGGTGAAATAAGTTATTTAAACTTGTGGAATCATGACGTTGTTTGTGAGAATTCCAGTCCTATGGTGCTGATTAATGATAAATGCACTACTGGTCTAAATAGAAGTACTGTTGTAATCAAGTGGAATCATGTGAACCAATTTACAAGTGAAAATGTTGTTAAAGTGCCCTCATTACGTAAGTTAAGTAAGACGAATTGGCTTTTTTACTCCAGTAATTTTATGATCAAGATAACGTTTTTTAAACAATTCTAAGTAAAAAAACTACCAGCGCATTTTACTAAAATTCATTTTCTTTCAAAAGGTTATAAAATGAAATTTTACCTAACTTTTTTTTGCTATGAATTAAAATTTTATAATGCGTTGAGTATGATGAGGTTTTAACTTTTTTCATAACTCCTATGGATAAAAAAATAGAGGTGGTTAAATTTGCTGTTTTTAAAAAAATTGTTTTGTGACATGTGCGGGCCTTGGACACTAGTTTGAAGTACCTCGTGACGTCAGTGGTTGTGTTTCCCATGTAAACATTGATAGTGCAATACAAAATTATACAAATGAAAATATTTGTAATAGAGAAAGTTCATTTGAATTTTCGTGTGACAGTGTCAATTTTAAATAAAATTTTCTATCCCAAAGAATCGTTTTTACCCCTTAAATTTTTCACAATACACTATTCAAGGTTTACACTATGCAATTATATAAAAATGTGAAAGCATGAAATTTCGTTTTATAAACACTTTAAAGCTAAATATTGAAATTAAGACCACGTCGCAAATTTTGTCGAAAACTGCTTTCCATCGTTTGTTAGCAGTTTCTTTTTTCCACAATTAAATGTCTCCAAATCGCAAGGTTGTTCACTCCAAATAATATTTTAACTGTTCAATTTCTTTGCTTATTAGGACGTCAATTTGTTGCTTGCTACTATTGATAGCTGATTGCACCATTTGTCGAGCGCCCATAATTATATAAAACTCAGCACATTTAATTCAATAAGCGTTTTAATAGAAAAAATATAGAAAACAAAAGTTATAGTTCATATATTTTTCGTTCATAACAATGTTCTTTCATATCCGACGTATAGTCATGCTCGTGCATCACCTGATGTAAAATATTACGTATTCTTTTAGGTCATCCTACACTTAATTGATGCATGTCTAACACTTTGTAGCACATAATTTTCAGATTTTTCATCATGCAAAGAAGCAATGAAATATGGCAGGTATGGTATGATAACAACTTAGCTAGTTACCTTACACTATAAATGAAAATGTAACTTGAAGTCTGTATTTTTTTAGAAAAGTTATGTGTACCAAGCATAGAACAGTCAAAAACTAAGTCATAAAGTAGCGAATTTTTTTTGTCAGAGTTTAAAAAATTTAAATGTGAGTAAAAACTGATTGAATAAGGTTATCTCGTTTTTTAATAAAATTATTTTCTGTTATAAAAAAATGAAAATCAACAAAATCATTTTCTGTTGACTTATTCTACAGCTATTTGCTCATCGAAGAAAAAACAAAAGGTGGCTGTATATAGTTTATAAAAATTCATTTTCACATAGACCATCAGATTAAAGCTGTATGGCTAATGAAACTTATTATGCATCAAAAACACACGACTACGCCTCAATTGAAGAATAGAGATTTTTACGAACTTTTATTTGTTGTGTTTTTGTTTTACTGCTTTAATTATGCAAGAATATTACTGCTTTTATTCATTTTTCCATTTCACTAATCTTTGCTTTGATGGACCTTGTACGAATTCTCTATTTAGCTGAAAACATTCCAAATGATTTCTATAGTGCGCTCCTTGCTCTTTAAAGCGTTTACCTATAAATACTTTGTTGCTTTTTTGAACCATTTTCTGGAAAAGGTTTCATAAGTCATGACTTAACGGAAATATAACATATCCTACGAAAACGGAAGTGAGGTGATTGTATCATTATTACCTCCTGCTGCACCATTATCTACTAATCTAAAAAATTTTTGCAAAAGTTTCACTCAATTATTGTATGGGCTGGAATAGTCCTGTTCGATAAATTTCAGAAAAATTAACAAAAATTTTCGAAAATTTTTATTTTCTACTATCATTTCGCAGTTTATAAACCGAGAGTAAAAAAATTTAGTAAGCATTTTGTAACTAGCTGTACAATAATGACTTGAAAGACAGTAATTATTGGTTTCCAATTTTTCATTAAAGCAAATAAATTAGTTAGCCAAAAAATCTGATAAAACATTTTAATATACTTTATCTGTTTCCATTTTGTGTTATTTTGAATAAATAAATACTTTCTTAAAGCAGTTGCAGTTTTTTAAAAGAAAAAATGCTTGCGTAAAAGAAGAATGGAAATCCTCTGTTTTTAATTCTTTTTTATAAAATACATTATTGAAAACGTACAGTTCGTGATATTCTTTTATTAATGCATTATATTAAAATACTTTCCATATTTTCTTAAATAGAAAATAACTCTATATCATTATATTTACTTGAGGTTATTTTTCATTATTTAACAAAAATGTTTGGAAAAACTTGATATTTGCTAAGGCTTTTTATGATTAACTATTATATCAATAAATTATACCAATAAAATCGAGATTCTAATTGGTTTTGTTTTTTATTTCAAATATATGAAAAAGTTCAAAAGATGGTGTGTACTTGATAAAGACGGATACTTCACTTGGCTACAGCAGAGTTTTCTGTATGAAAAACATATTGGGTTGTTCTGGAGAAGGCTGGACGCTGGTGATGAAAATTGATGGGGAAAAGGTACAACAAAAATAAACTGAATTTTGCTTTTAACAATAAATAGTAATATATAACACTTTAAGACATAAAATTTTATCATATGTGCAGGTATGGCAAAATGATAAAAATCTATTCATGTTGCACTCATGAGCGTTATTTTTGATGGAAATCGCAATTTTTATCTTTAGATTAAAAACTCTTATAAGCCATAAGTTATTATTTAAGTCTGGTTAAAGTTTCCACTAAATGATAATTTCTAACAGTCATTACTTTTATCGCGTTTGTCGTTACGGCTTCTGCACGCAAATTAATAGAGACTTCATTGAAATAATAAATACAAAAATCACAATAAAATTGTAAGTTTTTGCAGGTGATGATTTTTGAGATGGTAATTACGACTGATGATGCAATATCAGTTGAATAGAAACGTTTGTGCAATACCTTACGACCTAATAACTGCTTAAGAAACAATAGGTCACTGCTATTTAGTAGAGTGCAAATATGTAGCCATAATCTACGAAATTTTTATGGAAATATTAAGGCATTACCTTTTTGTGGGACAGCCTTTTAAAAGATTACAAAGCTAAATATTACCGTTAAAAAAATGTTGAAGCAATGTGGCGGAAGGTAACGAATTATGAATTGAATAATGCTAAAGAAGCACTTGTAATTAAATTAGGCCGACTCACCTCATTCACGTTATTTCATGTCCACATGTTTTCCGTCTCGGACACCAATACACTTTAAGAGACTTTATTCAAGTCTTTACTTAAGTGGGAGATTTTAAATAAGTATTGTAGAGAGGTAGTACATGATCTGGCGTTCGACAAAATAAAATGTACCTCTTAAGTTCAAAATCAAAACATATATAGAACAAAACTATTGGTCACTAGTTTTCAAAGAATGAAAATTTACTGATACAAATGCCTTTAAAATATTCTGAAATGTCTAGATGTCCAAGAAGTCGGTGCAGTGATTGATTTTGACGTACAGTAGATCTGCAACTGAGCCAGGACAATCCAAATTGCTTGTTTTGTTTTTAATACAGCTTTAAGCGCAGTCAGTTCAAATCATTATACAATTAGGTTAAAAACTGTTTTTAACGAGTGTAGGAGATTTAAAGTAACATTTGTTCATATTAGAAGAAAGTGAGTTCAAATTCAAGCAATATCTTGTGCTAGTTTATGTTTATTTTGTGTGCTTATATAAAAAGGGAGGTTTGAGTGAAAGAGTTTTCGTGTGGAAAGGAATTCGCGCAATCATTCTACTGGGATTTCCAACTGTGTTTATATTTAAACACGTAAAAAGGGTTATTTTCTGTTTTGATGAAAGGAAATACTGTTGGCTTCAAAATAAATGTTAGGAATATTTAAATACTATGTGGATAGTCTATAACACGATTTAATTTTTAAAAATTATGTTTAGGAAACATTCGACTTTGAGTCAACGTTTTGGACAAATAAAAAAAGTTACAAGAAAGAAAATGGTAAAACAGGAATGGATAATTTGGAAACAAAACTTCCTACCTACTGGAGCACAAAACTTAACAAGATATGTGTTGGAATGAAATTCAATGGTAAAACAAATTTTATCAGCTTCAATTTTCAGGCTAAATCGTTGTACGACATCATTGCCAAAGGAAAATACCACCAAGCCAATGTGAGCCGAAAAAAATGGATGTCATTGATAAAAGAGAGTGTTCTTCAACAAAACTGCAATAAAGAAGGTTTCAACGCAAAGGCAGGAAGAGAGAAATTTGCTCGTGTAAGGGTTGGTATCCTGGGAAATAATCAAAACCATTGTATGTCAAGCAACTCTTTTATTGGTTTTGGCTGTATGTATAAAAATGCAATCAAAATGCTGAAATAAACAGCTGCGGAAACTTTAAGCGCTGCAAAGGAAATAATGACAAACAATCAATGGGATACATTTTTGTTTCCTAAGTATATTAATGCTTATGTAGACCACATTTTGTTGTTTGTGCAATCAGCTTTAGCAGTATACTTACTAAACTTACTTTCTTTATTGTTATTAGCTATACGAAAAATTCATCAACTTTTCTTTAGAGTAATTTATGGAAGACTTTTAGAAACTAAATTAGCAAGTCCATTTTAAAGGCTGTCATTAGATTTCTCTATTGTGAGGGAAGAATAATTGTATTCTTTAAGATTTGTATAATTTAAAACAGTACCAAAAACGTATGTTAATAAATGGCACATGTAAAAATAACACAAAAATGTTGTTGTTTAAATTGGTAGCACACATGTTTTGTAATGAAAGAACTCGCAGCAGACACATCAGAAGAAAATTGTTTTAAAAAGAAATTTTTTTTATTCCAATTTAATATAGTTTTGTTTATCTATTTCATTACAAACAAAGCAGAGAAGAATATTTTCTTTAAAAGCAACAAATCACACGCTTAAATTTCTCACGCATGTAAATATCTGGTCCATTGCAGAAACTCAAAATGGAAAATTCAGCAGCTTAGAGCTTATAATAAGAGCAATTTAGCAAATGCAACGTCTTGTCTATATCGTTGTCAAATTATCGCAAGGATTGCAGGTCTAAGATGCAAAGTGACAACACTTAGTAAAGTATATGGGATTTAGCAGAAATTTTCGTATATAACTTCGTCAAAGTATAATATAATATAAGTTATATCCAGACGTTTAGTGTCGCGACCGCACTCTACCTGCATACCACTACCCAGGCCTATCGCAGGTGATCTCGAGTCTCTGTGATACCTTGCTTACTGTGAACAATAGGAGTAGATAAAAAGAAATTAAGCGAATAGAAAAACTTGAAGACATGAAAATGAATTAGGACAAAGTTTTCTCAGAAGAACGAAGAAATCGTGAATTGTGCATTTGTTATAAAGTGACTTTCTTCATTAACAAAATATTTAATATTCATCCTTTATTGACCATGTGGTCATAACCATTTAATAACAGGAACTTAAAATCTTGAGTCGACAAACGTTTATGAAAATCCATAAAATCTAAGAGAGTTAAATTTAACTAGAAATATTTTTATATAACTTATTATGTTATTTTATTATTGTTAACCATAACATTATGGTGGTTTATAGTAAGTAACCGTTCTCATTTTGTAACAATTTTCCTCACTACTGGTTGTTGTCGTTCTATTCTTTAATGTCTATAAGTAAAATTTAAATCTTCGTTATAATGCATGAATATTGTCACAAACATTGACATTAAGCTATAACAAATCCTCGAAGGTTACTCACACCTTTTCTTCTTGATAAATCGACTTGTTTTTGGCTGGAAAATTAACATATCTTAAATAACAATAGCTAGTATGAAAAAGCTAAAATGAACTTTGCTCTTGTGTTGTATTTTTTCCTTCTTTATTACAGAAGTTTGGTCGCAGACAACAGTTGTATGCATAAGGTTTACCTTTATTTTTAAAAATCAGTTGACATAATTTGTTTTGTAAGGTAATCGCTTAGTATGTAGCTATCAATAAACCTTTTCAAGGTTATCGCAGCCATTTTGCAGGGGGTGCAAAAACATTGGGCTGAGTGCGCGGTCACCCACAGCGTCCATATAAATTTTTAATAAATACGCAAAAATTATTTCATACATATTCAAAAATATTTCTCAAACTCGTCGATTTTAATGGTTAAATTACTATCTGCAATTTTTATACATGTGAGTCCAATTTTCTAGTAACCAGAGAACGGAAAGCTAAAGAAAATATTTGTTTTCTTTGAACAACTTGACCGTCGTTTGATCGATTTTCTTGAGTTCGCAACACATGCACATGTTTACAACACGCATTGCGTGGAACTATTCTACGGCAAACTCTTATCAGTATTCCCATTTATTTGTAAAGTAACAATGGTATTTTTATTATAATGTATGGTTGGTTTGGTTTCATTTTGAAGGTCTAAATTTCATTGTAGGTAGATACATTGCGCATGTCGCTTTTTCATTGTTATAAATGAAAAAGTTACATGCGCAAAGAGTAAACACCTTTACAATAACAGATGTGCTCCAGCAAAACAAAATTTATTAAATTTATGATAATTTTGTATTTCATTATCCTTTGACAGCATTTTAGAAATTAGAACTTTTTTACTAGGCTTCAATGTTTATTGCAAAAAAGCATGTTCTCGTCAAAATTCTTAACTAATGCTTCCTCAGTTAAAGCAAAACTTGCACTATAAGAAAACTATACTGATAATATGAAAATCACTTATGATGTACACAGGACAAAAAATGGTTTTAAGGCTCGTTCAAACCGGCGATCCTAATGATTGCAATCGATTTCGTCTTATCCTAAGAAATGGATCACGTGAACACGTCGAAAGTTAGCAAAAATTGTGGCAAAAAATGTTCTTTCTCGTGCTACATTGTATGCAAAAATTTTGCTGGCTTAAAAAGGTTCCCTACAGTTTTCATGAAATTAAGATGTTTTAGGTAGCCTTTACTTGCAAAATATTATTTTGATCAACACACTGAAATGGTAGAAATGCGAACTTTGCAAGAATGTTCAAGAATGCCAGTTAAGTCTATAAATGCTTGAACAGGATTATTGTTAGCATTGTTATGGCAGCCATGACTTATTTTCTGTAACACTTATATTGTTTAGTTTTAAAAGAATTGACCGTATCTTTTTTTCGGTCAGGTGAAGTCTTTAATTTTTAGCGTGAAAATTCTCATTCATTCAAGGAACATTATGTTCAACATTAGAGGAATCCTATAAATATTGTTTTGCATTATTTGAGAATATCAGTTACATGAAATATTATTAAACATAAGTAGTAAATTAATAATTAAACATGACGCTGAGTCACGTTTTTGGTTACTTCATCGTTGCAAGATATTTACACCATACTGCTGCTAAAATTAAAATTTTTCTGGCATTTAACGATACACATTTAGAGTATGTATTAATAAAGTCATTGAATATTGCCACATATAGCTGAATATTTCTACAAGTGAGTCAATAAAACTTTAAAACACATTAAACTTGTAGAAATTGTTGCCTTAAATATTCGAAGTAATGCCTTGACAAACAAAAAATTTGTAACATGAAACATTTAAATAATTTAGTTGGGAACTTTAAAAGTTGCAACGATAAAAATTTAATCTCATGCATTGGAATGTTAAAGAACATGAGACCACACCATTGAATGATCTGAAAACAAGTCAAAGACTTGGCCGTATTCTTGAAAAGATACATCCATATTTTAAAAATAAGGTACAAACAATGCTTCAGCTGTTCAAACAAATTTAATTACATTGAAAGGATATAAGAATATTCATGCACAGACTATGCATCATTTTCACAGAAGCTATATTTAATTTACGTTTGCAAAGTTGTCCTATATTGTTGATCTTTAAATATGTTTTCTTCTCTGTCACTGCATTTTAAGATTACTACATATATATTTACAATTGCTTTTGAAGTATACTGTGGTATTACTGAAAAATCCATGTTGCGTTTGCTGAAAAAAGGTTAGTTTGTGTAAAGTTTAATAAATTGAGTTTAAAGTCATAATTCTTAAATTTATCTTCAAATTTTAAAATTCACAGTTACTTTTTGTATATTTTAATACACCTTTCATGTACATGATTTCAGCTGAAAGCAAGAAAGATATTTTCAATCCCGTAAACATTACGACTCTCAAGAAATCCAGCAAAGTGCATCTTCACATCTAATTTATTATTATCTTAAATTTTGTTTTAAAAATGTTTTACTTCGCCATTAATTTTAGAGACATGTCCATTAAGAGAAAATGTTTTGTTTGAAGCATTTTTCACATCGGCAGATTCATGTGCATTGAAATGCTTACAAGAGCCGTTCTGTGTTGGTTTTAACTTCTGTGAAGACATAGCGATGAGGGACGTAACTTGTCAATTAACCCACACACGTCCACTGAAATATGAACATTGCACAGATAACAAGTGGAGTTTATATGAATTGTTAAATCCACAAAGAAAGGTACGAAGGAAAGGCATATCAATGGTTTAAATTATTTTTATATAAAGAGCTACTTATATTGATTAATTGCCCATTTTACTCTCAAAGATACCATACAACAAAGAAAAGTTGTGCGAAAATGGCGGAATAACGACTGTTGACTTGAGAGACGGACCTGGTTCTGATCCTTATAGATGTCAATGTTCTTTTGGCTTCACAGGGAAAATTGTTTGCAAAACTAGGTAAGTTTGTCAAGAATTTCGATGCAGTACAATTTGTTCATATATTTGCAACATTTTCCCTTCCCTAATCATTTTTCACTTTCTTTTCAAAACATGACAAGAGCATTTAACTTCATACGTTATAACTGAAATTTTATACAATTTAAACGACGCTATAATATGTACATTAGAACAGGTGATAAACTGCATAATTTGCGTGCTAGGAGACATGCTCTGATGGGGAACTTCATTCCTCCACCCTGAATACGGTAAAAAGGTTCTAAATTGTTGGGGAAATTAACTAAAAACTTCCAAAGTCTAAATGTTTGTTTGTTATTACTGTCGGACGCTAGCACTATTCTATCTACAAATGACTTTATTCCAGTTATTACACCTCTAAATCTAAAAAAGATTGGCTGTATGAACTAAATTTGTGCTCTAATGCTTCAATTGACAATAAATAGTTTTTATGTCAAAAAACTTTACATTTTGCATTTGATTTGTCAATACTAAATACTACGACTAAAGCCATAAGCCTAATTCCTTTGCTCGAAATAAATTTCCAAGTCTGTCTCTTAATCCGGAAGTTCAAGTAGTTATTTATGGAACTACAACATTGGGCAAATATTAAGACGTTTTCGAGAATGACGACTCTTTCGTATTGAAAAAGCCACCTATAGAAATCTTTTATTGATAAGTAAGCGGAGTCAACTGTAAAAAATCGTAAACAAAGTTAGTACAGAGTTGGAGAAAAGGTTTTATATTTCATTTTCAAAACATTAAACGATAAAAATTTTTTGAGGTGTTTAGATCGTCATTAAATGACACAACAATAAATCTCCTCTTTAAACCTTGCTACGTTTAAGCCCACGCTTGAAGAAAACACAACAGCGCAAAAACATTGTGTTGTATTTATCTCTTTTTGCCTCGATTACCTTTATAACTATGTAAAGATTCAGGATCATCCTATCTTTCCTTTTTAATTGTTCATGCTCTCTCCAGTTCATATCGTTTATCTTCATTGAAATTTTCTTCCCTTGGCAAAATTGAATGCATGCATATTATTAGTTACCTTAGTTATGTTAAAAACTATTTTATCTCCCCTTTTATAATTTAGTTTTTTTGTTTGTTTAATTTTCATGACAAATGCTTTGTATATTTTATCTTTGGTAGATATTTTATTTTCGATCGGTCTTTGTCTCTGTTTGATTGTTCGTTCCTCCGTTTGACAGCCGTTTTTGGTTATTTTCACCTTGTTCCATGTTGTCTTCGTGCATTCTTTTCTCTTTTCTGCTTTAATTTCGCTTTGCATCTCGCTCACCAAAGACGCTTCCAATTTGTATTCAATTTCCTTTTCTACTTCATAGTTAAAGCGATTACACATCCACTCTTATGGACTGTGATCATTGTGTGTTACTTTGCATGCACAAAGAAAATGGAATTTGATTAAGTTGAAAATAATGATCAGTGACCTTAATCAAATTCCACCACATTTTACTGATGCTTATCTAACGCATCTTAACATTTTTTTCAGGATTTTCATCATGCAAAGAAGCATTAAAAGATAACAGGTTTACTATGCCTAAAACGTAGCTAATTTTACATAATACTTTAATTTTACACAATTTGCTGTGCATGAGAAATACATGACTTTGTCTCAAATGAAGACTACAAATTTTGCCTTCAGTTTCACTAAATTAATTCAAAAAAGTAATAGCCATGCTATATAAGATTTAAAACAAAATTAAAAAAACTTTCCAAAATTGTTATTTTTTCTATCCTTATTAAGCTCATTTCCACGCGCACGCTTATTTCGTTACGTTTGGTAAACATACGAGAAAAAAATATTTAAGCTTTGTGTAACTAGCTTTCGAAGAATGACTCGACAGACAATGATTTTAATAGTTTTTATTTTTTCATTAGAGCAAATAATTTAATTAACTAAAATACATAATGAATTATTGCAATAGTCTATCTGTTGCGGATTTAGGAAATGTCATAACATTCACGCGACTTGGGCCGGTTTCACGAAATTTGGATAGCGTTATCCACTGGACAGCAAAAATTTTGAAATTTATAAAAACAGTGTTTATATTTTTCATACGACAAAGAAATTTCGTAACGTTTGAAACAATATTAATTTCAGTGGTTGCTCAGTTCAAATCTTTTATTTTTTGCTTGTTAAAAGGTGTTATAAATGTTTAAAAAAATTGCTATCCAATTGATAACGCTATCCATGCTTCGTGCAATTTGCCCTTGATTTTTATGGTTCAAAAATTACTCATTCAATTTAATGATTACAATGCTACTTCGTCATCGGACTACGTTACTAGTGAGTCAATGTAATGTTCAGTTGCCCACGTTAGTTCGTTAGTGTCGGTCGTAAAATTTTATTAATGGTAAAGCATTCTGATATGGATGAAACTCTACAGTCTCATGTCGAAGAAACGGTCTTTTTAGATGATAACGAAGGAGATAAAATCAACGAGAAGGAGATACCAAAATTTTTTCAAAACTTAACCTTTGTTTTCAACCTTCGTTGATCGTGGAAGAATCCCCGAAATCAATGGAGAAATCAGTAAGCCACGCTCACGTAGAAAACATGAAAACAGAAGAGCTGATGAAGAAACGAAGGAAAATCTCAAAAGAAACTGAAGTTTAGGAATAATGCGATGATAATCATGAAGAAGCTTTGTTGCAAACGACAGGCAACTTGTCCGACACGGTCGAACAGGGTGAAATCATCGTTAATACTGTTCAAGAAGACCCCTACGACACTTTGCTATCTCAAATCTCGAAAGATTCCTATCAAGATTAGGACATGCATAGCACCGAACGTAAATCAACAACTTGCTGACGTTTTAAACAACTGTTGGTTATCGAAGCTAACTGACCAAAAAATAGAAGAAATATGAAAAAATGCGCACGACAGCAAATTCTAAGAAACTGAATGTCTCGCGTGTAAACACGGAAAAATGGGATATATATTTAAGAGAGAAAAATAAATCTGATATTGACATTTCAGTGACTCTCAAAACTGATGCTTTTACCATATTGAGGCACACTTTGCGTGAACTATCATTGTGGAGAGAAGAGGCTATAAAAGCCAACTACACAAAGATTGTAATAGTTTGTGTCGCCTGGCAAGTCAAAGTCACTTCGTTGTTTTTTGATGAAAACTTTTAGTAACGATCAAACGAAATCTGAGGGTGTAAGAAAATCAGCAAAACAGCTGTACCCTAAGATATGCTCAAGGAAAAACGCGAGGTTGCTTTTCACAGAACAGCAATCGGAGCTCGGAAAAAAGAGTCAGTCGAGGACATCATTTTTTGTCCAAAGGCCACCACCGAAAGAATTATCCTCTGAAACCGTTTGCTCGTTCAAAACCTGACTCGCAGAAGCGAACAAATCAGTGGCAGTAAATAACAAAGCAACTTTCAAAGCTTTTAGGTATGCAATCTAATTAGTTCTTTACCGGATGTTGTAAACTTCCTAGCGTTAAAAACACAGTCAGTCATAACGGATCAATTTTCATTTAGCTTGTGTCAATGGCACGAATAACTTCTACACGGAGGCTCTTCGCACAATTGCTAGTGAGAAAATAAAGATTATCTCGTCACCGCTGCAAACCTGCAGAAAAACAACTCAGTTCTCTGCATAGGAAAATACAGCTTTTGCACAACAGATAGAAAAATTATTGTTAATTCTGTTTTAGAGTATGAGGATTTCTTTGCACCGATATTTTTATTAAAAGGAAGGATCATACAGGCTCATAATAAATTTAAAAAAACAAAACAAAATGTGCTGCATAGACATTTTACGATAAACTCTACCTGCACTGCTACTAGCTTGACGAAGCAGAGGTGCTTCATGGCATTAGTTGAGTTAAAGGGTGTATTAATCCTTCAGTTCGTGTATCAACACAATTTTAAAGTATCTAAAATTTCTAGGAATTATATTGCTTATCAATTTACCTCCCTCCCTAATAGGTTGGCACCTTTCCCGCAAAAATTCATGAAAATAATGAAACTGGTATTTTCTTCTTTAAGACAGTTTCATCCCCCTACATTGATCACTCGTTCTTGATAAATCCTAGGTTATCAGGAATGTGCTTTAAATTTTATTGAAATTTGCCGTTGTTATGTACGGCTCACTGCATTTCCGCATTACAGAGCACAAAAATAAGAGGCTCTTAACAAAATGCCCGATTTTTATTCTTTTAAGCATTTAACTTCATCTATCAGGAAAAAACTTCAATGATAGGTCGATTATGAAGAAACTGACGTATAAAAATTTGGTCGCAAATAGCCAGAAATTACCAGATGACTAATAATTCCACAAAGGGTGGGATGTGCCATAAATAATTAGGCAAATGGAGTACCATAGAAAAGAGAACACATGACGAAGCAGCTTATTTTGCAAGAAAACCTGACTCTAGTTTAAGGCAAACATGCAAAAGTCCTTGTCAATAATACTACTGTCCAAGTTATCATAAATAAAATGTGCAGCAGTAACTCCCACAAATAAATACATTAGTAAAAGATCCTTTAGAAGAGTGTTACCGTTGGATTATCTTTGCCTGCATACCGGGAAAGGAAAGCAATGAAGAAGTTTTAGAATCTCGGAAATCTAGTTAGCGTAACACTGAATGCTGCCTTAACAAGGAAATTTTTCAAAATGCATGTGCAACAATTATGGAAGCAGCATGAAGACCAGGAACCAGAAAACAGTACGAGGTAGTCCTATCAAAATTAAAATTGTACTGTAGTTAAATGGAAGTTAAGTCAATTTCACCCCTGTTGTAGAATGTAAAAAATTTCTTGCGTAACTGTTTAAGGTAAATATGGGGTATAGTAATTTAAGCAGAGCACGAAGTTCAAAATAAGCATTTTCTTCCCTGGAAAACAGCTTATCATTCCGGAATCCCCCAGTGTACGATATTTCATGAAGAGTGTTTTTGAAGCTATACTAAGCCTACTAAAACACAAACATATTTAGGATGTACGTACTGTCCTTAAATTTTTGCAAACTCTGACTATTGTGGAGCACCTCAAATAAAAAAACTTAGCATTTAAGCTTACTATGCTTCTGTCTTACTTGTTCTTACTTGCGTCTCTGCACAAAGATGTCAAATCTGGAAAGCACTGTCTATTGATATGATAGGTGCATATTTATTTCACAAAATAGCACAAAACATATAAACCTCTCAGTCATCAGCGCAATTTGATAATAAAATCCTTCACACCTGAAGTTACACTTGTCCTGTTAATACGAGACAGTAAAAATGGTCAATTATTGATTAGTTATCAGAAGCCACATTAAGCCGTAACATCTGACACTCGATCAATCTTAAAAATGGATGGTTTTACTGACTTTAAAAGACACAACACGATGCTACGATGCTGCCTCATCATTTGCAGCAAAATGGAGTAATGCTGATATTGCACGAATCTTGCAAGTTGCTGAATGGATGAATGCATCTACACTTTACAGATCGTATAATAATTCCCTGCACATTAACGCCAATTTTAGGCAAGTGTTGTTACAGTGCGGTCCAAAGGAGGAAATGTAGCAAAATATGGTGTTATTGTTATTCATCGAGAGTGGTTTTTTTCCAGAATATATTGACGACTGATGGGCTGTTATTATTACGTACGCTCATGATCCCAACACTTTGAATATCTTACGTGACTCATTAGTAACATGGTTCAATGACGAAATAGAATTTAAGTATGATTCTATGTATATGAGTTATTGAACAAGGATAATAAGAAGTCAATCACACACAGTAATGCCTGAGAGAACAATTTGGTTTGTTTTCCCACCTATGGGTTTTTTCCTTATGTTTTTATCACCCACAGCATTGAAGAATGAACATTTGACCTGCATGCACATATCTTACGTGATTCACTCGTTTCATTCTCTAATAACTCATAGAATTACAATAAAACTTCAAATTGCAGTTAGTTCTTCGTTTAATTTTAAATTTTTTCGTGATCATTAAACTTCAGATTTATAATGATTGTTCTAACTTCATTGTCAATATTCTATTTTATATTTGAAAACTTATATAAATGTCACCCTAGTAAACTGATCATAAGATTTTAACATATCTGGAATTATATTAACTGACCGACTGATAAGCGGGTGTGCTTAACATGTTTGACAAATAAGGAACTTCAACAACGTTATTTAAGCCATTACATTGGTAATTAGCGAGATCAGTGGAGAATCTGGAATAATGTTGACCGATAAGTGCAGTGGCTGACCGATAAGAGAGTTCAATTGTTATTGTTTAATTAGTTCGTTTAGATTTTTGTCTTAAACCTGGTTCACAGCTACAGGCTTTCTACCTGAAAATACGCCTTCGAATGTTGACAGCTTTTGCCTGTATGATTTTGCCTGTTTGCCTAGGCGCAAAAAGTCAAAATGCCACCTGTTAATAGGAAGCTTTTTCAAAGACTTCAGTACGCATTTTGTTCGCTCTTACTCAAATTGAAATATAGGAAACCGGAAAAGTATAAGGAATGAAAACCCCGGAGGTTTAGGGTCCAAACTTTGCAACCTTACAGAAAGATGAAATTTTGGGCTATACCATAGTCAATTTTTAGAGCTAAAATTCTTGAAGCAAGAATACTTTTTCAGGTTTTAAAATTTCATTTTGTTTGTTTTGTAATGCTGATGTGTTTCAGCATCGCTATTTCAAATATTGAAATGTAAGGAATTATAAGGATTGCGCGGTACATTTCAACTTGCGATTGTCGTCGAACAAAGTTCACAGCAAGAACACTAGGCTTTAATATGATTGCTTTTGCCAATTTTTACTGATAGTTTCATTTTTTATATATGGTTTGAAATCTGATCTTTTTTACATCAATAAAGTGTCCAATTTGGTATCTCATTTCTTAATTAACTTAGCTAACTTAACTCATTACATAGAAGCATAAATGGGGTCACAGCGGGGTCTATGCCTGACAACTTGGAAATAATTTTAAAGACTACATCTGTTTTTGATTAGCATTATTGTAAAGTTAATTCTATGATTATAAGCATGGTAATAAGCCTTAACAAATAGAATAACATTCAAATATTTTTTATTTCACAGCTTTTTTTTTGAAAAAAAAAACGTAAGCAAAGTATATTGTTTTTACGCAAAAACGATAACAACAAAAAACTTTGTTTTACTCTCAAAATCTTACAATGGCATTTCCGAGACTTTAATCAAAATTCAAATTTTCCAGGGGACTTTGCGCATACCGTTCTTGGTGGGTTTTGAAATATTTCTTCTACTTTTTATTTCTGTTATGAAAACTACTAACTAATGATGAATGATGTCCTTATCAGTTTTTGACATATCTGCTTTAACTGTTCTTAATCAGTTCTCGTTTTATGTTACTTTGTGATAAAATAAATATTTTCTCAAAGCAATTGCATTATTTAGATATTTCTCTTACTTATCTAAAACTTACAATTCATGATATTTTAGTTATATGAAACCATCTAAATGTTTTTATACCTTCTCAAATAGACAAAAGCTAACTCTCCATCATTATAGTCGCTCAGGATTTTTTATTCTTAAACAAAAATAGTTGAAAAAACTTGATGTTTGCTAATTTTTCTTGTCATAAAATATTATATTAATAACGTCTAGCAGCAAAATTTAGATCCAAAATTCGTTTTGTTTTTTATTTTAAATATATGCAAAAGTTCAAAAGATGGTGTATACTTGATAAAAACAAATACTTCACTTGGCTACAGCAATGTTTTCTGTATGAAAAACATATCAGGGTGTTCTGGAGAAAGCTGGACGCTAGTAATGAAAATTGATGGGGAAAAGGTACAACAAAAATTAAATTTAATTTTGTCTTTAACAATTTATAGTAGTATATAACACTTTAAGACATTTATTTTACTTAATTTATAGTCATATATAAGACTTAAGACTGATATTTATCATTTGTTTTTTGATGACAAGGAATATTAATTGGTTTTAAAATAAATGTTGGAAATGTTAACTAGTAAACCGGATTCTTAATTTATAGATTAATTTTTTAAAATCTTTTTTAGAAAACATTTGACTTCGACTCATCGCTTTGGAAGAATAAAAATAGTTACAAGATAGAAAATGGTAAAACAGGATTGGATAATTTGGAAACAAAACTTCCTACCTACTGGAGCACAAAAATAAACAAGATATGTGTTGGAATGAAATTCAAAGATGAAACAAATTTTATGAGCTTCAAATTTCAGGCTAAATCATTGTACGATGTTATTGCCGATGGAAAATACCATCAAACCAATGTCAGCCAAAACGAATGGATGTCATTGATTAAAGACAGTGTTCTTCAACAAAACTGCAATAAAGAAGGATTCAACGCAAAGGCAGAATTAGAGACATTTGCTCGTATAAGGATTGGTATCGTGGGAAATAATGAAAATGATTGTCGGACAAGCGACTCTTTCATTGGTTTTGGTGGTCTATACAACAGTATTTACTGCGGGGGGAAATTTCAAATCAACAGCTGCGGGAACTCAGCTTATTGCACAGGGAAGCCGTTAATAGAGCTTAGATCAATGGGATACATTTTTGTTTCTTAATTACAATAGTGGTAATAGGAACCACATTTATTCTTGTTTCAGGCTATATATATTTGTAATTTGATTTATGTAGAGCTATCTGTAGATGTACTTTCTTTCGAAGTAAGCTTTGAAAACTATATTCAACCATGTTTGTTTGAGTAATGTTTAGCAAATTTTTTCAAAACTTATTAGAAAATCATTTTTTCAATGTTTCATTTGATTTTTCTCTAATGTGCATAAATATATATGCATTAAACTCAACAAAGTTCACACCGCTTCTTGAAAATCCTACACTGTCCCGAGAAGCTAAACTACAACGACTCCTAAGAAAATTAAGACGGAAGGGTTTAATTGACAACCGAGTATACAATAACATTTTCCCAAAAAGGCTCTCAACCATTCCGTTTTTTTGGCTTACCCAAATTATATACGAAATGTGAAGCACGACAACTGCGTCCACTACGTCAATGATCTTTGAAGCGACCTTCTCTGATGTTTCAATATCAAAAACAAGGTCAAGTTCTCACTTTAAGGTAAGTTTTGCTTCAGCTAGTAATCGCTATTAAATATTATGGTAATTTGTCCAACAAGAAGTCAATCTCGCAACATTTCGTCCAAATTTCAACCAAATTCTCGATCCTCTGCTTAAACGCTTTAACACTACCATTAACATTGAAAAGGTCTCACTTTGATTTTTGCAACGAGTGTTGAATTTTGAACGCTGTACATAAGTCGTCGTTCTCATGAGTTCCAGCAGATGTCGTCATACATCACATTGTGAAAAATTACTAATGACATTCATTCAATTTTTGTTTTTTGAAAGTTGATATTGTTAAGTGCATAATCTAAACGAAATTAACATTTATTTTGAAAGACACTTGCACTATGTCCTTAAATAATTTGATGCAGAAAGAAGATTAAAGTAAAGAATCATGTTTTAAAAGCGAGAAAATATCTGCCAAAAATTGCCAACAGATAAAAAAGTTGATATTTGTTAAAAAGTAACTCAAAATTACATTGATGACAATTCAAATATAATGTCAATATATAATTTCGACATATATAACGTCAATTTAAAATTTTTGTCACAAATTTACAAGTTGGCTACGCCATTGTATTTCCTATATCATCATTAACTCAGTTACAGGGGACATATAGCACTTTATTTATTGCGAGTGATCTATTTGGTTTTTAAAAGAATTTCATTTCCTAAAGAAATCAGCCAGGTATCTTTTAATGTATTAATGTATACACACCCCTTTTGTAAATTGAAGTGTAGTAATGCCCTTGGATTTTTAGAGACCTGTCTTTCACAATGCCCATCATTGTCATTATCAATTTGTCTTTCATCGATTTAAGTTTATCTTGTATCTTTTTACTCAAGTCTTTGTTATTCTTCCTTTTTTTTATAATTTCATCTTTTACTTAAACTTCCTCTTTCATCCTTTTAATTTCCAGTTTCACCATTCTAAGTTGCATTTGCAATACGTCGTTGTTCTCATGTTTTATCTAAAACTGTTGAAATCAGGTCAGACCCATAAATATATTTCCAAATCATGTAACTAAAATTTTGTCTTGACATTTCAGCCAAACTGCAGCTGGTTTTAAAAAGCTGTTGCTATTCCAACAAGACCACTTGTTAAAGCTGTGCATCTTTCTATCTAAATCACTTATCATTATTGCCTAAAGAAGAGACAACGCTCTACATAAGATCATTACTTATGCCAACATTGATACACGTTATCTTTTAGTTTATACAAAAGTGTTGTAAATTTAGAATGTTTTTTCTCGTTTAATGACTCTTTAAAAAATATATTGAGTTAAGTTATCTTATATTCACAGAAAAATAAAGTTACTAAAAGTTAAGATTTATGTCTGAGCTTTTATCTTTTTTTTTTCACAAATACGTTGTACAGACGTATTTGGCGTTGATATTGGAGGCTATTAATATAGTGTTTTACTAATCTCAAACCACCAAAATAAATTGTTTTTATTTTTTAAATCAGATTACCGTCGTTAGACTTGACATCCTATCACTTTAGTAGCTGAAAAACAGTGACCACAGACTTGTTAAAATAAACCTAGAGGTAAAAAAGCCTGCATGATTGATTAAGCTTTCTTTTAAAATATTTTTGTGCGTATTACCTTTTCTAAGTAACATTAATATCCTTTTTGCTGTCTAATTTTTTTTTCATAATTATCTGCACTAACATTCGCTATCTAAGTTGATATCTAAGGGAAATGTAAAGTCTGTTTTTTTCCCTGTTGTTTATTCACCTCTACCTATATTTACACACGTTCATCTTAGCTTCAGTTTTAATATGTGAGAAGACTTGATTTCTTTTCTTCAATCATTATAAAGCAATGTGCATATAGACTGTTCTATATTTTCAATCAAAGTGATATTTCTGAAATTGCAGTTAAAGAAGATTTTCCTATATAGCCTTCTCATTTATAAGAACAATTTGCTTTCATAACAAATTACAATTACTCACAGTATAAAAGGGTTTGATTTACTTATTTTTTTTGAACTCGTCATTTATGTCTTGAGCTGCAAAAGCAACCAAAACGATTCATAATGATGATCAACACAAACAGAAGAAACACAATAAATAAAACTATTTGTAGCGTTTTGAATGTATTGAACTCAGAGATATCATTTTCCACAAAAGTTTCTTTAAAATTAAAGTCACCCATCATCATTACAATGGCAGTTAAAATAGCGTGCCCAAAGTTTTTAAATCTTTCTCTATCATTCATGATTACCGTAAATGCTGTTGCAAACGCCACGAAGAAGAATCACAGTAGGATCATTACCTGTAGAGTAGAGCAAATCAGGGGCGGATCTAGGATTTTTCAAACGTCAGTCCTAAACCGGCAAACGCCGTATGGGGTCCGAGGGCATCCTCCCCTGGAAAATGTTGAAGCCTAGGGTCCCAGAAATGCGATTTCCAGCGTTTTGGAATAGCTTTACAACAAATGTTCAAAGTGAATTAAATCGCAGTTTTTCATTTTTTTTCTTACAAAATATTGAGGACAAACACGCTAAGACCGTTTCGCCCAATGTCAGGGCTCTTCAGCATGCCTAGGAAACACATAGTGCAAAGCAATAATGTGATTCCGGACATGACAGTCTTTGTTTCAGCAGAAACGGCGCATTACAGCAGCCAGATATGCTGTAAGACATTTCTGCAGCAACAGCGCATTAAGCAGCCAGTTGCACTGTCTTACATTTCTGCAGCAACGGCGCATTAAGCAGCCAGTTGCACTGTCTTACATTTCTGCAGCAACGGCGCATTAACCAGCCAGTTGCAAAGTCAGTAATATTTCTACAATAACGTAGACATAACACATTAAGCAAATTTCAAACGTGTATTACCTTCAGCAAACTTATTGATTACTCTTTCTATGTCAGGAATAATTTCTGGGTGAATTCGCATTAAAGCCAGGCCATTTAAACGTTCCTCTACCATAGTGCTCCTTTGGTAGGTTTTTAGATTCCTCAGTGCTGAAATTGATCTCTCACATTCACATGAGGTGATTGGTAGTGTACCTAAAATGCGAAGAATAACTTTAATATTTTCAAATCCTGGAAATGTTACATGCTTCAGTGTTTTGACGATGTTTTCTGGCAAAGGCCCATTGTGCGTTTCCCAGTATAAACGCCATTGCCTTAATTCAGCATCTAAACCAAGGGGGTTGGGCAAGTCATCATGTCATCATGATAGAATTTTGCAACACTTTTAAACTGTTCTTTCCAATCAATTCCTTTGTCCGACAGAGTCATCATTTTGACGGGAACGATAGATAATCCGCGGTACACATTAACACTATCCAAGTTAAACCTAGTGCTCAAAGATGTTTGAAGATGGTCTAATAACGGAATAGTGATGGTTAGTTTATAATGTTCTTTGAATGATTGACTGGGGGGATTAGATCGCATAGTTTGTCTTCCAGCAATTTGCTTTTTTGTTTCTTGAACGTTCACCTCTTCAGCAAGTTTTAAAGCCTCTTCATACCAAGTGTTATGATAAAAATTAATGCTTTTCCTCATGTTGGCTACATCATTCTTCAAAGTGGTTATCAAATGAAAACCATCCATGACATCAATAGTTTTTCCCTGCAACAATTGCGTGACTGGAAGAGTAGCATCAAGAATATTTCTAGTAATAACTAGCGCAACAATAAAATGAAATTGAGTAACTAATGAAAGTAACTGGGAAGCATCAGCAGAAAGGGAAGGCTTCACCTCGCCACTTACATTGTTTATCATGTCCTGAAGAGTGTCGATTAAAGGAATAAACAATTGTTGAAACGTGTCAAGACTGTCAACTCGCTCAACCCATCTGGTTTTACAAAGACTTACCAGTTTTGCCTTCTTGGTCTGAACATCTGACTTTTTAACGTGCTCAGCAAAGGGTATGTTGCGTGTCTGTGATATGTTGATAAAATTGGCAGCTTGAGAAACAACAGATAACATGTTATTAATTTCAACGTTAGAAAGAGTATCACAGACAAACAAATTTAGTCAATGACTGTAACAGTGAGTATAAAAAGCTTTAGGATTAGTTCTTAAAATGTGGGCTGCTAAACCATTTATATGCCCAGAAACAGCCCCAGCACCATCATAACCTTGTCCCCTGCAATCCATAATGGGTAAAGCAAATTTCTCTAGAGTTTCTAAAATAAGCTTTGAAAGTTGTTGACCACTCAACCCCCATTTGCAATGCAGGAAACACATGAACTCTTCTTTAACATTCATTGAAGACTCAACAAACCGTAGAATAAAGGACAATTGCTCTTTGTGAGAAGAATCAGGAGCTTCATCTGCAATGATAGAATAATATCTATTTTTTTTTATCTCGTTTATAATATCTTCTGATAATACCTGACCAATACAATTGATGATTTCGTTTTGACTGGTCTTGGAAATATTACTTTTATTCTTGCCACATTTGAGCAAATGATTTTCCAAAGTTTGATCACCAGCTCTAACTCTAAAATTTAAAGATTCAACAAAATTACCAACATTGCCATTGACTGAATAGCAACCGACCTCTGGGTGAAATTGAGCATCATCACGATGACCTCGTAATCCAATGCCAAGCCTTCCACAAAAAAGAACTGTATCAACAATTTGTTTAAGAATTTTCCTATTTTGCTCAATTTCAAGTTTTATGTTAGTATCTAAGATATTTTCAATGAGTTGAGCTACGCCTGACATTTGAGATCGTATATTATTCAAAATTGGAGAAGTAAATGCATGTAGTCCTATTTTTCCCCCCTTACAATTTCCAGCATGTCGCCTAAATGTACCTACAGCATCATTCCAATAACGAAAAGGTGAACGAAATAGCTTGCTTATTCTCGAGCATTTACTTGGGAATTGATGTCCAAAAAGAACACATGATAAGCAATAAGCACCATCGTCCTTTGGTAAATAACACAGCCAGGTAAAATCTTTGAGCCATTCATATTTAAAAGACCTTTTATTGTTCTCACTTAAAGGAGGAAAAGTGTAATTTTCATCTGGTTTAAAAACATTTTTAATAAGGAAACAAATATCAGACATTTTCAAACCTTTAGCTCTTTCATAGTAGGTAGCTACATCAAAATTGTGACTAAATTTAGGCTTTACCTGTAAATCTTCAATGGTTTGTTCAGAAACCCTAGTACAAGAAACCTCACTTGTAATGATTTCTGGTTTTTCCATTTTTGAAAAAAACTTACTGATATTCCCAGACTTTTTTTCTGCTTTTGCTTTTTTTGAAGGCACTGGGCATGTTGGACCAGAAATTGTCCTTTTAGTTTTGCTAGGAAAAAAAACTAGAGGAACAAAATGATTAGGTTGGAAACATTGATCTGATTTAACTACCCCTTTATAACAAAACAAAAGATGAATTGCATCGGCTGATTCTTTAACTATCCTTCTTGGACAAACGAGAGAGTTGAATATTGATTTAGGCCGGCTCTCTCCACAATCTGGGTAGTAGGTAAAAATTTTTGTCTCCAGCACAGAAGAAAGAGCTAAAATGCATAGAAACGATGACCACTTTTGGTCATGACAATTCAAAAGGGCCTCCTTTTTGAAAAGATCAACACCTACAAAACCAGAATCTAGACAGTCTTGAGATACTGTCAAAGGTAAAATATTCTTTGAGGTGTTGTTGAATTCTTTATGCTGTTCAACAATTGAGGAAAATAAAGGATGTTGGCAGTAAAAAGTAGCATTCAAAAACAGCTCAAGTGATGTTAACTGCCTCAAAATATGCAATAAACTGTTATCACCTGCCAAAAGCAATGACACTGAACTGTAGAGACAGTTGCCAGATACTTCTGATCTAAATTGGATAAAAAAGTCGTGTTCCTATAAGTCATCCAACAAAAATTTAACTAACTGGCCAGGAAATATCTAACATAGCTACGTAGTTACATGTAGAAGATAATTCAAAGTTCAAATATAAATTCACTATTCGCTGAATTTATGCCAATATTTATAATAAAATTAAAAGCCCAAGCCGTAGATCTTCAGTATACACTGCACAAAATGAAATCTGCTTCATTAAAATTCATACAACAGTCAATAGACAAAAACCACATCTCATAGTCGCATAAATTGATATTAATGGTTGGATACCTTAAGGCCATGCATACATTTCCTTTGTCCTCGTGTTGCTTACGCACGATGTTGGGGATGTAAATTTCTGCTGAGAACTCTCTGCTCAATGATGTTTCACCTTTCAAAAGCAATGATAAGAATTCCGCTCTCGGCATTTTAGTCGCCCCACAATATTCCTCATTCAAACGCAATTTCAATTCATTCAGAGATTTGTCATTCTCTTGCGAAATTGCAGTCTGAACAGCAGCATACATATCAATATTTAACATTGTAGCTTGTAAACGATTTTGCAAATAAATGCAATGAAACAGATTTTACAAACCACGCTAAAGTGAATCACAATGTGATGATCTATCTCGCATTCCAGACACTACGCTTGACTATGTTAGTTCAGTTGGCTATCAGTCGAAATCCGTCAAACCAATCACAATAAAACAAAAATTCAAATGAACCAATTGTAATATAGCAATTGGACTCCCTTATACGTCCGGCCACCCTTATTATCAGTCGAGACCATTCCAGACTGTCCACTGATCTGGCCATTGACCAATAAAATAAGCGTTTTTGGCGTTGATAGACTCCTTTATCCGTCGAACCAGTCAAGCCACCCCGCTTATCAGTCGGTTATTCCAGGTCAATTAAAATTCAACTGATCTGGTTACCAAGGAGATATTCATTAGATTCGTCATTAGTTTTCAATAATAAATAAAGCTGCATTTTTATCACGAAGTAAATGCGATAATAAAGTAAGAATAATTAATGAATTTTTAAGTAATATGAATAGGTAATTTTTGAATTTCAAACATCAGTCGCGCGACGGATTTGACATACTCTAGATCCGCCCCTGGAGCAAATATACTTAAATTTTTTTCTAAACCAAGGTGAACAGAAACAAAAAACTTTTTATATCAACATGCATCAAGATAGTATGGTTTTACAGACCGCAAAATTTTAATTGTCATAACATTTAACTGTGAAGCTTATACAACTCAATCCAACACTTCACACGCAGTGTTACCAAAAATTATTTCAATGTTTGAGTGATATGTAAACCTTTCTTAATGTAATGCAACTCTTCTTATTGTATAAATTAGCACACAAAAGCATTGAAATTGGGCGATGTCAGCAAAATGAGTGGGGGAAAAGAAAGGTTGGTGTGACTGCTAGTAGGATATAAATCCTGAAATCATAATGAAAGAGTAACAGCTACACAAGCACAATGTTTGAAAGTACGCTCCACAGTTGGTCTAGTCCACTGCGCATGCTCAATCGTTTCGCCGATAATATGTTATTTACTGAAGTATTTATTTTAATTGTTGCTAGTAGATCTTATTGTCATTGCCATGACTATGAGCTCGGGCAGATAGTTGAATCGACTGCTCATGCTCTGATGATTTCGCTAATTTTTGAGTAACCCAGCTAGTTACTACGAATTCAGTGCAAGTAAATCTAGTTGATTGGTATTAGTTAGTCAAATGGACTGTTTTCATTCCAACATATTGGCACGTGTTTTTCATTTTTTGGCACGTGTCAAAAATGCATCAATCTCGTCACTTTAAAGTGCCTACATCACCCTTTGGGAAATAATGTAATTAGATTGAGTTAACTATTTGAAGAACATTTGCAATATATTTTATATGAGGAAAATTTGATCTTTCTTCACTGTTTGTCCTCAAAATTGGCTTTTTTCGTGTTTGCCGGTGAGGCGCTGTGACTAGGTCTAGTTTACCTTACTTGACGTACAATGGAGAACACGATGCTTTTTAACGCTGCAATTTAATATGAATTTTAACAAACTTGAGTTGTATTGTGTATTTTGTTATTGAATCACGCTGTAATTGATAGTTAAGGTCCTCAAAAGAACCAGTTCACGCATAACTTCATGTAAGCTTCGGGCTGAAATGCTATAAGGAAAAGTGCTGCAATAATGGCATTCGTTCAATTGTTGTACTTTTAAATTGAATAAAATTTGTCGACTGGCTTTTTTGACTCTTAAGTTTTCCTTACATAGATTGACACAATGTAATCGGCCAAACGAAGAAATTCTTAAAATATACCTCAGTCACTGTGTATACATCTTATTAATTGCAAGTATATTTACGCATAATAAACTTGTCAATAGAGTTGCTAATGATTAGTAATTTGTGTCTCCTTTAAAAACAAAGTCGTTTTTGAATTTTCATGAAGGAGTTGTACACTTAGCTAAAAGCACTAACTACTTATTCTAAGCACATAAGTTCACTCTACAATTTTTCGAGTTGTACGTCTCTTACGTTTTTTTTTAACTCAATTGCCTCACAAATTTTTTGTTTTCAGCCGCGTTTATCGTAACCATTTCAAAAGGTTGTGGCGTTGGGGGGCTTACATGCATATAAATTTGTGTCTACACAAGGCGTAAGAAAGTTTTAGGAATATTGCAGAAGTATGTTTCGCAAGTCTTGTCGGTTCAATGATGAAGTGTGTGAAAAAGTAAATTGTTTAAACCAAGGAGTATTGTTACATGTTTGTAAATGTAGATCGTCCAGGTTGGTATAGTCCTGAGAAGTACTGTTTTTGTCGTTGTTGACTGACATTTCGACAACCTTAGCGGTAGTCATCTTCAGTGTCAAAACCTGGACAATCTGCATTTACAAACATGAAGTGTGTGAACTTGTGACAAGTCTGGTGGGTTGGTGAGTTTATGAATTTAAGCGTATAAAAGCAGAGTAAGGAGCAATGTTTGTATGAACGAATGTTAATCAATGTTGCTTTGTCATTCCTTGGTTTGTTGGGCTGTTGTTGCTCGAAACTATATCATAATCCATTAAATAAAAAGGTATCAAATATTTGCTTTTTATTCGTCTTAGAAATTATGCTCCGTCGTTATACGTCCAAGACAAAGCACATAAGAAAAAATGTGAGCAGGTTCTCTGGCTTTATGGTGAAGATGAACAAGTATGTTTTCTTGACCTTAATTCACATTCTTAAATTATACTTGTGTTATGTTTCGAAACGTTAAACTCGTTTTATCTTCTCTTTCGTCATCTTCCACTTACCTCATCTTTCACTTATCTCATCTTTCACTTAGCCGACCTTTTATCTCGTTTGCAGTGATTACTATGCACTGTTCGTTGTTCTGACGTGCGATTGCCTTGTGATTGATGCAGTTGTCTGATTAATATTATTTTCCTTAAACATGATGAATGTTTTTTTACTTTTTTTTCTATAGATAACTGAAGTTGGCACCATGAATATATTTCTTTTTATTGAAAATGAAAATGGCGGTAAGCTTTCTTGGTCCTGACATTGAAACTTATAAACTTACGATAAGACGTAATAATGTGATAAAAACTTAACACAGTAAGTTTTGTAATAGTAACAAGTTACTATTTAAGACTAACATACACTACCATGAATAAATTCAAAGAAAGCAGTAGAAATTGCTTTGGTGCAACTTTGCATTTTAATGTTTTTTTAAAAAGCATGTTAACATGGTATTTGGGCAGCAGAAGTTGAACAGGATTTATGAGTCAAAAACGCACACCTTTATTTTTTAATTATTCTATTCCTCCTTCATATTAGAATTATAAAAAGTAAAAGTTGGGGTGAAATATCTTTTAACTAACAAGTTTTTTATAGTGAACGTAATAACACAGAATATAATAGTTTTCATGTCGAAACCTTTGATGGTTTTATCCTCGCGCATGTCGTGCCGCGCATGGTGGCCGCCATTATTCCAACCAGACAATTTGCATTTTTGACTGTTTCCAAACCTTTAAAATGATCCGAAGTCATTTCTTAAGTCAAAATATACTTGAATTCATTATTAAGTATCGACGTGACGTAATTTCAATGGTTGGAAACAAGTGAGAAATCCTAATCATCTGGCTGGAATAATGGCCGACATGAGGACACGTTGTACACCTGAGTGACCATTCTGTATATTCATTATTCTGTGGTAATAATATGAATGCTAACACGATCTTTATATACACAATATAAAAATGCGACTAGAGCGAGATTTGAACTCACACCTTCGGGTACTAGTCAACCGCTCTACCTGTTGAGCTACAAAGCCTACAGAGATTAAATTGGAGTAAAATGTCTTTTAAAGTTCATGTGGACGAGATACTTATGCAACAATAGTAGTTTCAGGAGATCAAAACTCGTTTAAATCACATGTTTTTCATGTGCGTATAGAGTTTGTGTCAGGATTCATATTAATGTGTTGTTTCTCTGGTAGTGGCCATCTTAAAGCAGTTTTTGTCATTTTTTCAAATATGTAAGATGTACCATAACACCTATTTAGAAGATGGACTGATCTCTCCTCCTTTGGACGGTCTAATATTACCTGGAGTGACACGAAAGTCGATGATTGAACTGGCGCACAAGTGGGTACGACACGGATTTAAATCTTTGAAACTTGGGCAATGTTATGCGAAATAGTTTTATCACTGTTTCCATTTTCGCATTACCCTTCTTTTTTGTTGAAGGATGAAAAAATTTATAACTAAAGGGAAACGATATTTTTGCTTTACCAAAAAATGTCAAATTTAAATCACGTGATAGACAACTTTTTCTTGTGATCGTTAGTTTGTAGTGAAGGAATGCAATGCAAATGTTAAATTTTAGGGTGAATTTAAAGTATCGGAAAGGCTATTTACGATGAAAGAATTGAAGAAATGTCTCAAGGAGAGAATAAAGTAGGAAATTACTGCAAATTTTTTTTTATGGTTTTACTGTTTTCAGTTAAGTTTTAAAATTGTTATTTAAGAAACTGGTCTTAATTTCCCCACTAATGTATTTGTCTTCATTTGCATTTTCTCTCTTTAGTTCTTAATATCTTTTTATGTTTCTTGCAAATCGAGATAATTTTGCTGAGATTTTTTTTTTAATGAAGTGCGGTGTTTGAAATTAAATGAAGATATGATCTTCGCACTTTGCTGGACAATTTAAGTCATTGTCTCATGAACCTGAAAAAATCAGGTGACTCAACGGGATTCGAACCCATGACTTCTGCGGTGCCGGTGCAGTGCTCTTTCCAAGTGAGCTATGAACTCACACAGTGGTGAGCAGGTAAATTTTGTTGGGCTAATGTTTTCTCGTGAAAGCAATGTCATATGAAAGAATGTCTTTTTTTGTGTGACTTCATATCTCAGTTGGTTAGAGCACTGCACCGGCACCGCAGAGGTCATGGGTTCGAATCCATGAGTCAACTGAATTTTTCAGGTTCATGAGACAATTGCTTAAATTGTCCAGCAAAGTGCGAAGATCATATCTTCATTTAATTTGCAGAGATTCTTGATAACTCTAGCAAATGCTGGCCCCAATTTGATTACGCATAAGGGTCCCATCTTCTCCTGCTACCCCATGGGTTATAAGATACCTGCATTGCTGTAACTTAGTTTTTCCACTTTATGATTTATGTATGATTACTTTTTAAAAATATTTTCTGCTCCAAGTGCTTTCCTTGAATTTAGAATTTTGCATAGAAAAATGTAAAATATTAGTATTTAAATATGTTGATGCGTTGATTGTATCTCTTGTTTCACGGAATGAAAATGTTGTTTGTTAAACTTATCCAATGACACACTTTATTTTTAGGTGAAAGAAATATTTGGCGCTGGTACGGCTTGCGTCGTATGTCCTGTCAAAGATATACTTTATAAAGATGAGGTATAGTTACTGTTGGAACTATTTACATACCTTCCAAAACTGAATCTGTGTCTTTCAGTTGTAAATCCTGTCAGAGGCGGCGGAATATTGATAATTAGGGGGCTATATTCATATATTCATATGTTATAATCCGTAAACACATATGATTTCAATAGAAACTAGTAAAGTAAAACATGCATGTATGAATAGCACCCAAACTATCAATATTCCGCCGCCCTTAAATCCTGTATTAATAAAAATAAGTTGTAGTTGCTCAATTTTTAATTCAAAGTACCAACCACTCTATGGGCTGTAAGTTTTTGAAGAAAAAAATGCAACCAATGCGCTTGCCTCTGATGTATATGGAAATGTAACAGCTTCGTATCCAGACGCGATGCCCACTCACGCCATATAACATGTTTAATTTCTAAAAATTGCGCTTTCAAATCAGTCACTCGAAGTATTGAAACAGCGTCAATTTGTTGAAAGCACCAAAGCACTTTGGTACTATAGGCTGGAAATGTTGTATGTTGAAAAATTTGCTGCGGTTCTTTCTTTTGATGTACCCCATATTCGCCATTGTTTTCCTTAAACGACAACTAAACGTAAAAAATAAAACAACAACATCATCACAGCCATCTTGTCTTCATTTACATAAACATTATATATTATATTTCATAAACTGATATCTGCATTGAATCTACTTTCTCGAATATATACGACTTATGATATTTTAATATAAATGATAGAAGTGATGTTAATAGTCCACAAACAGTAAACGGCTATATTGTCTGTCACATTCAGTGTTTATGATTCAAATTAAAACAGCAAGGCAGCAGTAGTTCAAAAACTGCGCTATTTTCAAATAGTTAGTCGATTAAACATTAAACAATTTAGAAGACGTGCATTCGGGCTAAACGATACCCTCTACCTAACTTTTTTTCTGATATTTTTACACATCTCTTTGACATATGTATTTCTTAGATGCTTCATATACCAACAATGGAAAATGGTACAAAGATCGCCAGACGGTTTTACAAGGAACTTACTGATATTCAGGTAGATGCTGCACGAATAATGTATTCATTCACCCCATATTTCGATCCTATTTTCTATGCTGTACAATGCATACTCCATACTGTGCATTAATGAATCAAACATTTACATTTTTTTCAATCATGACTTGAAGACTAAAATGAGTTTACTGTTTCTAAGTTGTTCTTTATTTCTTTCAGTATGGAAAAGTTTCCATTCCATGGGCATATGTTGTAAATGATTCATCTGATGAGGGCGAAAATTTACAAGCTATGAGTCTAAACTAGTTGTTGTTTCTGGTTCATAGAAACCTTTTTTGTCGTATGTCATATGGACACTAAGAAGCTAAATATAACCCATTTGTAGAAAACCTCAATAATAAATATTTGTTTGACAGAAAGAATTTATGCTCGTTACCTTTATTTGCTGACATAAATTTTTCCTAAAATAATTATGGCTAGTTGTAGCAAAGTCGGCTCGTGTTTTATTTTCCTATACAATGCAACTATTGCTTTCTTCATATACAAATATTTTTGTATATGAAACAGAGACTTTGTCGTGGTGACAAATTTAATGATGGATTTCAAAAACGCAAACACCATGGTGAATGGTGATAATAACAATGTAATAGTTCTTAAAAGAACTGTTTTAACCAGAACACTAACCCAAAAATTCAAAGGAACCGTTATTTACAGCTAGGAAGAGACACTATGCATTTCCGCACATTACTCGTCAGGTGTCAACGTCTGCTAAATGAGAACCTCCAAATCATGCTATATTTATAATGTTCCAAAGGTCAATGTCATCCCTACTTTTAGAGATGACACTTAAAACAGAGACAGATTAAACATGTAATCCTTTTGTCGACAAAGGACAGGATTAGTCGATTTAATTAATACCGACTCCATGACGTGTAGCTGGAATAACGAGCGACATTTTTTAATAATTTTAAGTTTTCATCAGAATAAACATTGGCACAGCGAGTGTTGCTTAAAAGATGTTTTCCAATCGCTGAATCACATAGAAAACATCTATTAAGCAACACTCGCTGTGCCAATGCTTATTCTGATGAAAACTTTAAAATTATACGAACTGTATACAAACTATACAAACTTGTATAGAACTATGCATTTGTTTTTAAGTAAATTTTACCTCATTATTACTTGCCCAAAGTTGATATAGGTCGCAGCAAAAATTATTGATAAAAATTTTTTACCTGTAACAGGTTTAACAAGCAATAGCCGAATATCTTTATAGCTGACTAAAGTTTTCAATTAAAAAGCAACATGCGCTAGACTTATACAAAATTAAATAAATTTGTGATAATTTCGGAGTTTCATTAGCTTTTTGACAATATTCTCGCAATTAAGTTTTTTTGATGCTTTTAATAATCGATATCACTTGACTCCGCCAATTCGTAAACAAGTGGTTGCTATCCAAGTACTTAATTGCTTGTTTTAAGCAAGCAATCTTATCTTAGGCTATGTCTCTAAGGCTATGAATATTGTTTAGTATAATTTCGAATGATTAATCACGAGTTAAGTTTAACAATCCTGCGTTAAATAAAGTTTTTAAGAGCATATTTTTTAGTTTTTAATGTAGAACCTATATGCTAGAATAAACGATGTATTTAACGTAAGAAAATTATAATTTTAACTTAAGTTATTCTAAAAAAGCACTTTAAGAAACAAACGTAATAAATAAATAATGATTTTGAAGACGAATCAACGTTCAGCAAGATGTATAAAGAAATGCTTAAAAATGTTGGTAACAATTTTTAAATTTTTTGTCAGATCGAATGCTTCTATTTTTGTCTTTAAATGGCTGAAATAAAATGAACCCAAGTGCCTTTCTAGCTTAATTTATGTATTAAAAAGTGACATACGCAAGAAGTTCGCTACTTAAGAGAAACAGATGTTAAAATGAAGATATGATCTTCGCACTTTTTCCGGGATCCCGTTGAATCACCTGAATTTTTCAGGTTCATGAGACAATTGCTTAAATTGTCCAATCAAAGTGCGAAGATCATATCTTCATTTAATTTCAACACCGCACTGCATATAACATTCTTTCAGAAACAGATGTGTTGGATTTAGACATAATTTATTAAATTTACTATAACTTTGTTGTCTCATTACATATTGGCGTCATTTTAGTAATGAGAGTTATTTCACTTTAATATTTAATACAATTCAACGCCTTGTATACATAAACAACGTGTTGTTATGACAATTTATATTTACTAGCTTATGATATCCATTGGATAAAAATGTTTTTTATTTTGCAACGTTAAATGCAAACGCAAAAATTGTTTCCTCCCTTTGATTCATTTGTTAAAATCCACCTATCAGCGAAAACTTTTTTCTGAAATATTACAACAAGGTGTAATGTTTAGCGTATCCCTGAAGAAAACGTTTTAATTTGTTCAAATCATCTTTTTAATATGCCGGGTGTAAGTTGCCTTTCAATGGAATTGCTAGATTCCGATTCTAGCAGAATTATGATATCATCGAAGGTATTTGGTGCATATATCTTCTATTGACAAGTGCCATGCATGACGTCACAAAAGAAAGTCAATGAAGACTTTTCGAACGACAGGCAACGTCCATTATAAGAAGGAGTTTGCCAACTTTGAACAGCGAAAAATATGGAACAAATGAATCAACCTGAAAAAAGTTCCCCTGATAGGTTAGAAATATTTTCTAAATTGAACATCACAAATAAATTTTTTTTGCCGTTTAATTCTCTGTCACATATTTGATCACTGTATAAACATTTTTCTTGATAAAGTGTTTCAACCCAAACCACCTGTTCTTAATGCACCCAAGCAAATAAAGTAATTTGGCCTTCCATTTACTGGCTTACACTCATCCCAAATCTGCACAAAAGTCAATCCCCTTGTAGTGCTCCTTTCCCACACTGTGAAATACGATTCTTCTTTCGATCCACCAAACGCCTCTCCAACCTGTTTTCGTTTAAGAACAAGGTGCCCAAAACTCTGAATTCAAATGTTGTCTATTCTTTCAAGTGCCGATGCTGCTCCGCATCGTACGTGGGTCAAACCACCAGCCACCTACACACTCAAATTTCAGAGCATCTGGGCATCACCTGTTTTTAGTGATTCACTTAGCTAAGCTGTATTTTTGACTACAATGTTTATGTGAGGCAACATGTTTTTAAAAAACTGTATAAAGGTGCTTTTGACGATTTTTTGGTGTTTTGAATATTTTCGTCAAATCATGTGTTTCAATTTTTGCTTCGATTCTTCACACAAAGGTAAGGCACGTTATGTAGAAAATACTAGCTATAAATAAGGTTTGTTGTAAAATATTAAAAATTTGCATTTAGCTAGACCCAATTCTTTTTTTATCAAAATTATGTTTAAAATATATTTGTTCATTTCTAGATCGGAGACTGTGGAGCAATATATACAAAAAAAATTAATGTGAAAAATGAGATAGAATGCATTGTTTCTTGCGTTAATGAACCATGTTGTCGATCTATAAACCACAGGAGAAAATTAAGTCAAGGACGTTGGAGTCTTTGTGAAATGCTACATAGTGTCCTCAACAAAAGCAATGAAAACGATTTAAAACATAATCGATTTTATGATTACATTTTTTTCAATTCCCCTGTCAAGGTAAAAATAAATTTTAAGTCAATAGAAGAATAATTGTGTTAGTAAAAATGTTCCTTCAGGAATACATAAGTATTATGTCAAAAAATGCATATCTAGTTATGTAATATTTTAAAATATCTGTTATTTAAGCACAAAGTGCTTGTTCTCCATTACAAATATTAATTTTTGTTGTTTAGGAGTACAATAAAACATGCGAAGTCCAATCGTGTAAGTTTAGATGGTTTTTACATACACTGTGGTTTTTTATTTTGATGTAAATATAAGAAATTTTATTTTATCCTTAGCACTCAACAAAAGTTACGATTTGCTCTTCAAAAATGCACATGTTGAAAACGTGATTCTATTGGATAATGCAATGCCCAATATGTCTGCGATAACGTTGATGTTTTGGATAAAAATTAACTCAAGTCAACGAATGGCGGTGTTTTCTTACGCTATAGAAGATAGTCCCGATGAATTTTTTGTTGGCGTTGAAAGAAATTTCCTTGTTGTCATAATGCAGTCCCAGCATATTTTGTAAGAGGAAAATGTTATAATTTACTTTCTTTCTTAGTAACAACAACTCATTAGAATTGCACTTTTAAAATTGTATGAGTTGCGTTAGCTTTAAAATAGCTTATATCACGAAATATTTTTTATTTTCAGAAGACTTAAACACAATACATTAAACTATTTGCTGTTATTGCGAATAAACATACTCATTTATTTGCATCGCTCATTAATCAAAAGTTTGTTGAAGTGCATAAAAAAATGCCATTTTGAACACAACACACACACATTTTTAAAGCAAGACATTTGCGATAGGTTGATTTGCATTAGTTTCATAAGTGGCACAAAAGTCCGTTTGAGTTTTTTATTCAATCGATATGTGTATATAATAAATACATTATTTGATTTATGTACATTGTTTGTCACGCAAGCGATCTCGCGTGACTTCCACGTTTGTATGCTTTAAAAGGTTTTATATTTTAACAAGGCTGGCAACTCTCAACACAAAATTACCGACCGTTAACACAAACACTTTCACAAAGCTGCAAATATCAGATAAGTACATGGCAAAACACGTAAAACAAATACATATTATTAATAAGGAAAAGTTTTACAATATTTTTGCAGTTTTCTAACATTCAAATGTATTTCTAATCATACAAAAAATGTTTTAAGTGTTTTGGGCAAATATTTAGTAAAACTTTCGATATGCACAGTTTTTAAACTTAGCTATTCATGCTAAGTTGCATGCTTTTTCTTATTGAAATTTGGTCCAAAGTTTGTATAAAAGATGGGATTTAGTGACAACAGAACACACTAAAAATGTGAAGTGAAATTTTTCGTTCATTGAAAAATTTAACAGTTTCTTTATTTGTATTCCATTAAAATATCGTTTAAGAATTCTCAAAAAACAACTTGTTTTAGATAAAGAAGTCTAGATGTATGCAGTTACGATATAAAGCTTTTTATTTAATAAAAATCACACTAGTTGACTTAAACTTACTTCTATTCGTTATATAATAGAAAACTCAACAATTCGGCAATCAACGACGGCATCTGGCATCACCTGGCCATCATAATTGGTCGCACTCGTAAAAAAATATTTCTTAATGGAAGTACTATTTATAGCGAACCTATGGTCAATCATTCATTACCTTTATTACGTGGTGGTGGTGTTGTTGCTATTGGTCAAAAACTTGAATGTGAGAATGGTGTTTTTAATCCAAATATGTCATTTGTTGGTGAAATAAGTTATTTAAACTTGTGGAATCATGACGTTGTTTGCGAGAAATCCAGTCCTATGGTGCTGATTAATGATGAATGCACCACTGGTCTAAATAAAAGTACTCTTGTAATCAATTGGAATCATGTGTACCAATTTACAAGCGAAAATATTGTTAAAGTGCCCTCATTACGTAAGTTAAGTAAGACGAATTGGCTTTTTTACTCCAGTAATTTTATAATCAAGATAACGTTTTTTAAACAATTCTAAGTAAAAAAAAAATACCAGCGCATTTTACTAAAATTCATTTTCTTTCAAGAGGTTATAAAATGAAATTTTACCTAATTATTTTTTGCTATGAATTAAAATTTTATAATGCGTTGAGTATGATAAGGTTTTAACTTTTTTCATAACTCCTATGGATAAAAAAATATAAGTGGTTAAAGTTGCTGTTTTTAAAAAAATTGTTTCGTTACATGTGCGGGCCTTGGACACTAGTTTGAAGTACCTCGTGACGGCAGTGGTTGTGTTGCCCATGTAAACAATGATAGTGCAATACAAAATTATGCAAATCAAAATATTTTTAATAGAGAAAGTTCCTTTGAATTTTCGTGTGACAGTGTCAATTTTAAATAAAATTTTCTAACCCAAAGAATCGTTTCTACCCCTTAAATTTTTCACAATACACTATTCAAGGTTTACACTATGCAATTATATAAAATAAAGAACCATGAAATTTCGTTTTATAAACACTTTAAGCTAAAAATTGAAATTAAGACCACGTCGCAAATTTTGTCGAAAACTGCTTTCCATCGTTTGTTAGCAATTTCTATTTTCCATAATTAAATGTCTTCAAATCGCAATGTTGTTCGCTCCAAATAATATTTTAATTGTTCAATTTCTTTGCTTATTAGGACGTCAATTTGTTGCTTGCTACTATTGATAACTGATTGCACCATTTGTCGAGCGCTCATAATTATATAAAACTCAGCACATTTAATTCAATAAGCGTTTTAATAGAAAAAATATTGAAAACAAAAGTTAAAGTTCATATATTATTCTTTCTTAACAATGTCCTTTCATATTCGATGTATAGTCATGCTCGTGCATCACCTCATCTAACATATTACGTATTCTTTTAGGTCATCCCAAATTTAATTGATCAATGTCTAACGCTTTATAGCACTTATTTTTTAGATTTTTCATCATGCAAAGAAGCAATGAAATATGGCAGGTATGGTATGATAACAACGTAGCTAGTTACCTTAAACTATAAATAAAAAGGTAACTTGAAGTCTTTATTTTGTTAGAAAAGTTATGTGTACCAAGCATAGAACAGTCAAAAATTAAGTCATAAAGTAGCGAAATTTTTTTTGTCAGAGTTAAAAAAAAATTAAATGAGTAAAAACTGATTGATTTAGGTTATCTTGTTTTTTAATGAAATTATTTTCTGTAATAAAAAAATGAAAATGAACAAAATCATTTTCTGTTGACCTTATTCTACAGCTATTTGCTCATCGAAGAAAAAACAAAAGGTGGCTGTATATAGTTTATAAAAATTCAGTTTCACATACACCATCAGATTAAAGCTGTATGGCTAATGAAAGTTATTATGCATCAAAAACACACGACTACGCCTCATTTGAGAAATAGAGATTTTTACGAAATTTATTTGTTTTGTTTTTGTTTACTGCTTCAATTATGCAAGTATATTACTGCTTTTATTTATTTTTCAATTTCACTAATCTTTGCTTTGATGGACCTTGGATGAATTTTCTGTTTGGCTGAAAACATTCCAAATGATTTCTATCGTGCGCTCCTTGCTCTTTGAAGCGTTTAGCTATAAATTCTTTGTTGCTTTTGTGAACCAATTTCCGGGAGAGGTTTCATAAGTCATGACTTAACGGAAATATAACATATCCTACGAAAACGTAAGTGAGGTGATTGTATCATTATTACCTCCTGCTGCATCAATATCTACTAATGTAATAAATTTTCGCAAAAGTTTCACCAACTTATTGTATGGGCTTGGAATAGTCCTGTCAGATAATTTTAAGAAAAATTAACAAAAATTCTCGAAAATTTTTATTTTCTATTATCATTTCGCAGTTTATAAACTGAGAATAAAAAAATTTATTAAGCATTTGTAACTAGCTGTTGACTTATGACTTCACAGACAGTAATTATTGGTTTCCATTTTTTCATTAAAGCGAATAAATTAGTTAGCTAAAAACCTGATAAAACATTTTAATAGACTTTATCTGTTTCCATTTTGTGTTATTTTGAATAAAAATACATTTTCTTAAAGCAGTTGCTATTTTTTTAAAAGAAAAAAATGCTTGCGTTAAAGAAGATTGAAAATCCTCTCTTTTTAATTCTTTTTCATAAAATACATTATAAAAAACGTACAGTTTGTGATATTATTTTATTAATGCATTATATTAAAATACTTTCCATATTTTCCTAAATAGAAATTAACTCTCCATCACTATATTTACTTGAGTTTATTTTTCATTATTTAACAAAAATGTTTGGAAAAACTTAATATTCACTAAGGCTTTTTATGTTTAACTATTATATCAATAAATTATACCAATAAAATCCGCATTCTAATTGGTTTTGTGTTTTATTTCAAATATATGAAAAAGTTCAAAAGATGGTGTGTACTTGATAAAGTCGGATACTTTACTTGGCTACAGCAAAGTTTTCTGTATGAAAAACATATCGGGTTGTTCTGGAGAAGGCTGGACGCTGGTGATGAAAATTGATGGGAAAAAGGTACAACAAAAATAAATTAAATTTTGTCTTTAAAAATATATACTAATGTATAACACTTCAAGACATAAACTTTATCATATGTGCAGGCATGGCAAAAGGATAAAAATAGATTCATGTTGTACTCATGAGCGTTATTTCTGATGGAAATCGCAATTTTTATGTTTAGATTAAAAGCTTTTATAAACCAAAAGTTATATTTAAGCTTGGTTAACGTATTCACTAAATTCTAATTTCTAACAGTCATTAATTTTTCATCGCATTTGTTGTTACGACTTCTGCACGCAAATCAATAGAGACTTTATTAAAATTAATAAATACAAAAGTCACAACAAAATTGTAAGTTTTTGCTGGTGATGATTTTTGAGATGGTAATTACGACTGATGATGCAATATCAGTTGAAGAGAAACGTTTCTGCAATAACTTACGACCTGATAACTGCTTAAGAACAATAGCTCACTGCTATTTAGTAGAATCCAAATATGTAGCCATAATCAACGAAATTTTTATTGAAATATTAAAGCATTACCTTTTTGTGGGACAGCCTTTTAAAAGTTTATAAAGCTAATTACAGTTATAAAAAAATTGTTGAAGCAATGTGGCGGAAGCTAATGAAGTATGAGTTGAATAATGCGAAAGAAGCACTTGCAAATAAATTAGGCAGACTCATTTCATTCAGGTTATTCTATGTCCACATGTTTTCCGTTTAGGACACCAAAAAAAATTAAGAGACTTTTTTCAAGACTTTACTTAAGTGGTAGATTTTAAATAAGTGTTGTATAGAGGTAGTACATGATCAGCGTTCGACAAAATAAAGCATTCCTCTTAATTTCAAAACATATATAGAACAAAACTATTGGTCACTAGTTTTCAAACAATGAAAATTTACTGCTACAAATGCTTTTGAAATATTCTAAAATGTCTAGATGTCCAAGAAGTCGGTGCAGTGATTGATTTTGACGTACAGTAGATCTGCAACTGAACTAGGACAATCCAAATTGGTTGTTTTGTTTGTAATACCACGTAAAGCGCTGTCAGTTCAAATCATTATACAATTAATTTAAAAACTGTTTTTTTAACGAGTGTAGGAGATTTAAAGCAACATTTGTTCATGAAAGAAAGTGAGTTCAAAGTCAAGCAATATCTTGTCCTAAATTTATGTTTCTTTTTTGTGCTTATATACAACTGGCCGAAATTAAGTATTAGAAAAAGGGAGGTTTGAGTGAAAGAGTTTTAGTTTGGAAAGAAATTTGCGCCTTCACTCTATTATGATTTTCGACTGTGTTTATATTTAAACACGTAAAAAAATGTTTTTTGCTGTTTTAAAAAAAAATAAATGCTGTTAGCTTCAAAATGAATGTTAAGAATATTTAAATACTATGTGGATAGTTTATAACATGGTTTAATTTTCAAAAATTATGTTTAGGAAACATTTGACTTTGAGTCATCGTTTTGGAGAAATAAAAAGAGTTACAAGATTGAAAATGGTAAATCAGGAGTGGATGATTTGGAAACAAAACTTCCTACATACTGGAGCACAAAAATAAACCAGATATGTGTTGGAATGAAATTCAAAGGGGAAACAAATTTTATCAGCTTCAATTTTCAGGCTAAATCGTTGTACGATATAGTTGCTGATGGAAAATACCACCCAACCAATGTGAGCCGAGACAAATGGATGTCATTGATCAAAGAGAGTGTTCTTCAACGAAACTGCAATAAAGAAGGTTTCAACGCAAAGGATGAAGAGAAGTTGTTTCGTCGTTTAAGGATTGGAATTATAGGAAATAATGGAAACAATTGTAGGAGAAGCGACTCTTTCATTGGTTTTGGCTGTACGTACAAGAAATGGAAGCAAAACGCTCAAATAAATAGCTGTGGAAACGGTAGATCCTTTCAAGGATTGAAAAACAAACAATCAATGGGATACATTTTTGTTTCCTAAATATAGTAATACTTATGTAGACCACATTTTTTTGTTTGTGCAATCAGCTTTAGCAGTACAAATAGTAAACTTACTTTCTTTATTGTTATTAGCTATACCGACAATTCATCAACTTTTCTTTAGAGTAATTTATATAAGACTTTTACAAACTAAATTAGCAAGTCCATTTTGAAAGGCTAGCATTTGATTTGTCTATTGTAAGTGCGAAATAATTGTATTCTTTAAGATTTCCAATTTTGAAACAGCACCAAAAACGTATGTTAATAAATGGCACATGTAAAAATAACACAAAATATGCTTGTTGCTTAAATCGATAGTATACATGCATGTTTTTGTAATGTAAGAACTCGCAGCAGACATATCAGAGAAAAACTGTTTTAAAAACATTTTTTTTCCAATTTGATACAATTTTGTTTATCATTTTCATTACAAACAAAGCAGACAAGAATATTTTCTCTAAAATCAACAATTAACACGCTTCAATTTCTTACGCATGTAAATATCTGATCAATTGCAGAAAATTAAAATGAAAAATTCAGCAGCTTAGAGCTTATAATTATAGCTATTTAGAAAAGATTTATTGCAATAAAAAATCTATATAAAAGAAATTATCAGCATACGGCTATTTGACGATTGGCACAGCCCGGCTACAAGTTTAGCATACAATTTGTTTAACATACGTATGTTTCATTTTATCATTTATTCCATGGACTCATTCAGGAATAAAATGTAAAGAATTTGATTTGTTAACGATGTATTTTGCACGCATTAAAATTAGACTTAAAGTGATGTATTTTTTAAAAACTATGCAAAATTTGAGTCGTATTTACATAGATACGGTTGTATTAATTAAGACAGCGTATTTAAGAGAAGCAGAAACTTAGTTACATAACTACTAAAATAATTTTCGCTCATGTGTATGGTTTCGTGTTTCACTTTTAAAAGCTATTAAATTATTAATTCCCCTATTTACATATTTTGCTTGTTCGAAACACGCTATCTTATTTTTAGGCAATGTCATATGCATAGTCATATTGTGCGGTGTTTCTGGAATCACATGAATCATAATTCATGTGAAATGTTCCCCGTTTTAAATATTTTTTAATAGCATAATTTTTTTTTGAGTACAACAGATCACAAGGAAATTATTTTGGCATGACCATTTATTAATGGGTAAAGAACATTTAAAATAAGAAAATCATCATTTCATTACAGAAAAGTAATTAAAAAAACAAACGTTATGAAAGCTAATATGTTTATAGTGATTCACTTATAGCTAAGCTGCTTTTTTTGACAACGATGTTTATGCGAGGCAAACTATTTTTAAAAATATCTAAAAAGTTACAAATAGCAATGTTTTTGTGTTTTGAATATTTTCATCAAATCAGATGTTTCATAATTTGCTATGATTCTACACACAATGTTAAGGCCCGTTGTGTAGAAAGTACTATAAATAGTTTTGGTAGTAAAACATTTAAAATATACATACATACATCCAGAGTCTTTGTTTTTATCAAAATTATCTTTGACATATAGCGTGTTTATTTCTAGATCGGAGACTGCTGAGCATATAAAAATATTAATGTGAAAAATGAGTTAGAATGCCTTGTTTCTTGCCTTAAGGAACCATGTTGTCAATCTATAAACCACAGGAGAAGGTTGAGTCAGAGACGTTGGAATCTGTGTGAAATAGTTATAGTGTCCTAAACTATAGCAATGACAAAGATTTAAAACATAATCGATTTTACGATTGTATTTTTTCATATCCCCTTTAAGGTAGAATTAACCTTCATAAAGAATTGCGTTGATAAAATGTTTCATTGTAGTTATACCAACTACCTAGTTTTATCTTTAGTTGTTAAATATTACACGACGTTTTTTTTTTATTTAAACACAAATTCCTTACTCTTCATTTCAAATGATAATTTTTTTGTTTACAAGTATAATGAAACATATAAAATCCAATGGTGTAAGTTAGATGCATTTTACATTCACATTTTTTTTTATATTTATATAAACATAAGAAACTTGAACTCGTTCTTAGCTTTTGACAAAAGTAATTATTTGCTCTTTTCCAACGCACATGTTGAGAATGTGATTCAAAAAACTTTGACTCTGAAGATGACTACCGCTAAGGTTGTCGAAACGTCAGTCAACAACAACAAAAACAGCTCTTCTCAGGACTATACTAACCTGGACAATCTACATGTACAAACATGCTATTTAATAACGTGAAAATATTAACGCAATAATTTGCGTCAGTCCTGTTTTAATTGAGATGGAGGGGGGGCATATTCTTATATTCTGCTATGCTTGGTTAATTTCTTTATAAAAACAATGTGATTGTCAAAAAAAATAATTTTGACATAACTGAATATATCACTATGGTCCCCCGCAGTTATCGCAGGATTGACGCCCATTTTCGCAATTGTTTTAATTCGAAAGAACGTTTTGTAAATGATGTACAAAAGTTAAGTCAAACATCATCTTTCTACAACCTTAAACCAACGTTTTATTAAGGTTGTGCTTTTAAATGAGCCGCCATTAGACAGTTCAAAACACTATGCTTTTGAAAAACTGATATGAATGATCCTAATGAAGCGTTTGTTGACATTTCACTACAGCGCGAACATGTAAAAATTTGTCTTTGTGGTACATATTTTAGAGACAAATCTGTTTGAAATCGTTATCCAGCCAAGTCAAAAGCTATTATCTAAAGAAATAAATTTTGTCCATTTTTGAATTTTCTTGCTGGTCCGTATTTCCTATCATTTCAACTAATTTCTCATATTAAGAATAAGCCGTATTATGTCTATTTCAAGAAAAAAATTAATGAAAATCATCCACGTACAGCTTTTTGACTAATATTGTTTTGACAACAAGGAAACCCCCGATAGATCCTACGTTGTTTATTTGTTTGTTTAGGTTTCAGATAAAAAATGATGGCAGTTTTTATTTACATAAGCATATGTATATGCATATATAGTATTTTAATATTCAAATAGAATATTGCCAAAATAGTCTTTAAGAATTTCCTTAGAGAAAAAAGTCCTGTTAATGGCACATTACAGAAAGTTGTTATTAAAGAGTGAGTTGCTTAAAGATTTATAGAAGCTTAATAAACGTTTTTGTTTTAAAAAAATATATTTGATCAGTAAATACGCTAATTTGACAAACTTTGAAGTGCAATTTGTGAATGACAAAGATCGAATGAATATAATTATGTGCTTTACCGGCTGCGAGCTCAACACAGAAAAAATATTTTTACGACGTCTCAATGCTTATTTCATCATCCTTTTTAGGATAGTGAAATATTCAAGTGTTCCCCATGGAGGTCTTCTACAATGAAAGAATCATTTGTGATAAAAATGTCATCAGGCCAATCAAAATGGTCCCGATGCATTTTTTTTGACAAAAAAACTTTCACGGTGTTTATGCAACCGATACTCGTCTTGTTTGCACAAGTAGAACTTCTTAAATATTCAAAGTTAAACTATAGATTTGTTTGCTAAAAAGTGCCAAGGAAAATGACCTTATACAAATTTATTAGAATTTGTACTTGGTAACCTTGGTAACCTTTGTGTAGTCGATTAACAATTTATAAATAAAGCAAAAATATCAAAATAGTAATTCAAAATATGGAAAAAGGACGGGAGGTTATAAAAGTGTGCATATGCAACTAGCTGCAGGAGTTAAGTGAGATACAAACAAGTTGAAGTTTTCAAGGAGTGTGGTCTATTATCAATTTTATATCGTACTTGGCTAATTATAAGTCGCAAATTACTTGTAAGAAAGGGAAAAGTAGGGTAGTAATTACTAATCAAATTCTTGTTGGTTGTAACGAAGCCTACCTATGTTTAAGAGTTATTGTAATTTGTCATTACTATATCTGCATTAGAAGTACAGAGAAGTTTGGATTGCCTGTTGACAAATGTGATTTGTCTTGATTTAATAAAGCAGTACATTATCTATACATTCAAAGGGTTTTTTGATAAATAAGAGTATATAATTTTAGTCAAACTTTATGGTCTTATAGATGCATTCGATGTTGCAAATTACTTTGAAAGAAAGTTGTCCTAGAAACACAGAAATACACGTAAACCGTATTAATGTCAATTGCAGAATGCATTGGGTTTATCATAGGTTATTTCGTTTCATTCACAATATACTCGTGAGTAGCTATGACACTACTTTAACGCTAGATTTCCTCAAACACATTTCTTTTATTCTTTAGGCGAGATTACACCGTAACTGTTGAATGTATTAACAATTTGTGAATGATTATAACCTGTATTACAAACAAGGTCCAAGACATCAGGTCTCCTTGCTAGCTGCCTTAACTGCTCTTCTGTAGCGGCAGAAACGTAAATATTTGCAATCGATGACGTCAATACGACAATGATTTCTTTTCTAGACGGTTTGCATAATACCAATTATATTTGAAAATTGTATAAGTAGAAAACAACATCAAACGGAGCAATATTGAGAAACTCTTCACTCAAGTCTCTTGTGATTTTAGAGGGCACCATACTTGCTTGACAAAACATGAGGCAGGCTTCTGCGTTCTAACTTACGATGTACTCCAACAGTGTCCTTGCCAAATAATTAAAACCTACAGAATTATATCAAAACAATCCCATAATTGTAAATGTAGATGGTCCAGATTGGTACAGTCCTGACAAGGACTATTTTAGTTGTTTTTGACTGACGTTTCGAACACCTTGGCGGTAGTCATCTTCAGAGTGAAATGAGGAGCAAACGTGAGGTTAGCCGTATTTTTTATCTGGTTCTTACGTCTTTGTATTGTGTGTTCAGGAAATGTGTGGGGTGAATTGTGTGTTGCCTTTGTGAATTAGTGTGAAGTGTAATGTTTTAAGTTGATAGTTTGTTTGTATTTTGAATAAGTCGTTTGTAAGGTGCCGGTAATTGCTGTGATCTTTTCAGGGAGGCTTGTTCCAAGTTGGTATACCAAATTTCTAATATAAGCCGTTGTCTATAGTCAGTATTGTAAGTAATGCGTTTTGCCAAGTCCCAGTCAATGTTACGCTTTGTGATTCGGTAATGTTCACCAATGTGATTAGTTTTGTCTTGTTTCTTAGCAGCTCGTTTGTGTTCAGTAAGTCTTATGTTTCAGTTCCTGCCAGTTTCCCCGATATAGAAGACGTGGCAGTCGGAGCAGTTTATTTTGTATACTGCACCTTGTCGTTCGTTGGGTTGTTCTTTATCTTTTATGTTTGTTACTACTTGTCGTAACGTTATGATTGGTTTATATGCGACATGTATGTTGTATGGTCGTAAGATATACGAGATAGTCTCAGATGTGTCTTTTATGTAAGGTATCGTTGCTGTTGTCACTGAGCTGTTCGTTTTGTTGATTTCGTTGGGTTTGTAAGTATTGCGTTTGATAAAGTCAGAGGTAAATGGTTTGAACCCGGGAGTATCGTTATGTGTTTGTAAATGATGATCGTCCAGGTTAATAAAGTCCTGAGAAGGACTATTTTTGTTGTTGTTGACTGACGTTTCGACAACCTTAGCGGTAGCCATCTTCAGAGTCAA